TCGCGTCGTCGAGGTCTGCATGTGAGCACTGGCTCCTGCTATCCCCGTCTGCATTGCTAGGGTGCACATATCTGACGAGCTTGGCGACTATTTGTTCTCTTCGACTTTTCGTCGAGGCTGCGCGAAGGATGCCAAAGCAATTCCGCTTGACGTGGAGTGGACTCGGCGGCCTGAGTACCCGCAGCTGGCTGGAGGCAGAGGTGGTCGCCCGTCGCACGGTTCTACGTTGGTACCTAGTAGAAGAAAGCGGGTCTAGAAAGAAGAAACTAGGAGGCGCCAATCGGCGCCGGCTCCGCGAGGGCTCTCTGGGGTCTGTCAACGACGACGAAGTGTGTAGACAGGGCAACATCGGCGAGAGGGCCGTTTGCTGCGAGGGTCGACGTGATGGCTGCAGAAGGAAATTGTCACGAACGCCGGACAAATGCATCGCGTGCTATGACTGCGCAGCGTCCTTGTGGTTGAAGATGTGTTTCAGCACATGTCCGAGCTAAGCTAGGTAGTGCAGATCAGACGGGAGCAGAGCAAGACGACGACGTCCGTCTCGCTCAACCCCGGAAACCTGGGCTCAGATAGAGTGCCGTCCCGTGACAGCTGCCCGCGTGGAAGACCCGTGGATTCCAAGGTTGCACATGGCAGACGGCGGGCCAGTATAAGTCCAGGCATGCTATGGCGCTCCATTATCGTGCGGCCAGGCATTGTGCTGTGGCTGCCACGCCATGACTCTAGGGAGCGTCGACGCTTAGCTCTGGGGGGGTTCGGTCGCCTTTGATAGCCACTCGTGTGAAAGCAAGGATGCGACTCAAACGTGTTACCCATGCTAGTTCCTGCCGACGCTAAGGGCCACGCCTGCGAAACGTGCCTCTTCAATCCTGTCGGGCCCTCCTTTCGACGTGCTGCTCACTACCATCGCGAGCCCTCGACCTGTTGCTTCTGCCTTAATAATCCCCGACTACCCGCCCGCCCAAGCCTGCCATCCTGCCCACCGCCGCCCGCAACCACGGCCCCGTCCCCACCCGATCCCCCCGGCCACCTCTCCCAGTCGCCTGATGCATTACTAGACACGCATTCCCATTCTCCAGGCAGTCTGCCACTGTAGCATCCAATGGGTCAGAGCAACGGCAAGCCCGTCGTCTTTACCGACCAAGGTGCGTGCCGTCACATGAGAGATGCATAGATGGATGCATAGAGAAGAGAAGGGCATCACGGACTAACACGCAACAGTAAACCTCAACCACTTCCGGCTGCTGCGAGTCGTTGGCAAGGGCGCATTCGGTAAAGTGCGCATTGTCGAGCGCAAAGACACGGGCCTCACCTTTGCGCTCAAGTACATACGAAAAGATGAAGGTTCGTCCATGTGCACTATGCATCATCCCAGCACTACTGGAGCTGACGTCGTGTCACAGTTGTACGCTCGGAAAGCGTCCGCAACATCATTCGCGAGCGGCGCATGCTCGAGCACCTGAATCATCCCTTCCTCTGCAACTTGCGCTACAGTTTCCAGGACATTGAATACCTGTACGTCATACTTCCCAGGGACGAGTTGGCACACCGCTGACAAGGGCAGATATATCGTGGTCGATCTAATGAATGGCGGTGACCTACGCTTCCACATCTCGCGAAAGACATTTACAGAGGAGGCTGTGCGCTTCTGGATAGCCCAGCTTGGTTGTGCTGTGCGCTACATCCACCAGCAGGGCATCGTGCACAGGGACATCAAACCAGACAACGTGCTGTTGGATTCCGAGGGCCATGTCCATCTGGCAGATTTTGTAAGCTTGGTCCTGACTATGTTCCCGTGCATCGCTAACATCCGCAGAACGTCGCTTCCGACTTTGTCCCCACCAAGCCGCTGACGAGCAAGTCCGGCACGCTCGCCTACCTCGCGCCCGAGGTCTACGAAGGCAAAGGATACTCATGCGAAGTCGACTGGTGGTCACTGGGCGTGCTCTTCTACGAGTGCATCTACAACAAGCGACCCTTTGAAGCCAGCAGTCACGATTCGCTTGCCGCCAAAATCTCCAAGGGAGAGCCCACGTATCCCGTCACCAGTCCGCCCGTTTCCATGCCCTGTCTACATGCCATCAGCTCGCTCTTGGAGAAGAACAGGAAGAAGCGCATAGGCGCCATCGGATTCGAGTCCTTCACAGATAATCCCTTCTTCCGTCCCATCGATTTCATCGCCTTGGAGCGCAAAGAGATACCGCCCGTCTTTATCCCGTCGAGCGACAAGACCAACTTCGATGCCACCTACGATCTGGAGGAGCTGCTGTTGGAAGAAGCACCGCTCGAGGCAAGAGCGCGGAGACAGAAGCCTAGAGAGGCGCTCAAGGACGATGCCACCGAGCAGGAGATCAGGGCTGAAGAGCTGCACAGGATGATTGAGACCCTTTTCGAGCCCTTCAATTACACTACCGCTGGTGACCAACGAACGCCTGCCGCCGTCGCAGTCGTAGATCCCCAAGACTCGGTCGGCGGCTCAAGGACAAGCAACCAAAGCGCACCGGACCAACCTCCCACTCCATCAGTAGATCCCTGGGGTCGCCCAGTCGCGAACAATCCCCAAGACGCCGAAATCTATCCCACCCGCTCCGCCACCACCGCCCGATCGACGCAATCACCTAATGGCAGCCCTCCCCTTGCTACCAACATACTGAACCAGACCGCCAACACCGGCTCACCCACGTCACAACGCGGCGAGCACGTCGACTACTTCCCCAACGACGGCTCCGAAGTTCCCACGCCCTCCTTCTCCCGTCCCATGAACAACCGCCAGCGAGGCTCGCAGCGCAGCATCAGCACCAGCGGAGGCGTACAGGTAGTTCTCAACGAGACCGGTTCTTGGACTGAGATGGCTAACCAAAGTTCCGCCCTCGTACAGAAAGATGCCCAAGCTGAGAAACCCTCCGGAATGCTCGGCTTCCTCAGTCGCAAAAAGGGCCGGGACAGGAGTCCCAAGGCGAAAGAGAGGGGTGTGCTGGGTAAAGAAGGCGCCAGAGTCATCATCAGCAATACTTGAGATGTCTGCTCTCTTTTCCTCACCTTTTTCCGCCCGCACGCTTTCTTTCACGTCACGCCGCACAAAACGCCCTTTCTTCCAACGAGTTCCCTTGCTGTAGATGTTTTCTCTCCGGAAGACCTTTCTTCTTCGAGGTCGATTTCTTCTCTCCTGCGTGGCGTTTCCTGGCGTGTTGTCTTGGGCTTTACACATGTCAGCCCCCCTACATCATCAGCGACGACGCTTCGAACATCATGATCGTCGCTTTCTCTCCTTATCCGACCGCATCGAAGTTGCATAGTTCCACCACCCTGAGAAAAAAGAGGTGTGCGCGAAACGGGCGTTGTAGGCATTTGTTATTTTTCTTATCACAGAGAGAGACCGCGGGACACATGGGGCAGCTCTTGCCCCGTAAGCACAACGAATGAAGAATGAGATAAGGGTATAGAATGGGGAGAAGCGATGGGAAGAGAAGAGAACAGAAGGAGCAGATGAGGCGTCGGCTTTTTCCCTTATCTAAAGAGAAAAGTCGCGCTGTTGTACATTTGAATATGTGTGGATATAGAGATGCCGGGACGCTGAATGCATGGGCTATGGGCAACGCTATGTGCCGCCGCCGTGGGATCTTATGAGTGGAGATTATGCTGGGGATGGATGTTGTATTCGATAATTGTGCGCGGAACGTTAAATACCCATATTCCTACTCTTCATATGCGCTTCCCCTGGATCTCGTTCTTCCTTGACTTCAGGTTCTTCCACCTTGCCCTTTCCAATCCGTCTACGGCACCGTTTTACGTGTCTGTTGAAATTATCTTTCCGTCGGAAGATCTTGGTAGGTGTTGAGCAGCCGGGTATGGTGCACTGGTATGTCTCGTCGCTGCCGAGGAATTGTTGGTGTACGTTGCGTTTGTGACGCTTCAGATCTGCGGCTAGACCGAAGGAGATGCCGTTGCACAGGTTGCATGTGTAGCGAAGGTTATGTGTACGGTTGTAGTGATTTCTGGGGAAAGTTAGAAGAGGTTTTGGTGGGTGGGTCGGTGGGTAAATCTTACTTTAGAAGACCTCGGGTTCGGAGGGTTTTGGGGCAGTCTGGACATGCGTATGGTAGCCCTGTCTCGTCTTCGATGTTGCTTGGTGTTGAGTTCAGGGTCGGTGGCGAATTTGAAGGTATAAGTGCAGACCTAGGTGCTGATGGCATCCCCGATACTGTATGTGACGAGATCTCCTCGACAATCACGTGTTTGCCTTGCGGGTCAGGCGAGGCTGTGAACACCTCAAGGATATCATGGCGATCACCGTATAGAATACTTCGTCGGTTCGACAGTCCTTCTCCATCGCCGGTTATCCACGGTGGATTTTGCGACAGTTGTCTAGTCGCTTTAGTTGACGCTTGTATGGCAGGATGAGCGACAAACTTACTCATTGACGTTTTCCTCTAGCTTACTTGCCACCGCCCCTGTTGGCCGATCATCCTCTGATGTTTGACTTGAACCTGAGTCTGGAAGGTCACTTGAATTGATGGCATTGTCGGCTGACGAAGATGACGTGTCTACAAGTGACAATGCTCGGACAGTCTCGCTTTCATGCGGGTGCGTCAAGTCAGCGAAGTCTTCGTGCTCTACGCGCTGCGGCTGTGGTGATGATGTTCGCTCCGCTAGGTGAGCAAATATGACTGGATTAGGTTTGTATTCCACATCCCATGGGCTAACTCCTTGCTCTTGATCACGTTTTGTCTGTTGATACCCGCGCTTGCTACTTTCTGACTCGCTCACATATCGAGCAGGTCGAACTGTAATGGGCAGTGGATCTGCAGACACTTTAAGGACATCGTTAGCCCTATATGATCTGCTTGAAGGTGAGAGGTCTTACATTCGTTCACTGGCAAGTGCGTCAAGTATGTGTCGTCATCTAGTCCCAATATCTGCTTCGGGCTCAAGATAATGTCCTTGTTGTTTCCTGTCGACCCAGTCAGAGATTCGACGGAACTCTGCTTCTTTCTTCGACGATTTGTCCAAAATAACAATGCATAACATATCACAATGACCACAGGTACTGTGACGCCCACAGCGATACCGATGATCTGGGCTTTGAGCATGACTGCTTCAAAATATGGCAATGAGATGCTGAGTGTGATCTTCCCGTTGTAGAGAAATAGATGGGAAGAGTAAGAGAGACGGTGGTATTACTGCAGATATATGAAGGTTCCTCTGCACTACACGAGGCATACTGATATCGCTTGGCACGGGAACCCGCCCAATCATGACTGCAGGTGGCTTTCAGCCTCACCATCAAGCTATTTATAATCTATCATGCTGATAGCGCAGGCAAGAACTTCATTCCATATCCAAAGCTCGTTCTTTCCCTTTCGCACTTCCCCTATCAGCACTCGCCACACCCGCCGCTCTCGTCTCACAGCTCCTTACATGTCTCGCAAAGTTGTCCTTACGTTTCCATTCCTTGTTTGGCGTCGGACAACCAGGTACAGTACACCAGGACCGCTTGTTCGAGCGGAATAAGTCCGCATGTACCGTGTGTTCGTGGCGTTCGAGATCAGCTCTTACCCCGAAGGGGCGCAGGCAGCTGGGGATGTCGCAGACATAGCGGAGATTGTGTTGGCGATTGTAGTGTTTTCTGCAGAGATTGAGTTAGTATGAGGTCGATGAGATGCCACGGGCCTGTTGGGGTAAAGAAGGTAGTGAAAATACGCACTTTTGCTGGCCTGGAGTGTTGAATACTTGTCCACAGTCTCGGCAGGTTAGTTTATTATCTGAGGGTGTAAAAGGGGTGGCTGGAGACTCAGCGCCTAGGGATTGTGTCGTGATTATGGATGAGTTTGGTGAAGTGCTATGAGTAGCTTTAGATGCGAAACTCAGTTCTGTTCTTGCTGAGTCGGGCGTAGATCTACTCGACTGCGGGCTGGATGCGGTCTTCGAAGTCCCCAGAGGTGATGATTTGGGTGCCAATGTACGTGGATTGGGTCGTCGTCTTTGTCTCGAGCGATCCTTGGGCATGCAGTTGTAGCTACCGGCCGACTCGGCGTCTGTGTTCTCGGTATCTAAAGGGCGTAGAGCGGGGCCTGCTGCTCTCCTACGAGGGGCTGATTTGTGAGAAAATGCGGGATCGAATGTATGAACCGGTCCTGCTGCTTGTGGATGTCGGGAGTCGCTTGAGACCTCGTGCGTCGCAACTCTACCATGATGATGAGAACTCTCCGGTTGATCGATCTGCATGTTCATCTTCTCGTCCGAATCATGTAGTTCGTGACCATTGATTAATGGCGATGCAGCATTGCTTTGTTCCGTATCGATCAACATGCTATCGCTCTGTGGTGTTGGCTGGCGCATGAAAATCTCGACAACATCGGGGAACGTAACCGTGGGTTGCATCTCCATCTCTGGTATAGGAAAACCGAAGTCGAACGAGGTGCTGTCGTTGGCCTGCTGCACCTCAGTGCCCGGAAGATATGCCTCCCTAGGTGATGTCCTGTGTAGCCTGTTCGACGGGGTGGCAGATGTTGGATAATACACAGAATTTGGGCTAAGCTCGACTTCAAATGGATTTACATGAGTCGGTATGATATTTTGGTTTCGAGCCCTCTCCAAATGATCACCGTTTCGAAGAGTGGGGGGAGCGACACCAGAAGCTGGGAAATTGCCTTGTCATAAATCGTCAGTGGGCGCTTCAGAATGAAAAGGACTCAAACACACCTGGTAGCTCCAGAGGAGTTCTTTCATAGTATGGAAACACTTGCTGTGGGGTGTCACATTCCTTTTCTTTGGAAGAATCGGACCTTGCCGCGGCTGTCGACGCACTCCTGATCTGCTGGCGCGAGATGCGGCTGATGGGGCTACACTCGATGCCGCCTCGTCTTAGGTTACGGGCATGTGATTGGATAGCCTTTTGGAAAGGAACGAGTATCCGTTGGTCGGGACATCCGAGGCTGTTGTCGTCCTCTAATAACGTGGTCGTTATATATGGAGCCGGTTGTGGAGATGCTGAGTATCCAGGTGGAACCTCTTCTGACTCTTGCAGCTCGCATATTTTACGATATTCCCACTCAGGCTTTGCGTCAAGCTCTGACGGCCGCTCCCATGATTGCTCAGGTATTCCCGCCGCCCTCGTCCTCTTCCGCCATATAAAGAAACACACTGTTCCGATAGCGAGAACAGCACAGGTGACTGCCACGGTGATGCCAATCACCACCGAAGGATTGTTGGCTGCAGATGAGGCTCGTTTGTTACGGGAAGGCGCAGCGCGCAACAATGCGGAGCGGACAGCGAAGATGATGGGGGCCATCTCAACTGTGTAAGGGTAACGTGGAAATGGGAAGTTATTTTAGGTAGACTGAAAGCAGGTGCTGCTATAATTATGAAGTACCTAGCAAGAGCATGAGGCTGAGTGAGGCATACTCAAGTACTGAGTTGAGCCAATCACGGATGCAGGTCGTGCCAACTCGAAGGACTCCATTTTGTGCATATGCAAATGCAGATTGCCCTCATAAAACCAAGATCGATGATATCTATCCTGCCTTCTATTGGTACATACCGTGAGAGGTGATATATGCGCGTCGCCTTTGTGGAGAATTGCCCTGCGATATAGTTCCAGAGACGCGCAATGCCCACGTATAGCCATATAAAGGGCGCTTAACAACGTGGGCGGATGGATGTATCGGTGCGCCTCCGATGGAGCATGAGCCTATGATTGACTCGAATTGACGTCCTCCAACTACACTCGTTATGTCTCACCAGGCCGCATACAGGTCTTGGTCGGTGCTCGGCTCGTACGCCTCAGCGCAAATGTCGCCCTTGTACCCGTCCAACTTCAATTTCTCGTTGCATTCGCTATACCGATGGTCTTCTCACAACGCTGTACATGCCTTTTGAAGTTATCTTTTCGGGCGTATGTCTTTCCCGGAGTCGTACAGTCGATGTTTGGGCATCTAAACAGTTTCGCAGGAATGGCGTGAGTATCATATCGGTGAACATTATTTTCGTGCCGTTGGAGGTCTGCTCGTAGCCCGAACCTTGAGTTGCAAACTGTGCAGGGGTAACGGAGGTTGTGTTTACGATTCTGATGGTTTCTGTAAAATCTTTTGTTAGCATAGGTATAACGATTGCTTGTGCATCAAAGATTACGTACCTCCTCAGGCCTGGTGTTCGAAAGCTAAGGTGGCATAGAGGGCATGGGAACGCCGTATCAGTGCTCATTTCGGTTGATACTGAAGGAGACACTAAAGCCTTCGCTGGTGTCGACACGCTGGGTGGTGATGAAAGCGGTGATGCCTGCGAAGGAAGATTAATCGCGCCGCTATCCGTCCAGGTATGGGAACTCAACGAAGAGGCGATTGCGATGTCATTGTCGAGGCTACTTGAGGGCTGAGTCGCTGGTATGATCGCAGCAAAGTTGATGAATTCGACCGTTCCAAGCTTGTCCAAGCACCGTTCTTTACCTTTGAACGGTGAAAATTCTCCAGACGTTGCTGTGACAGGTGATATTGATTCTACTGAGAGCTCTGATGTACTAGATCCCAGCGAATGTACCGTATCATCCGAAGATTCAGTCATGATGGGATGAAGTGTCAATAAGGTGCCGCCTGGATCAAGTGTTGTGGGAGTTGCGCATGGGGCCGGGGGATCGTGGAGCCTGATCGCATTTGAGCGACTCATCCCAATGCAGTCCTCGGACGTTGACAGCATTTTTGAATTTGGAGCGCATGCTGTGCCATGATCGACGTTCTGTTTCGGTGTGGTTTTTACTGAAGATGACAAGTGAGAGAATATAACCGGGTTGGGCTGGTGCTCCACATCCCACGGATTGACACAGACATGTTTGTCAAGATCACACCTCCGGAAGGTGGACTGTTCCGTAACTTCGCCTTCTGTATTTTTTGTTACGATCGCGCGGCTTCGCCTCGGTCTGCTAAAGGCGAAGTAATCAACAGTATCTTCACCATCGGATTGTGGCGGGTGCAATTCTGCTGAAGTGCTTTCTGGCGGACAATGGTTGTAGGTGGATCTATCGGGCCTGAAGTCCTGAAGCCAGGCTTTAGAGCGTTCACTTGATTGTAGAGTTTCGTGTGAGTCTCCAGTTCCGAGGAATGGCGTTTTAGAGCCCGACGCTACACCCGCTGGAGCTGCGGTCAGCCATGGTGCTTTACCTGACGTCATGTCAGCCTCATGTTCTCAAGTTCAATCAGATGTTTGGAGCACTTACGACCATGCGACGTTATTTCGTCCAAGTACGAAGCATCGTCGGTGCCAAGGATCCGCTTCGCATCTACCACAACTGGCTTCTTATCCACTGTCGATGAATAGCCTCTTTCTATGTACTCCTTTTGTTCTTGCCGAGCAGCGGGGAGTTCAATAATGGAGAAGGGATTAGAAACACGAAAGTCAACGGGGGGTTCAGATTCAGCAAAGCAGTAATTGGCCAACGGACTCTGGTCTTCAAATTGCAACTCGCCATAGTGAGCCGCATCTTGTGTTTCCGACGGCTGACGACCTTGTTCTCGACCAGCAGTGTAGAGATCCTTTGCGCGAGCATGGCCTTTTTCCGCCTTGTCCACAACCGACGTAGATAAATTCTTTGCTTTCGTGAATATATGGCTCCCGAGCAGACATGTCCAGAAGATGGTGAGGAGGAGAAGCACACCGACGATGCATCCGATAACAATTCCCGCGATTGCGCCAACACTGAGCTCATTTCCAGTGGCGGTGCGTGGCTGAAGCAACCTCGGCGTATGGTCGATTGTTGGTAGAACAGTCATGGCGTGTAGAGGTTGGTTGGTGGTCTCTACGCTAGGAACATCCGTGAAGCGCCCTCACAGTGTTGGGGTTATAACAAGGCCAACGGGAGCTGGAGGCATAGTGATAGCAACCCATACACCCAAATCGGACGGCTTGGAAGATGCGGTCTGCAGGATAATTTTACGATGTGATTGAGATGATGTGAAGAGGTCTGCATGCGGCATGGCACACGGCTGAGAAGAGCTGGAGGCATACTGATTCTGTCAGGGCTTGTCATTGGACAATCCGCATATTGCCGTACTTCAGCCTCGTAGTATCTGCATCTGACACCGAGACGTTACACATGCCGGGTAAATGTCGCTGGGTTGATTCGTGCTGCAGAGGTACCAGATACAAAGATCACTCTGACATCTGGAAGGTGGGAGATCGATGACTAACCCCACTAGCTGCTTCCAGCCGAAATTAAACCACATGGTCTCAAGTCACATCGCAGGTCGAAGCTGAGGAAGCAACTAATCTTTGGGTATCGAATATGAACGCCGTCTTTTCACGCGGCTCTCCATAATGCGAGCGCAAACTCCTACGACCTAACAAGAAAGCCAAAAAAGCAGCAAGGCATCAAGCTCCTAGTCTTTTCAAGGTCTCGGTTTCCAAGAGCTGAATTTCCAAAGCCTGAGTGTCCAAGGCCTCTTTCTAGTGCGGCTTGATGCTGGACCTGGCAAGCCACAAGGCCACGCTCTCCTTTGCAACCTCACTACCCCATACGCCATCGGCTCCTCCTCGTCGCCATTCCTCGCCAGACACGTCTTCGCCGCCACCTCGGGTAGCCTCGCCGAGTAGCACCTCCAGATCGCGCTTCTGGCTGGACAACCAGCGCTTGAAGAAGGCCACGGGGTCCTTGGACATGCTGGTGAAGAAGGCGTGTTTCGCCTTCGACTGTCCAATGGCACCCATCAACAGCACGAGCTGCTCGTCAATCTTCTGGATCTCTTGGAGGGTCTGTATGCTATCTGGTCGGCGGAGGATGTCTTGGAACAGCGGCTGCATCGGGTCTTCGAGCGCTACCTGGACATCGTATACGGTCGGTTCGGAAGGGGTCTTGCCAGAGTCAGCAGCGGGCGAGATGTAGTCCTTGTCCACACGAATCGTGTACTGTAGTTGGATCGGTGGGAGAGTCGTGAGGTGTTGCTTAATGAGCTGGGGCAGGTTCGGGAAGAAGAAGTGGTCCTGGCCACCAAACAGGGCCTTCAGCCTCGCGTCGCATGCAAACTTGCGCTCGTCGTCTTCTTGTTGTAGGTGCTGTGACCTCGCGTACTCCCAAATGCCCATAAGCACACCAGCGCGGTCCTCCTCATCGGTGTCAAGCAGCTCGGCGAGAGGTTTGCTCAGGCGAAAGACTTCGGGATTTTGGTACCGCTGTAGATTGATCGTGATGTTGATGTTCTCGTCGCCCTTGCGCTCAAACTCGAGTTCGCTGAAGTTGGCCTCCTTCGCAGTGGGGTTCTCGGGTCGTTTCCATTCAATTTGCGTAAAATTGTCGGGTTGTAAGCTCTTGGCGCGGTCGAAATCGATGTTGATGGACGTGAAGTAGTGCGAGAACTGCTTGGGCTTTGCGGCTGGCTTTTTCTCTGCTCCATCTTCATCCCTAAATACTCGTCAGTTTTGCTGCAGGAATTGACTACGCGACGGGCACGCGCTTCAACTAGCGCCATCGCAAGGAAAAGGTTGACATACATAGCATCAGCGTCCTTCTCGTCCTCCTCATCCTCCTCGAGACCTTCATCGCCCTCGTCGTCGAGCAGGCGACCTTGGATCTTCACGCGGTATGTCGCGTTGTTCTCGCCGTCAAAATCGAAAGCGTCCGCGTCGAGGCCGGTGCTCTGCCAAGGCTGGTTCTCGGCGGTGTTTGATATCCATATGCGCATGGTGCCGTAGCGCGATGCGCGCGAATGGTGTTTTGAGTCCATGACATCCAGCTTCTTGCGCATCATGGTCGCATCCAGCGTGCGCTCGACCTCGCGCAATTCCTTGTAGCGGGCTACGGCATCGCCGATGCACACATCTTCTACGCCCTCGGGGATGTTCTTGTCGGTCGGGTTTTTCGCGATTCGGCGCATCTTCTCGCGGCGTTCAGCTTCGGCGCGCTGCGAAGCCTGCATGTTGGCGTTGTTGTACTGCGGTTGCGCAGCCGGGTGCGGAGCGTGGACAATGGGGCCTGGGTTGCGAAACAAGTGAGCGAGGTCGTTCCTACTAATCATCGTCTTTTACGGAAGGTATGCGCAGGCGGTCGGTGCGATGGGGCGTGTTGGGGAAGCTGTGGTTGGCAATGGGTACTTACCTGGTCGCCGAGATGGCGTAGCTGCATTGTGCTGTTGCGGATAATTATATCCCCGTGCCTGATAGTTCGGTTGCATGTTGCAAAATGTGCGAAAATGAACGGCAGCGAAGTTCGCGATGAAAGCGCGTCAGTGGAGATGGAAGGTGGATAGGATGGTAACTTCTTCGAGACGCGTCGAGGTTAGGTACGACTACGTGCATGCACGGATACTCTAGCTCCCCCTATAGCCATGCGGGGCATCACCCCCACCCAGCCCTCGACTGCACAAGCTTTTCCATCTATTTCCAGCCTCATCGACATCAGAGACCCGCGTGTGATGTAAAATAGCAGCCTTCAAGAGGTGCTTCTCGCTGCTATTGGAGCCCCGTCACATTCACTGCTTCAGCATCCGTCTTGGCATTCGTTGACGCTCGTTCAGTGAAGCGATCTAGTATCCTCCAGGTTTATCTAAGCGTCATTATCGCTGTCCCCTGTTCTCCTTCTTCCTTTCTTTTTCTCCCATCTGCACCTTAACAGGCAAAACCCGTCGATACCCAGCACCCTAGTCTTTGGCGTGAGTGAAGAGAAGGAAAGCATGGAGGACCAAACGTCAAAGAAACCTTTCAGAAGAATTACCAACGTGCGTATACCGGATAAACCGTCGTCGACACTCTGGGACATCACGATCAACGATGGGAGAATTGCTTCGGTAGACAGCCATGTCAAGGACTCGGACGAGTGCAGTGAGGACACGCTAGATGGAGGCAGTCGTCTCATAGCGCCATCGCTCTGTCATGCCCACATCCATCTTGACAAGTGCTTCCTCCTACAAGACCCCAAGTTCAGCGACTTACAGATCGAGAGCGGCGACTTCACAGAAGCCATGTCGATGACGGGTGAGGCCAAGTCAAGGTTTGAGGAAGATGATCTCCTGAGGAGGGGCGCGCGTCTCATCGAAGAGAGTATCCAACATGGTGTGACCGCTATGCGGGCATTTGTAGAAGTGGATGGGGTAGTGCACATGAAATGTTTGGACGCAGGTCTCAAGCTAAAAGAAATGTTTAAGGATCGCTGTGAAGTGCAAATCTGCGCGTTCGCCCAACTCCCGCTACTCTCTGGTCAAGACGGCGGCGAGGAAGTACGGAAGCTGATGACCAGTGCTGCCTCGTTTGAGAAGGTGGCTGTGCTCGGAAGTACCCCATATGTCGAGGACGATGAGAAGAAGTCCAAGGATAACGTGAAATGGATCACGCAGTTAGCACTCAAATACCAGAAGCATCTAGACCTCCATCTTGACTACTTCCTGGAAGAAGACAAAAAGCCACTCGTCTGGGATACCTTGGATATGATCAAAGAGCTCGAATGGAACGAAAAGGCGGGAGACAGGCAAATTACGTTAGGGCATTGCACCAGATTGACGAGGTTCCGGAACGATGAGTGGACGCATCTGAGACAAGAAGTAGGCGATCTGCCAATCTCTTTCGTAGGCCTGCCGACCTCCGATCTGTTCATGATGCGAACACCGGAGAATGTGCGTGGGACTTTGCCGGTCATTGAACTCATCAATGAGTACGGGTTCAATGCTGCCATTGCCGTGAATAACGTGGGCAACGCATTCACACCGTACGGTAATTGCGATCCTCTGGTAAGACATCTCGCATACATGCTCATGCAGAAACGTAGCTGAAATCATGAATAGAGCATTGCATCCTTAGGTGTCGGTCTTTATCAAGCTGGCACAAAGAAAGACGCTGAACTCCTATATGTAAGCAGCGGTCAAATCCTGTTTGATTTCGCTAATCATGCAGGAAACCGTATCGACGCGGGCGAAGGCCGCTATTGGCTGCGACTCGACGTCTCTCGCCCTCTCGCCTGGTCAGCCTGCCGACCTTGTGTTGTTCGACCGAATGGACAGTGGCTGGCACTGCAGGAAGAGCGTGGTAGAGGTGGTGTATGATGCCGGGCATACTCGCCAAACGGTTTTCAGAGGCCGGTTGATTGCTTCGAAAGATACACGAAAGTAATGTATGAGGGTTCTTCAGTGATGCTGAACGAGTTGGTGACACTGAAGGACAATTTCTAGGATGCGACCTCATACCCAGTGTCTCAAACGTACGTATACAAACTTTACCCACTCCGCGCTTTTTGATCTGGGTCTATACCTGTCGCTTTGTTCAGCTGCCTTAGATTGAATCGTTGAGGAGAAGTGTATTGTTCCCCTGCGGTCATCGCGACTTCCTTCAGATGCAGCAGTCGTCCCAATGGGCCTAGAAGGCCCTGCTTGTGACACCTTGTGCAAACTGCCTGCGAAGTCTTCTGCCTGCGCACGTCCACAGACCATACAAACGGCGATATTACGTTTCCGCTTCCGCGAGACCGAAAAGCGGTGGACAACGCGTGTTCATGTGTTCCATCTTCACTTCACTTCACTTCACCGGAAGGTGCAATCGCTGCTAACACACCAGACTCGGCTATTTGAGGACCGAGCGCCTGTCCCACGGATTCCAGCACTCATCAGCTCTGCAAATATATTGCATCAACGCCGGTACTGCGATCGGACTAGAAGTTGCGACCAACAAGAAGTGACCGCGCTGCCGCCTGTACCGACGTCATGGAAGCTCTCGACAGCAACAACTTGCTTCAGAATGCACATCAATCGCTAAACCCGACCGGAATGATGAACTCCGGAACGGTCAACGGCAGACGTGAGCACGTGGATCGTGGTCAGCGGCCGACTATCGGGCAGGTTGTTTACATATTCCTGAACAACATCAAGGTGAGTCGTTACTTTTGCACTCTCCATCGAGAGCCATCATCATGATATACATCCCCGCTGCATCTGATACTGACTATGGAAGCTCCGATTTGGTGAACATTCGACTGAGGTCATCAGCATCTTGAACATCCTTGGTACATTCCGAGCCGGAGAGATGTCGAAGAAAGACACACTCGTTGCGATCAGGCACACGCTCGGAGATCATGCAGACCTCAAGCAAGATCTTCTGAACATCCTGTTCCACAGGGAGGCTGACTGGGGTAAGTTTTGACTGTACGGAATGTACGCGAGACATATACTGACGTCGTGCGTCTACCTCCAGGCGTGGGTGACTTCGACTTCGGATTCCGCCAGCCTCTCGAACAACCTAGCCCTAGCCCTCAATTCCTGCAGCCCGCCCATCAGCCTCAGATGCGCTTACCCCCAATCTCTCCACTATGGCACGAGGTTGGTCATGCCTACTATAGCCAGCCTTGGTCTTCCGTCACCAACGGTCCGATGCTCGATCATGTGCAGTCTCCCACTGGCAATCACTCCAATTCGCCAGCAATTTCTTACCAAACGCAACTGTCTCCAACTCTCTCGCCAAGGAAGGGACCGACCACCACCGCTAGCCCATCTGTGCTCGGAGTACCCGTCGCTGTACCCATCGGCCAGCCCATCGACGACATGCTCCCTCCGTCAAAGAAACGCCGCTGTCATCAAAGCTCAACAACTCAGGCTAAGGGGAAAGAGGAACCAAGAGAAGAAGATGCCAAGATCGCTCGCCATATGTCACCATCTACAGAGACCACTGATCGACTCTCAGTACCACCTCAGCCGGAGAAGAAGATCAAGGAGGCAAACACCTCGTCGCAAGGAAGAGGAGGGCCCTACATTCATGGTCTGTGCGGCAAGGGATTTTCCGGCAGGTCAAAGGTCAAGAAACATCACTGGGGTAAGAAGCTTGATGATCTGGAGACAACTAGCGGTTGTTGGGCGAAGAACAACAAGCCAAACGTGAGCTGGAACGAGCATCCGAGCTGCAGAGATGGTGTGGCGCAACAAAAGCTATCATCAGCCGTTCCAAAACCGAGGACGGTGACTCAAAAAGCCCCCTTGGTCCCTCCGATGGTACCTACCTCTGAAGACCGCAATCATTTTTTTGCCGACACTTCGCGGCCCTGCCGAGAGAGTGAGCAGCCTATAGAAGACATGGGCGCTTATCATTCTCATCGGCTGCCTACTCGATCAAGTTTCGACGACCTGCTCACTGCTGTCAACGTCGCATGCGAGATCGACGCACCACAGCCACAAGGACGCATCGACTCAGTGGTCTCTCATCTCGATGCTCAGGCTGCCGCTGCTGAATACAATAGGCAGTACATCACCAACTGGCAGGCCGCTTCAGATGATCGTCGTGGGGAGTCTCTTCCATACGGTCGCCAAAACCCATACACTACACAGGTACTTGGCCTTCGAGGTGTTCACGTGCCCGTACACATGGCTTTGCCGGTTCTTGATGGATCGTACCAATACCCTCCTCCCACACGTGCTTTCACCAACTCGCACTGGAATAGCGACCACGAGGTGGCGTTCGACGGTTCAAGCCGACAGTATGCCGCTCTCGGATCGCCATTCTCACCTGGTGCAGATGAGGAATACCGTCAGACCTAGCTAGTTAGCCAGTTCGCGCGCTCAACTGGGACGACAACGTAGACGGCTTTATGGCAAGTGACTGCAGGTGTAAAAGAAATCTGAACAAGAATCCATCGAGTGCGTGCAGCAGTTGGAGCTGTGAGGCGAGTGTGCGACTATAATTCACAAGAATACCCAACTCATGTATGTAATGCTTGTTCGTGGAACAACAGAACATGACACGATCCAATCTGATCTCTTCCAACATTGTGTTGTTTCTGAATGACCAGGGCGTGATGATAAATGACGAGCTGCTTCGTACAAGAATGCAAATGGCGGTGTCATTCCTGCATGCAGTATACCATCCCGACCTTGCATACACGACATGTGGCGTGGTTCAAGCTTCCGCCTCAACGGGTAAGCTCATCGGCAGGGATACTTCACCCCAGCCGCTCTCCGCGTAAACATCAAGCCATCTCCACGTTCTTCTGCCTGTGAAGGGGGCGCATTTAGTTTTTTCCGCTATTTTCCGCGAATGGCGACTTTTGCCGGTGCCTTTTGCTAGACTAATCCTTGTCAAGTGAGATTGTGTAGTCGCGCTTCTGAAAGCTATGACGACCGAGGCTTCGAGCTTGCGACGGAGCTGGATGCCTCACGATACAACGTGAACAAACTGCAATTGCAATTGAGTGCGACAACCTTGTGCGACAGCTGATCGTCACGCTCCATGGCACAGATGTGACTAGTGTGCAGCTCCTGTGAGCTTACGCGGGCCGATTTCGTCATAGCCGCGTTCCTGGGGAAATTGACATGGCCTTCCTGCGGGGAAGAAGCGCACGTTCGCTACCCTCGAGCGGCGACCCGCACTTTCCCCAGTACGAGCCCATTAGCACCATAAACCCGGAGGCTGGAGAAGTGAGAATATGCGGGATGGATCCTAGTCACAGGATCGTGGAACGGTAATTACGCCGGTAGCCTGTTCCTTTACTGTAGTATATAATTACCCTCCGCCCTTCAACCCCGTACTCTTCTCCACACCACATCACATCACCTCCACTTCTCAACTCGATCGAGCTTGGCAAGTCACGATGCGGTTCTCAAGTGCACTCCCCTTCTTTGCTGCGACTGCCCTCGCGCAGTACAGCACCTCGCCGACCAACTCAAGCTCGTCCGGACCTGACAAGGACGGCAAGTACGAGATCTCGTCTGAGGGCATTCGCGGTCACTTCATCCCATACGGCGCGTCCATCTCCAACTTGTTCGTCATGGGCAAGGACGGTGTTGAGCGCGACATCGTTCTCGGCTTCGACAACGCGACTGCTTACGAGGGCGAGGTTCACCCCCATTTGGGTGGTGTGCCCGGTCGTTACGCTAATCGCATTCGGAACTCTACCTTTTCCATCGATGGCGAGCAGTTCTTCATCGAGCCCAACGAGAACAACAACAACGACACCCTGCACGGTGGACCGGATGGATGGGACTACCGCAACTTCACTGTTGTGGCGCATACCGAGGATTCCATCACCTTCTCGATCGTCGATCCCGACGGCAAGGAAGGCTTCCCTGGTGAGGTCGTGAGCTACGTTACCTACACCATGACCCCAAACACATGGAACATCAAGATCGTGGCGCTTGCTACCACCAAGAAGACGCCCATCATGTTGACTTCTCACGTAAGTAGACTGAATTCTTAACGCATAATGCGATGCTGATCAAATTAGACCTACTGGAACTTGGACGGATTCGGTAACCCTGAGGATGAGACTATCTTCAACCACACTTTCCACATCCCATACTCTGGCCAGCGCATGGATGTAGACGCCATTCTTATCCCTACCGGTACCATTCTTCCCAACGAGCAATACTCTGTCAACGACTTCTGGTCTGCTCCCAAGCAAATTGGTGCCAACCAGACTGCGCCCGAGCTTCTCGGTAACTGCGGTACCAACTGCACTGGTTACGACAACTGCTACCTTGTCAACCGCGACGAAGCCGAGGCTCTCGACTGGCGCAACTCTGGACCTGTCGCTTCTCTGTGGAGCGAGTGGTCCGGCATCAAGCTCGACGTCTACTCTGACCAAGCTGCTTACCAGATGTACAGCTGCCCCGGCCAAGATGGTACGTAAAATTCTCAAAGTCTTCATACAACTGCTAACCAAATTTCCAGGTACTCTACCTATCAAGTCTACTCAAGGTGCTGAGGGAAGCAGCGGCTACGTCCCCAAGTACGGCTGCGTTGTCATGGAGGTTCAGGACTGGATTGACGCCATCAACCACCCCGAATGGAGGCGCGAGAAGGAGCAGATCTTCGGTCCCTCCAGCGGAGCTTACACGCTCGAGGCCCAGTACGTGTTCTCTACCACTGAGTAGATTGCGTACTGCTGTGACGAAAGAGCGGAGCCTTGGATAAGGCGAGATGATACCACGTGCGATAGTATAATTAGACACCTTTTGAGGATGTCGTAATGGTAATCGAGGTTAATTCCTACTTCACATCAAATTTCTGCTTTGTTTTGTTGGTTGTGATAGTCCTTTACGTCGGTCACCATGGATTTGCAGTCACCGCGGATTTGTTGCCGTTGTCGTTGCTTATGTCCTTACCCATCTCGCCGACTACTCTATCCTTTACACCTTTACCTTCACCAAACGACTCGCCATCTTGGGAGCGAGAAGTTGCTATCCAAAAACAACCCCAAGGGTTCGTCTATACGACTCTAGCTAACAGGCTATTCGATCCCCATCTCCTTCACCTTCACCATGGCTGGCGGCCACAAAAACCGCAGCAAGAACCCCCGCAAAAACAAGAACAAAGACAATGGCAAATATGGCACCGAAGACGGCCCCAAAGCCAGAGATAAGGGTAAGGCAGAAAGCTCATAGCCGCTCGCACTCACTAACCTCAAGTCGCCCATCGACCTCCGCGAGCTCAACACGCCCAACTCCACTTCGTCTTTGAACTTCTCATTGCGCAAATTTACACCCCAAATGAGCATGTCTAACAAGAAAGTCGACAACGAGACAGGTCCCAAGGAACAAGTTGCGAACGCACGTACACCTCGATCTGGCTTCGATGATTGGACATCTCCAGAGCCTGATGTGCACAACAAACCTGAGCCCGGTCCCTCAAAATTGCGAAAGAGCAAGACAACTCGCGCAATAGGTCTCGCTCGAGCAACTGATGCAGCGAAGAGGCTGCACCGCGTTATGGGCATAGCACCACCAGAACCGTTTGTTATGCCGCCTGAGATACCGGAACATTTAGGGGAAGAGTTCGTTGCTGGATTGGAGGAGTATGGTTTGGACAACAAGACGCAAAATATGGGGTTGGATGTGCTGAGTCAGGCGGCGGGCATACAGGAGCGTCTGCCGGATAAGCCGCTGTTTCCTTCTCCACATGTCGATGCGGATACTTGGGATGAAGGAAAGGGGAAAGGCAAAGGTAAGGAGCCCATGTCTACTCCAATAGCCAAGGGTAAGCAGCCTATGGCGCCGATCCAAGCTAACGTCGCCATTCACGCTCCATCAGGAGTAGAGCCTTCGTCAGCTAAGAGGCGCATGTCGCCTCCAGGCGGTGATGTAAACTCCAGCCCGGCACCAAAAGGTTCCCGTGTAGACGGTAAAATAATCGGCCTACCAACCCTTCCTGAGTCATCTTCCTGGGATATCGATTTCCACGGTTACACTCCCGCCCTTCTCACCATCCTCCTGAACTGGTCCTTTACAGTACAGTCATTCTACCGGCGCCTCCCAGACCCCAAGGCCTTCCGTGCCCATGCCTCGTTTCCCTTCCCCGTAACCGCTCCGCTCTATAACCACCTCGTCTCCGTTGGCTTCTACGACACCAGCATCGTCCCACACAAGGAGATCCAGTTTTTAGGTCCAGGCGACGCAGCTGAGATTGCCTACGCAGAAGTCGATGTATTTCGTGGCAAGGAAGAACGCCCTGCTTTCGAGAAGCAGGAGCAAGAACATACAAATCTCGAAGAGATGAAGAAGAAGCTGAGGCTTGGACGTAGGTACCGTGGACCGGGAGGACAGGCGAGTAGATCCCAGGATCAGATGTACCTTGCCATTCATGGAGAGGGACGGTGGGCGTACAACTTGATCAAGGGCCACGCCGCCTCGCCTGAGGACATCGCACCACCGCATGTCATGCTCGCGTGGCACATCTCCGCTGTCACCAATGTGTCGAGTTGCCTACACACTGTCTTTGCCGAGAACAATGCTCCCGCTCCTGGCGACCAGCCCACGACCCCAACATCTTCTAAGCAGCCGCTGAAGCGCTTTGCTTCCCTACAGAATCTTGTGAGCGGAAGCCGTGGCCAGAAGCATCTCCATCGGAGATTCGCTCCGCTTCGAGCAGTTCCGAACTGCCTCAAGTGGATGTATCGAGCATTGAGCCGCAAGAGGGCGCGCTGACGTTGAAGAGGACGGTCGCCAAGATGGAGAAATCTGGGAGTATACCGCTTGTTGAGGGCTTCCGGGTCGACGTTGGGCAGTTCAAGGGATGGCTGGATGCTGTAGGTAGGGGAACAGCAAGCTCATTATTTGGAAGAAGTAGTAGTCTACGACTCTACCATCCATGTGCCAGTTGCTTAGAATGTGGCTCCAGGGGCTTGCAGTACGATTGGGCGAAAGGACTGAGCTCGGGTTGGTCGTTCGGAAAAGATGCTTCGAAAGAGAGCAGTGTGACTTTGCACTGTAAGGCGAAAGGCTGGATGAAGTGAACTTGCTCCCGATTGAAACAACAGTCGCTTGAAGCTAGTCATCGTTCTGTTTTGGCGGCTCCATTCTAAATACACACTATTAGCTAAGACCACCCCAGACATGGAATTTACTTCTGCCCCAAAGCTATCCCAAGAGACGTCGCAATCGCGAAGCTCTTGACGCGACCAGAGTTAGTGGAATTTGATTTATTTTGCTTACATTGAAGTGAGGCGCGTCATTGCGACACATAGTGGTCCCTTATCCAATGGTTCACATGTTTCCTTAACCGATACAACACGGCTTCTTCGTCCATCATAGGTAGGTCACTTTCATCAAGCCGCCTGTTGACGTCTTCTGCGAGGTTCATTCGGACTTCTTCGGGAATATCCGTCCAGTAGCGGAGTCCCTTTTTGGGAATCTTTTCCATGTTTGCATCGACCGCCTCGCGGAGTACTTTCTAATGACTGTGTTAGAACACATGACAGCGCTCCGTGTTACCGAGCGAATGCATGACATTGTACTTACAAAAGGGAAAGGTCTCTGAGCAGCCCTTTCCCAGGCTTCGTACTGATCTGCGACTGTTATCGGTTAGCATTGATAAGCGTTGATGCTCTGAATATGCATACAGCGCTGATAGTGGCGCAGCTCTGGCAGAATCTTTGATACACGCCACTCGATCCCTTCATCGTCTACAGGTGGAAGGCCTTCCTTCATTATAGACTCCCTGATCGTTTGGGTCAGATATTCCTTCTCCTTTGGAGAAAGCTCGGTCAATGTGGCGCGTGTGAAGTCTTTGCAGACTGCGAGTGAGATACGCTGCTACAGAGTTAGCACTATGAGCGCGTCGCGACAACTGATTGAGCGATATGTGTACCAGGAAGATTGGCCATTGTTTCTCGGATAGCCCCAGAGTTTCTCTGACGCTGCTTCTACTCATGCGCCGTGGGATATGGGTTCCGGTTGCCCAGAGAAATGCTGTGATCCTCATTGCGCCGGTTATCTAACGCGTAACGTGGGTAACATCGCACAGGCTAGACCAACTCGGAGTTAAGAGTATTCAGGTACCGTGTTATCCGGTTTGCTTGTACCTGCGTCCAAGTCTGTCTTGTGGCGGTATGGTGTTGGAGATTGTGGGGAATGCATGGAAGCGTTCCATGTCGCGTTTGACAGAGTGCAGACATCATGACCCTTGCATTAGCCTATTTTCGGACCACGCTAACATCCTAGCGGCAAAAAAACAGTCCGATCCACCACACAGCGTCGTCGACTTCGCGCGCAACACCAGATGGCCCCAATGCGGGCGTCAACATATCTGCGATGCTACAGTTTGAGAGCCTCAGCCGCTTATCGCGCATGTTCTATCGAAGTAACATCCCCGTTCGGTTGTCGGGGGGCGGTGCCCGCTGCAAGGTACCTTGCCGCATGTGTGTGATTGGGGCCAAAAATGCAGGTGGCAGGCAGCATATTTCATGCTCTGTCCTTAGAATCCTTCCTGGTACCTGTGTACTTGTTCAAGCTTCCCTCTCTCTGTTTCGTTTTTCTTCACCGTTTTTCAGCTTGGGCGACGATACTTCTCGGTACTCTCAAGCGCCATGGCTTATGAACCCGTTAGACCCCAGGCAAAAGGTCCACACGTGTCGGTGGAATATGATGGCGGCCTGAACACCGGATACGATCCTGGGGCGTACAACGCCGCCCCGCATGTTCCTCAAGATAACGATACGGAATACAGTGTCGAGAGTACCAAGGGTGTATCGCAGAAATGGCCTTCGGATCTACAGAAAGTAGGGAGGATCACGCCGTTGAAAGCACTAGTCCTGGTTTTCGATGTGGTTCTGGCTTCATCGCCTATCATGTTTCTAGGTGAGCACGATCGATCTCAAAATGACTGCTCTCGCCTGTTTTGGCCTGGAGCTGGTCCCATCGACTGTATGCTAACGTGCTACAGCTCTCGCCCTTATCGCTGCCAGGTTGAACGGAAAAGAGGTGTCGGACTATGGTACCAAACTGGAACAAACACTTCTCCTCTCGCCCACAATTTTCCCTCTGATCTTCGCGGCCTTGATGGGAAGGTTCTTTCGACACGTCGGTCTCTTCCTTGCTCAACGAGGCACAACTCTCGGCCGCCTTGAACAGCTGATTGGCTGCCAATCCGTCTTCTCCGCACTGGAACGTCAGTTTTGTCTGAGATCCTGGTCTATGGTTGGACTGGCATCCGTCTTGATTTGGCTACTTTCGCCAGTCGGAGGACAGTCTGCACTTCGTCTACTTGACCAAGAGATTGGAAATGTCCAATTTATCAAACAAGTGCGCTATCTGCATCCAACGACGTTCATGGATTCGATGATGGAGACTCCTAATGCCCTTAGTAAGTTTGCATGTGCCAAGCGCATTTCAGACGTATACTGGCTCTATACTTACACTATTCGTAGATGGGGCCCGTAGCTCGTTCACGCCAATCTTTCTCACATCTATACTCAGCAGTACCAGATACCGTACTACACCCATGGACCTGTGGGGAAATGTCAAACTCCCGCTCTACCGCACTATCGAGAACAGTACGTCCGACGAGTGGAAGTTCGTGCCTAATGGCACAGCCGACAACGTCACATACGCTTCCCTAATCGGTATCCCCATAGCCGGACCTCCCTCTGTCGGCATTAGCTCTTTCAACATCGAAGCTCGCCAATTTGACGTGACCTGTTCAAGCAATAATGCATCACGAGGAGAACCTATAGATTTTGTGTCAAAATATACGTGGCAACTTCAAGTAGTCAACGATACAGCGCCACCGCCTTGCAAAAAGAACGAGACGTTCTGTACGGCCCCGATTTGTGCCAGTTACCCCTGTCCAATCCGGAGTGAATCCCTTGTCGACTCAGATACGGGCAAGTACTCAGTGGCGAATTGCGGGCTTTCGTTCGAGAAATATGAAGTCGGAGTGCGCTGCAATGGGACGGAGTGTGCCGCTTACAAGATGAGGAAGATGTACTTGTATGACGAGGACTACCCAATAGGCTACGATATCGCCTTGAGGAGGCAGTTCGTCACCAACCAACTTTTCGCCATGACGAGCGCGGATAACTACAATGTGGTTGTTGCGAAGGCTCGAGGCGCGACAACTATGGAGAAATGGCTGCAGGACCCACTCGACTTCACCGGCGTATTCTTTGCAAATGCCGATCTCTACAAGCTATCACCGCGAGTTTTCGGCGACCGCTTGACTATTCTGTATAACACATTCTGGCAATCCACATACGCCGGCAGAGCGATCGGCGGAAATTTACCAGCATCCGTAATGGAAACTGGCGCCATGAACTTTACCCAGGCGCAACACGCGGACGCCAACATTACATTTGTCGCGACCGAAGCCAATATATCGCAGAATACAATTCCAATGTACAAAACCGATTGGAGATGGTTCGCAGCATTATTGGTTTGCTCAATCATACTGCTTGCCGCCGCGTTCACCGGACTGGTACTTAAGTACATCACGATCGCACCGGATATCATCGGCTATGCATCCTCGCTGACGCTTTTGAATCCTTATGTTCCAACGCCTACGGGAGGAACTACCTTGACTGGATTGGCGAGAACAGCGTTGATGCGCGACTACCCTGTGCGCATAGGAGATGTCTGCCCGAATGAGGCCGTAGGCGCAATAGCATTTGCAAGAGCCGACAGGAACGTTGGAAAGCTGGACAGAAAACGATTATATATATGAGAATATACAATCGAAGAAAAGCGGCGCTGTCGGCTCTATCTAAAATTATAGAAGAACAATGATGTACATCACATATCATCAGAAGATCGCGCGTCAGATCTCGCGACACACCGCATGCCACCTCATGTGCGTCGATGCAACTCACCACAAATTCTCGATTCATCCAACGACATTTTCGAGTACTATAACGTATCACATATTGTCGCGCCGCGGCTATAATCACCACATGAAGCAGGCCGAGACCAATAACGCCATACCCACGCGGCTCGCGAAATCCAGGATGATGGCTGCAAGCACCTGTCAGCACCTGTCAAACCTGCGCTATAAACAACTTCGCTCTTAACAGTGGCTTGAGTGGTGTAGTTGTTTAGTCGCGTAGCCGATTAGAAGGTAATGAGGCATTTGGTGTGTCGGCTCCAAGACCTGCGGGGTTTCAGGTGCCTGAGGCAGCACTTTGGAACACCAACACCGGCGGACGCTGGCATTGCAACTCCGCCTAGTAATTTTGCAAGACGCGCTGTAGATCTGGACGTAGGCGCGGTGGGGGTAGGTGTGCGAATATATATTTACTGAAGATGCCTCTGGGAGAGGTTCATCATCAAGTCAACACTCCTTCCACTCACGTTCACTTCTCTTCATTTCATTCTCTTCACTTCACTTCTTCAGCGCTCGGCCGCCCCATTCATTCAATACCAAATTAAGATACCCATCACTTTAACACGAATTTCATTCCAAATACTCCAAACCGTCACCATGAAGTTCACCAGCACCCTCATCGTCCTTAGCGTTGCCGCTCTCAGCAACGCACGCGCCATCTATGTTCGTCAGAACAACGCGCAGACCTTCACAGGCGCTCTCGGTGGTGTCGCAGCTACACCTGTCCTCGACTCGGGTATCGCGAACCGCCCCTTCAGTGTCAAGGGCGACACTTTTGTCAACCTCTCGGGTGCCCTCCAGCGCTCTTGCGATCAGCAGTTCAATGGCTGCGCGAACTTGGCCAATGGTGGACAGGGAGACTTCTCTACTCAGGAGTGTCAGGCACAGAAGGGTGAGTGCAATGATTGATGATTTTTTGGAACGATCCTAATCATGTGGTAGAACAATGCGATGCTGCAGGCGCTGGCAACTAGACCTGTCCTTCGAGGCAGCCTATCGGCGTGTGTTGGAGATCATGTAGCTGTATGACGAACAGCAAGAGGCTTGATGCTTTGCAACGAGGAGACTTCCAACATGTATACTCTTATGATCAGACGCAACGCAATTTATGAGATCCCAATCCTTTCACACACGCACCTCTTGTTTCCAGGATGTAAAGTCGTACCACTTTCACTCAAGGTCAAGGTCAAGGTCATGTCTGTGCTGGTCCTTTCTCTTTCTCTGCTTCATCCTTCCCAGTGGAATCCCTTTTCGGCAAGTTCTTGAGACATGGCGCGTTGAACAAACGACCGCTCCATGCACCTCGTGCTGTGCCAACAGCTACTACGCACCACAGTAGAATGACGGCTACGGCGAATATCGTCCCTAGAACTCTGAAGAACAGACTCGGGAAGATGTTACCAAGCTCCATCGTACTAAGAGCCATGACTCCAAGAGGGAAAGTGAAACCCCACCAGCCCATGTTGAACGGAAACGGGCGAGACTTGTAGATGGATGCCAGTGCGAAACAGAGCCAGGTCAACCCAAACGCCCACATTATGAGCGCGAGAAAGACTCCGAAGATGAAGAACATGTCGCCTGCTATAGGAATGTCTGAAAAGAAATCCGTCTCTGGAAAGACCCGTCTGCTCACCGAACCAAGATACGTTATGGAATAGCCGCCCATACCTAGTGGGCCAAGTGGTAGGAAAGATGATACAACAATCTCTCTTGGTGGTAACTTATGCAAAGCCAGACGTGTATAATACATGACTAGAACAGTCATCGCTAATGGTGTAGACATGCCCCACATGATGTACGAAGCAAGTATCGTACCGAGAGCATATTGCGGATTTGTAAGATGCTCTGCGACTCTGGCACCAGTACCTGCAGCGACGATAGATGCAGCAATAGGTAGTAGTTGAGCTGCTGTGATGCGATCCAAAGCCTGACGATCCGAGGCGGAGATCAGCAGGATGGTAAGCGATATTGTGACTGACACAGCGACTACGGAATCGATCATCCAGCAGACCCAAGCAAAGGTAACGGCCCAAGGCCCCCAGTATGGGATGCATATCGAGCACCAAGCTGAGATGAGCGTAGCAAATCCCATTGGAATGGTTCCAAGGAAGAGCGAGTTGACACTGTCTGCGATCATGACGGTCCATATCTCAGGGTATACCACATATCGGAAGACGGAGACGGAGAAGGCGCATGCGAACAGAATAGTGTTGAGTCCGAAGAAGATCACCGCCAGCCAGTATAGCCAAGCTGCTTTGAACGGTATAGCAACGAGGAGTAGAGATACGACTCCCGTGCCCATCGTCACAGAGAACCACGACGGCGAAAAGTTCCTGACAATTCTCCGCCAGCCGACCTACGTTTGTTTAGAGGAAATTTTCAAACCCTGTGGTCGACACGTACATCGTATTTCGTCAACTCCCCAGATGCGACCGTAGTATTGGAACCGGTAGATTGAGCAGCTGACGTCGATGTCGGGCCCTGAGACTTCAGCCGTCGTATGGGAGCCCGCTGGGCCGCGGGCGCAGTCAGAGCAGGATTATCCGACGCGACGCGGTCCAATTCGTAGTCATCCATTTATGCAATGCGCTGTCCGTATTTACATAGCAGTCAGGCCGGCTGTAAATGCCATCTTGGATAGGACACCACCTTAGCGATGACGATGCAGTCGCCGCGCCGCCATTGCCCGCTCGCAAATCCCAGAGCCCAGATCCAATCACGTGGATAGCACGGACCGATCAGTTTCACAACACTGAACCTCGTCGAAAAGGCTGAACCTCACTTCAATCCTCTCCGCAAACTTCCTTTGATCACGTCAGCTTCCAGTCGTCATCCCCGCGTCCCCATTCTCTGGTCCCGCAAGCAGCGAGTGCAGCCCTGTACCATACTCAACAATCCTTCGGTCTCGCTTCCGAACATCCGTGTGCCTGCCGCTGGACCCTGATCTTCGACAGGCGCATTCGCACTTTTGGTCACCAACAACATGCCCGGCTTTTTGGATCTTCCACTTGAACTTCGAAACCATGTCTATGAGGTGTTGCTTAACGAAGAGCTGGGGCGTTCTTTTCGCGGGGTTATGGTGGTGTCAGAGCATTACGTGAGGAACGATTTACCGCTTCGGTGCTATCGCGGGCTGCTCCGCGTATGTCGCCAGACACACGGAGAGTTCAAGCAAGCAATCCAACACCTGGTCGCTGCGAAACGCCTAAACTACGAATTCGACATTACTTTCTCACATGGCCGGCCGTACTTCTCGTTGAGTTGGGTTCAATTTGCGGCGCTTTCGCCTACCATCAATCAACTTCTCATCAACGTCGACTTGCGCACAAGAGAGCCCCTCCGAGACGGGCCGCGCGAATCTTTCGTTCCTCATGAGCATGAGCTGGCTCATCTGTTGGAACACTCGCCGACTTGTTTTGCCAAACAGCTCTTCGATTACATTGCTATTTTCCTAAAAACACTTGCGAATCTCTTATTCCAAGGCAACCGACTCTTCAGTGTGCTGTACACTGAACGCATGATTTTGAACTTGCGCACGCCAACGAAGGTGGTAGCGCTCGGAGGAAATGGCCATAATCCGATCACCCTGTCGCGAAGGCTTCGTGTTGACCAAGCCGAGGCGCGAAAGTTGCACAATACCATGCGCAACACTCTCCAGATCACGTCGAACAATTTCAAAGCGTTTGATGCAAACAACTGCGACCGGCTATTTCCGCTGATACAGATTGGTTCTTTGCGATTTGCGACTGAAGGGGAGATATGGGGGGAGGGACACAACCTAGTACTCGCGCATGATGATTTTCAGTGGTTGCGATATTAGATACCTCACAAATTCTAAAGACTAGAAACTGATCAAATTTATACACCTGAATATTAAGTTTTGCGGTTCGACGTGTAATGACTAGTACACACAATGTGCGCAAGAAGACAAGGAACGTGTGCGCGAATTAAATCTGGCAAAAATGAAAAGGCCAGTGTCAAACCCTAGAATCGAATCAAGCAGCAAAAAGAATATTCTGATCGGTGCTATCAATGCCAGGTTGGGTGTTTCAAGACCTGTGATGACTTGTCAAGCTGTGACCTACTGGGAGCATTGCTGAGTCTTACGAACCCATTGATGTCGATCCCATTCAGCCACCCGCAATGTTCTTATGAAAACTCACGGTATTGGAAGTAATATATAGACAATATAGAATTCCTGTGGGGAATCACAGTGGATCAGTTGCTAGACCTCTGGACCCTGAGCGCAGTGAAGGCGAGGCAGTGGAAGTGCGCTCGCTATACTGCGGTGACGTACTGTCACACAGCGCAAAGGCTCGCCTTCACTTTTGACCTGAACAGATTTCCAGCGCGTCCAGTCTCTCGTGACCTGTACTCTCGCTTGTTGACTCGTCCCACAACCCGGCGTCTCTTTACCTGCCCATCCACTTGATCACCCTGCACTCCCCTGAGTATACAACAACATCAACGTCACCATGTTGACTCTCTACTGTCCTTCCCTAAACAAGACCAAGAACGATTCCGGTGTCGGGCCCTTCAAAAAGCATGACGAGCTCCTCCAAGACATTCGCTCGGTCTTGCGCATCGATTACGCCGCCGTCTACGACCTCTGCGCCTGCGAAGCAGGAGACATCGTGCGAGTTGCCGCGGAGAAAGGCGAGACCATGCGGTTCTACTCGCCCAGGAACTGCATCTTCTACAATGGTGAAGAAGAGGTTAGCAACGAATGGGTCGACGGTTACGGCTTACCGTGGAAGGTATGAGTGGTGTATATTGAAGCGCGATCAACAAATTCTGACCAAATGATTAGGAACTCACCGACCCACAGAAGTGCGGACATGTCATGAGCGTCGGTAAAGGTCCAGGAGGTTTCGTCTTAGACAACACCATCCGGATCACGCGCCCGTACGTCGACGTTCAAAAGGAGTTGAAGGAAATCGCTGGTGCTGCTCCGGACGATATGGATTCCAAGCGCAACCTTGGGATGGCCATCTTCTACAATTGGGCCAGAAAGTGGGAGATGCTCCTACCCGCTTCGATGAAGCCGGCCCCTGACGAAATCTTCACCAAGGTCCTAGGTCTCCTCGTCGTCCTTTCCTCGTTCACCCACGGCTCAGGAGGCCTAGTACGCGGCTACCTCGTCGACGCCGTTAACGCCCGCCTTGCTCTGGAAGATGACGAGACGAAAGACCCCCTCCTCCGTGCTCAAGACGTCGTGCACGTGATCAGCACCCTGTACGACAAGGCGGGTAGTCTAGCGGCCAAGATCGCGCTAGCCAAGGAGAAGGCGATGAAGGACAAGATGAAAGCGAAAGAGGGGAAGAAGGCGTGGAGGAGGAGGCCAAGGATGGGAGGGAAGAGCGAGGCGGGGGCCGATGTGGATGAGATCGCGGATCGGCTGGATGGTGTTTAAGACGACATGGGTTCTACAAGGTGGAATTGTAAGATAGTATAGAAGCCAGATAGCTACATACCTAATAGCCAGTAAGAAACGGAGTTTCCCAAACCTTATGTAGACATCTTAGTGATTAACCGCATCCAAAGACGAAGCTCCTCAAACTCCAAGTAGACGTGTTAGTGATTCCTACCAACAAGGATTGAGCTTCCCAAACTCGATGTAGACATCTTAGTACCTCACCCCAGCAAATATTGAAAAATTTAACCTCCATGTAGACGTCCTGCAATCAATCACTAAACCCCTCAAACTCATCCGCCGCGTCCTGCGCCTCTTTCTCCGCGACCTTCTTCCGTACCTGCTCAATCATGCCCTTGACCCTCTCTTCCTCCTTCCGCTCATCTTCCGTCAGCGCCGCAACACGATCGTGTTCACGCTTCGCTGCCTTCTTTTCTCTCCTTAGCTCCTTAAGCGCCTTCGCGTCCTTCTGCTGCGTCCAAGCCGACGCCTTCTTATCTTCCGTGACATATCGCTTCTTGCCTTCTTTCTTCCCTTCCGCTTTATTAGCTTCATACTCGCTCTGCTCGACCTGTCGTTGCTGTTCACGCGTCTTGTCTTTGTATGCGTACGTGCTGAAATCCATGACTACGCCTAGACTGCGGTCTCCGTCCCACTTCTTGAGTTCGGGCATGCTGGGTAGTTTGAGGAGACCCCATGCGTTGCCATGTTCTGTCCAGTCGAGATCGGGGATGCGGAAGATGGAGCTGGCGGTGTGTTTGCTGTAGGCGCGGACCCATGAGACGAAGCCTCGTTGTGCTTTGTCGAATAATGCTCTGTCGGACTTGACTACCTTTCGTATCCGGTTGCTCATTGCTGTGGCTTCTTCCGCGGATACTGTAACTTCAGGTGTCGTTAGAGGCGATACTGGGGTCTGTCGAACGCGCAGAAACTCGATGTAATCTTGTTCTCGGCCCGGACTGAGGAATGTAACGGCTAGGCCTTTGCGACCTGCGCGACCTGCGCGCCCACAGCGATGGATGAAGGTCTTTGGATCGCTTGGGGCATCAAGTTGGAGGACCAGGTCGACTGACGGGATGTCGAGACCACGAGCAGCGACGTCTGTGGTGAGGAGGATGGATGGTGTGACGCTCTCAACGAATTTGATAAAGTTACGGTTTCTGACCTTGTCCGGGAGTTTGCCGTGCAGCGGCACAATGGTGTATCCCGTGAGAACTTCAGGTAGAATGTGTTGGAAGTAGTCGACCGAGAAACATGTTGCCAAGTACATGATAGACTTCTGCGGTTGCGGATCCAATGACTTTAAGACTTTCTTGATGGCGGGTAGCTTGTGCGATGCTGGTAGGGTCAGATATGTCATCTGCAAGCTTGCTGGCGTTTTCTTGTCTTCGATGGCACCCATCTCCCCTGTCGCACTGTTGGGTGCCGCTCGTGCCTTGACCTTGACAGCGATACGAACAGGATTCCGGAGACCCACGCGAATCAGCTGGTCGACAGCTTCAGAAACACTAGCACTGAAGAGACCCGTTCGGCGTTGCTTGGGTAGTCGGGAGAGAATTCTTTGTAGGTCATCTTTGAAGCCAAGATCTAGAAGACGATCGGCTTCATCAAGTACGAGAGCATCGAATGATGACTGTGAGCAATGGACATGTGGCGAAGAAAGGAGTTCAAGGAGTCGTCCCGGTGTGCCGATAAGTACGTTGGTAGATGACTTGAGGAATCTGCTCAGATCCTGAGCTGGCGTTACTGATCCTCCGAGAAGAAGCTGGGGTATGACCCTCAACGTCCCGGGTGGAAAGGTCGGTTTTGGCGGAGCGTCGGCGTCTTCCATATCAGTGTCTTCATCTTCAGGATCCAATAGAGCCGCAGAGGGGGCGTGGAATCTGAGAAGCGATGAAAGTACTGTGTGGATCTGGGTTGCAAGTTCCCTTGTTGGTGAGATGATAATGGCACCCACGTGATGCTTTTTTATAGGCGCATCCAGTCGCAATAAGCGCTCGACAATGGGTATGAGGTAACTAGGAGCTTGTTAGACGCGCATAAAGATTGACAATGCATGACCTTACGCTAGAGTCTTTCCACTCCCTGTGACGGCCTCGACTACGACATCAGAGTTCTTCATGAACATGGGAATGGCTGCGTGCTGCACAGGCGTGGTCTTTACGAAGCCCATGGAATCCACAGCTTCGAGAATCCATTCTGACAAGGCAGGCGTCAAGGCGCCGAATGAACGATCTATCTTTGTTTGAGGTGCCATGATGCGCTATGATACCGCAAAGATGTCTGCTGGAGTCGCGATGGCCGTACAGAAAAGTCGCGCGAACTTTGAAAATAAAGTGGAGCACTGCACGGCCACTTTGCGCCACACTGCCGTTCATGGGCAATCACGCGCGGAGGCACGCGAGATCATTACCTGTCACTGTTGTTTCGAGCGCATCTGACAAAAGCTTGAACACTCAAAACATGATGCATCGAGTCTGCGAATCCGCTGTGACGTGCAGACACCGTGTCTCCTTTGTCGAACCTGATCGCATCGCCAAGACTGATCCGCCGCCACGCTGATCATAGGCGCATTCGCGAGACCGGATCATACATGCGTAGCCGTGAGACCAAATTTCCCAGGCTCATGCCGCAAGATTACCTAGCCGTCACGCCCCAACCCATTCCCTGTTCACCCGCCTAAAACAAATAAGACGACCGCTGCTGTCGCCTGCACGCACTGTGGCATCTTCTGCCTCCCTAAACGATGCGCGCTGCCCGGACGAATCCGCGGGCCATGAGCCTCTGATCACGCCTGGTGCTGACATCAATGTCGAAGCCACCCTAAGTGCCGCCCTCCCACATGTTAGCTGTGACGCGCCAACCCAGCCTCATTACCTTTATTCGCAACCCTCCGATCGCCAGTCCCTGCTTGTAAACATTGCCCTACTCTGTGCCAGGGCCCACTCCACTCTCTCCGGCGTCATCCGGGCTCCTACTCTTCCTTACTTTCCCACCTGCTGGCGCGTTGCCATGGAGTCTTCACGCCAATACCAGATCCCCAACACGCCGCGTGTGATATCGCCGTCACCCACGCCCTCGGAGGCGGGTAGTACGAAAGATGGCTATTTTGGACCGGTGACGCGCTCTTCGACGCGCAAACAACGGGTTACGTCACCCCCGCCTATCGATGAGGACTCAGGATCAGACCCCGACACCAGGGCTCGAGCAAGGAGCCGGAACGCCAGAAGTCGAAGTCCTGTCCTAGATGGGAGCGTAGGACGGCGGAGGATGAGCGGCCTGACAAGCCGTAGGCAGATGAACGGAGGCATGAAGAAGGATCTCACGCTGCCTGGCAACACTTCAAACGGCCACCTGTCACCCGCGCAAGCAAACAAGAACTACTGGAGGGAGATGAGCAGGAGTCCAAGTCCTCTAGGCTTGATTCCTATCCACCAGAAATGGCGGTCATTCGTGAGTACACAAATGGTGACTTCGCAAGCTCATCACTTACATCTATAGATTCACCGACATGAGATCCCTCGCAAGATCCTACACGTCTCCATCGGCTTCCTGACCATCTTCCTCTACTGCACCGGCACGCAAACGTCGCAAATCCACAATGTTCTCCTTACCATGCTGATACCCGTCGCCCTCGCCGACGTCATCCGACACCGCTACTGGCAAGTAAACCGCTTCTACATTCGCTGCCTCGGTGCCTTCATGCGCGAGTCAGAGGTAGATGGATACAACGGCGTGATATCCTACCTTCTGGGCGCATGGATAGTCATGCGCTTTTGCCAAAAGGATATTGCAGTCATGAGCATCTTATTACTGAGTTGGTGCGATACCGCTGCTTCAACGTTCGGCAGGCTCTGGGGCCACCTCACGCCCAGAGTCAGGAAAGGCAAGAGTCTTGCAGGTTCCATCGCAGCGTGCGTGACGGGTGTTATCACAGCAGCTGTATGGTGGGGCTGGCTAGGTCCCCTCTACTCAGAGTACAACCACGGCGAACACGCTTTTGCGTTCCAAGGCGCCCTGACGCTCCCTCCACAGGTGCGAGAAACTTTCGCTCTCTCCGTGAAGCAAGCTTCTCTTACCGGATACTGGGCACTAGGCGCCATGTCTCTAGCGTCTGGCATCATCGCCAGTGGCAGTGAAGCGATCGATGTTTTTGGCTGGGATGACAATCTCACCATCCCCGTGCTTTGCGGAGCCGGGCTATGGGGCTTTCTCCGGATCTTCGGCTGATTAAAGCTTCCTACATGTACGATTTTACGTTCTGTCTCTTCTAGAGTCTTGCTATTTCCAATCTATATCCCCTTTGGATCAAATGATACCCTAGACACGGGTCCTCGGGGAGTGGCATCGCATCTGTCATGGTTACGACGGCGTTCTGGGACGTAATGGATACTGGGTAGACGGAGATGGACGGGTATTGGGCGAGTAGATCTGGACATGAATCGGTATACTTATATAAGCAAATAGTGATCATCCTTGCAGCCACAGAAGCCACTTTGGTGTGAAGGCGTCGTAGGGCTTATCGAGTTTCAAGCCGAGGTCCAGATTCTCACGTCGCTCATCTACCAAGCACCGAATCCAGCTCTCCCACACGCCTTTAGGGCTGACTATCGGCATGTACCCGTTCTCAATGCAGAGCAGACGCAAAAGGGAAGGCCTGAATACCCTGAAGAATCCCTGCAAAGTGATATTCGACTTGGCGCATACCGCCACATGCGACGCGGCCATTGGAGCATGCCGCAGACTTGCTTCTTCACACATGATCACGCTCACTCACGCTCACTAACTAGACTCACGGAAACACTCTGACTCTTGCGCATACTCCTATCCACCCAGTAATCCCCTACCTACGACTGCCAGCGAGCCCCCTGCCGATCGCCCGCAGCTTGCCCCGCTACACCCGCCGTTAAGAGCCCTCCACGTCCTACGCCCGAACGCGCCTCTGGAATCTCCACCTACCCTCTTTCCGCAACAGAACCGGCGCACACAAAACTTTCCTCGCGCAAGAGCAACTGCATCCGGATCGCTGTAAAACGTGTGCAATCTCTGCGTCGCAACTGTTATAACCGTCTCTTCGGCTGCGTTCCCCCACCCGTTCCCGATCACTCTGCGCATACCGAGGGTTCAACTTCAAACGCCACTCCACATACACATACAGGCTTAGGGAAGGATACTATGGCGTCGTCATCTGCGGCAGCGGGGCTGCTGGCTCGTCAACTCAAGCAAATGCAAAACGACAAGGGTATATCAGGCATAAGCTGTGGCTTGGTGGACAACAATGTGTTTGAGTGGGAGGTGATGCTGATGATCGACGACGACACAAAGTTCTACGGAGGTACAGACCGCGACCTGATCTTCTCAAGTAAAAGCTCCAGTACTAACAGCAATTACAGGAGGTTTCTTCCGCGCGCGCCTCACCTTCCCCAGCGAATACCCCCTCCTCCCACCAAAGATGCGCTTCGAGACACCCATCTTCCACCCTAATAGTACGTCTCCCCCTCACAAACCCCTCAAAAACCCCCTCATGGTTCAAGTTCGCATAACTAACACTTCTCAGTCTACCAAAACGGCGAAGTATGCATCTCGATCCTCCACCCACCCGAAGAAGACAAATACGGCTACGAATCCGCCGCAGAACGCTGGTCGCCCGTGCAAACACCCGAAACGATTCTTCTTAGCGTTATCTCCATGCTGTCCAGCCCGAACGATGAGAGCCCGGCGAATGTTGAGGCTGCGAGTCTGTGGAGGGATAATACGCCCGAGTTTAAGAAGAGGGTGAGGAAGTGTGTGAGGGATAGTTTGGAGTTTGAGTAGGGTGCGTGGGGATGGGGGAAGATTTGGGGGGATGAGAGATAGAGGAAGGGACGGAGGGAGGCAATGTGTCTTTTGTGATAGCATAAGCGTGGATGGATATTTGGGTAGGCGATTTATTGGACTGTTCATGGCTTGCATGGTGGTGTTTTTTGGAGTGTTCTTCGGGAGGGTTGAATACATACGATGACTCGTTCCTCGAACTCATTGATGGTATTGCTATCATCAGATTATAGCAAGAGACAGGATCTGTTCTGGTTCATCATTGCTTGCTTTGCGTACTCTGACATGAGTAAGTAGGTTTCGACTCATCAGACCAGGAACCACATGCAGAGTCATACTTTGACCGGCGGAAGAATCCTAGTAAGTAAATAGGGTCCCAAAGCGAATTCATGAAGCGAGGCATTAGATGTAGCTTAGAAAAAAACAGATTTCTCATTGTATCATACACCCCTCTCTTCCTACCAATCCTCCATCTCCAAGTATATCTACAAATGAACTGTCCCACCTAAAAGGAGTGGTAGATGGTGACAACAAGAACAGTAAACCTCCTTGCGCTATATCTCAGCAACGTCTCGACCGCCACTCATATACATCCACTCTCCAAATGGTTCACTGCTTCAGCAGCCGAACTGGCATGCCTGAATGCATCTTTGTCTTGAAGTTTGAGACTGCTTAGGCAGCAGTGCAGAGCAATCCATCAGCACCAAGCGGCACAATGCAGCACTGAGCCGTGGTTCCGTCTTTGGCACAGGCAGCTTGGAAATCCTCTGTTGTTTCGATACCGGCGCCCGCTGTTGTCACTTGTTAGCGCTCACCCTCCTCTTTATACTGGATAGGGGACTTGATAACGTACCGTTCGCGCAGTTCAAGTTGGCAACACCAAGGACATCCGTCTGGCAGCACAATGGCGTGGCGAGACCACCGCAGATCTCGCTCTGGCGCTCGACGAGAGTGGCCGTGTACGGGTAACGCTTGGTTACTGCGGCGGCAGAGGTGAGGCTCAAGAGAGCGGTGATGGTGAAGATGGTGAACTGCATTTTGGTGGTTTGGTGGGTTGTGGTGGTTGTGTGAAGGTGTAGATGAGAAGATGAGAACTGCTGTGATGATGAGTTTCCTTTGGGGGAAATGAGGGTGGCTTATATATCTCTGATGGACGCGATGGCGGAGGTTGCTCCTTGCGTGTGATGTCGTTCTTTGTCTTGCCCCTTGTGCTGTTCTCCGCTACACTGCCTACACCCAGCCTCAATCTCGCTCACCCCATCCGATGCTCCCACGTCCAAGACCTCGACATGTCGATCAATATCCCCTATACCCTCACCTTTCTTCTCCCTTTCGTCATCAAGATCCCGCGGCTCACTCCATCATCGCCGACCATACACTCATTTCTTTCACTATTCACTATCACGATCAGGCCGATCGACATAAGGCTCAGATACCCAGTGACGATCCCTATCCGCCAAGTCTTCCTAACATGCCTACAAATCGATTGATTAGTCTACATGCAGATACGTCACGCCGTTTCGGGTTGTAGTTTCCTCTCTGTTTGGTCACGTACCCTGGCTTGTAGTGCAGAAAAGGCAAGGACAGATGTGGGGACCTGATGAACGGCAGGGTAGTGCTTTAGCGATTGATGTTAGTGTTTCGCAGACAGCAGGGAGCTAGGCATGAAGCGAGATGTAGATCTGATAAGCCGTGGGCTATAACCATAAGCAATGCTTGGGGGAAGGGTTTGGCCCGTCGGCGAAACGACGAGGTGGGTTCGCGTCAATGTTTGGTAGTGATTAGGGGTAGTGTTATCGGAGGGTTCCAAGGTTATTTGTTTGGTTCTGTCCCGCGTACCGGCTGTTAGAAAGGAATGGTTGTAGTGAATGATGTAGATGCCTGAGTGTTGTTTGGTGTTTTGCTTAGGTGAGGTGGCGACGATGGATGGATGCAGTTGAAACCTTTACATTTTGATACGGTACCTGCATAATCAACTCCACGATATGCCCACAATCTAACAGATCTGTCACGTATCTCACCAAACTCAATTGACGTTATCTCGCATGTCTTGGATTCTATGCCTAGGCGACCGACGATCAACGATCCCGAGGTCCTCAGGGCTAATTCATGCGTCGGCCACTTTGACAGCTCACTAGAATCTCAGAGTAGCCTCCTTCACAATCTCATATCAACTCCAGAATTCCGTAACAAAATCCTCATCCTTCCGCCCTATCTCTCCATCCTCCCCGTACCCACCGTATCGCGTCACCAGCCCCCACACGCTACCACGGCTTGGCGCGGATGCAGCGTCGATCATGACGGTAGATAGTAACAAGCCTTCCGCCCTGAGCCTATCTCGCTGGAACGCCCGGGTGCAGTACGTACCGTATGCTATCTCTTGATATCAGGGACCGAAAGAAGAAAACATCTTGGTAGCTATTTTGAGCTTGGAAGGTGTGGAGTGGACATGTGAACCGAGGGACGATCACCACCCACAAGCACATGAAAGAGGATATTGGCTCGGCAGTGTAAGACAACGAACAGGGGACATCACAAGGGGAGTGGAAAAATTGTGGAAATGTCGATTATCTCATCTCATCTCTTCATCTGCCCCAATAGAGAGATGAAGAAGAAGAAAGCACACGGCCAGCATATACCCTCTCTTCTTTTCTTCCTTCTCTTACACACGGTAATTATCATCTCTCTTCCTACATACATACACCTCTCTCTATCTCTCCTACATCATCAAATCGTCAAGGAAATCGGGGGTGGGAATAACAAAAAAACGACAACAGCGCAGTTACATATAAACTGTAAACATCCTAGGGTATCAGGCGCCAAAACATCCCGCATTCGTAACGAAACCAAAAAAAACAAAAAGCCAAATAGATCAAAAGAGCGCCAGATTGTGCCAATCCATAAACGTCGAGGCGAGTGGTGTGTATGCTTATCAGTGTAGTCGTTTCCTTCTCCAGTTCTTATATGTCATCCCATGGGAAGTCTTGCGGATCGATTCTTGTGCATGTCAAATAGGGCAGTCCACCTTCTCGGAGGTCGAGTTCGAGGAAATTGCGCATCAGCGGCTTCACGGCGTCTTTGGCTTTGACCTTGATCTCTTCGATTCTGCGTTCGAAGCGCTTCAGGTTGTCGCGGTTGTAGTGGTCGGGGTTCAGTCGCAGGAAGCGCTTGCATTCGTCGTGGTTGAGGTAACTTGAGCCGGCCTGGCCGAGCAAGCGGAAGATGCGGCCGGTGTTGAAGACTGGGGGAGGTGGCAGCGGCGCACCATCTCGTGAGTTCTGGGGCCGTGGCGATTTGAGGATCGGGGCCGGGGGTGGCGTGGTGTTCTCGGCGAGCCATTGTCGGAATAGGGAGACTGCTATCCAATCCAGCCAGTTGCTCGATGGGCTGACACGCTCGCCGCGACTGGTTGTAAGGGACAGGCGGAAGAGCTTGACTTCGATCTTGGCCTTCAGTTCGTCCATCTCGTCGACTTTGTCTTCTATCAGTTCGATTACAGGCTCAGCGATCTGGCCGCGTAGCTGATTGATGCCTTGTGGCCATTGTCCGACAACGTGTACCATGGCTTCGGCAAAAATGGCTTTGCTTCGTGCCATGTAGCCAAGCTTGAGGTAGCTGGGAGGGTATTTCGCAATCTGCTTCCACAACCGGCCTTGGAAACGCAGCAGATGATGGTCTACGCGTGGTCCGATGACGCCAAGCGCGTCGTACATGTCGGCAAGCTGCAGCAGCGATTTGCACTCTACGTAGGCATTCGCGATGTTGAGAGAGTCGAGCGTGGGAGGGTAGTTGTAGAAGATGCGGAACAAGTTGTCGTAGTCTCGGAAGGTGTCGTCGTCGGGGTCGGTCTCGGGAGTGGCTGTCGCGGGCACGTGGAGGGTGGAGAAGTTGGCCATGCTGCGGAAGAAGCCTGACTGCGGTGCGGCAGGCTTGTTGCGCGCAGTAGGCGGTTGCGCGGGCGGGCTTGGGTCGCCGCCAAACATGGTGGGCTGGTTCTTCTGTAATCTCGTTAGCATACTCGCTGTCGCGGACGGTAAACAAACACACCTTCTGCACGAGCATGGGCAGGTCATCATCGCCGCTGCCCCAATCCATCTCATACCTCCATTTCCGCTTCTGCTCCGGCCGTGATCCCGATGGTATCCTCGACAGGGCGGTGCCGTTGCTGGGCCCGGCGTTGGTCACATCACCAGCAGTCGCCCACTCATCGCTCGTGCCGGCCTCGAAGAAGCCCGAGCACTGCGTCAGAATCAACTTGTGCAGCAAATAACGCATTTCCTTCCGCCCATTGCTGATGACGATTTCGACGTCGCCGGTATGCGTAAACACGGGGAACTCATTTTGGGGTGCTAGCGACGAGCCCCCCAAATTGGAGCGGTGCTGGCGATGTCTGCGGACGGTGGATGCGCGCGACGAGTGCGATACAACCGACGAGGGACGCCGTATTGGCAGTGAGCGCTCTGCACTCGCCGAGTCTGGGTAGGAAACCATGCGCCGCGACGTTTGCTATCTCGCTGTCCGGGTTGGTGTTGCTGTGCTCGGGGTGGCCGAAGGAGTGGTTTGCGACAATGATGCGTTCCAACAATATTGCGACGGCTCGCGGATGGCTGGAGGCGGATGACACTGCGAGGGCAGGGGCGCGTGTGGCGACAGCAACAAAGCTGCGTGGTGCGGTGGTTGCACGCAGCGGTGCAGCTCGCGGTGCAGGCAGGCTGGTGGTGGGCGGCCGGCTGGGTTGTTGATGCTAGGTTGAGGCTGGACTCGTGCGCAGGCCGTAGACGAGAATGGCCGGCTAACCACCCCACCTCGAATGCGATGGCGCCAAAGGTGGACCTTGGCCCAGAACCGGTTCAGCGCGACAGGGTAGACTCTGCTGCTTTGCGCGACCTGTGCAGTGTTGACAAAATGTTTCAGGAGCCGTGCAGCACCAGACAACAGTGGCTGTGGCGGTTGTTCACATGGCCGCTATCCAATATGCACCTGGTCTCATGCACCCTGGGACCCAGCTCGAACAGGTTGGAGGCTGTGCGCCAATCGCCGGCCATAACCGGGCCAAGCGCAGAGTCAGCCTCGATGGCGACCAGCTGGGATGTCGCGGCCAAAACAGGGGAGTGCAAGCATCTGACGGTCCGAAGCTTCCAAAGTTGATGCAGGGGGCGAGCAGCGTGATTTGGTAGAGGATGTGGCCATAGGATGGATATGTTGACTAGATATTTCTTGAGTGGTGTCGCGCATCTAGTTGCGGCACCAGTGACACCCAACCACCTGACATCATAGTCTAGATACATGATACATATCGTACAGTACTTCTTCACACCATCAACGACGCTCCGCTTGTATCTTTTCTTGCCCACCCATGAACGGACGCAGCACCTCTGGTATTGTTACCGTGCTGTCCTGCTCGTTCCAGTGGTTCTCAAGAATCGCCGCGAGGACTCTGGGCACAGCAAGTGCTGTTCCGTTGAGCGTATACGGGAACTCTAGTTTACCTCCCTTCACACGCATGCGCGTCTGTAGTCGCCGACTCTGGTAGTCAGTGCACATGGAAGACGACGTCACCTCGCCCCATCCCTCGTCCTTCTCACGAGATGGGAAGAAGGCTTCGATGTCGATTTTCCTCGTCGCGCTGGCACCGAGATCGGTTGTGGGCATTTCCAAAATGCGGCAGTGCAGCCCAAGTGCTTCTAGTATCTCCTTTTGGATCGACAGCATCTCGTCAAAGATTGACTCGGAGCTCGGTGCCGTTGGAGTGGTAAAGTGATCTTCTCCCATGTTGTCAGGCGTTGTCCAGGCAAACATCTCCACCTTGGTAAACTCGTGAACACGGTACAAGCCCTTTGTGTCGGCTCCTCTTGCGCCAGCTTCAGCACGGTAGCATCTGCTCACGCCGACTGCCTTGAGTGGCAGCTCCGCTTCTTCCAGGGTCTGATTGGCCTTCATGCCAGCAAGCGGTATCTCTGCAGTTCCTGCAAGAGCGAGTTGCGGCTTCGCCTTGTCCTTCTCCGACTGCTCGATAGCATATGTTTGTTGCTCCCCGTTTTGATCCCGCGGTTGGAACCCGCATGCAGATGCAATGTGCGAGTACACCAAGGACGGAGGTGCGACTGCTTTCCATCCTTTCCTCCTACCGACACCTAGGGCGTACTGTACGAGTGCCTGTTCCAGCATTGCACCGTCTCCTACTAGAAAGTACCAGCCCCAGCCCGAAGTCTGCGCCGAGCCAGAGAAGTCAAGTATTCCCAATTCCTGCCCAATTTCGACGTGCGACTTGCGACTTTGTGACCTCGAGGACTCGTTGATGTAGCCGAGTACATCTGGTTCGGTGCCGACGGGCGTGCATGTGCTGCTTAAGTTGGGTAGATCCTGCGCCAGGCCTTCTATCTCTTCCTGGATTTCTGATTCTTGTGCCTCAATAGAGCTCAACTCCGCCTTCAATGCCTTTGCATCGCTGATCAACCCCTCTCTCAAGGCTACCGGCTTGCCGTCGGCGTCCTTGGCGCGCGATGCTGTCCTGGCTAGAGTGGCTCGTATGCGATTGTTGCGCTCTCGCAGGTCGCGACTGCTTTGCTGGAGTGCGAGCCATTGTTCATGCAGCTCTATGATTCGCCATGACGACTTGCTGTGTGCGGCATAGTTGCGATCTATGCAGTTCTGCTCATATAGTCCTGGGTTCTGTCGAATGTGTTTGATGTCGATGGTGGGTTTCGGCGCGAATGCGGGTCGTGTGTATGCTCGGCGTGGTATTAAACTCGTCCGACATGACGTTGAGTTGCCATAGAAGATATGCCTCTGACATATTGCATTGGCGCGGAGAGATGGTCGGACAGCTTTCATGGTTGCAACATGAGAATTGTAGTCGAATCTCTTGCTGTGTCCCGCTTTCGCGCCTTCCCGACTTTTGAGCATCCTTGATCCCTGTACGCAGCCGTCGCGTAAGTCGCGTCCCAGAACCTCCCCGCATTCTCTCACTCCACCCTACACCGGTGTACTATTCGCAGCGTGTGTCTGTTGAGGATCAGCCAGACGATTAAAATGGCAAACCTGTGCAATGTTTCAACAATATCTGAGGGCACAATGTCTATTCGCCTGTTCTCTCACCTTGGCCCGCTCACGAACACGGTACCACGGTGACCCTTCAAAGCCCCGGTGAGACACTTGCAAGTACTCGTAATCCTTCCTCCTGTTGGGTCAGGGCTTCAACTACGAGCGAAAAAGCTCGACTGACAGACTCATGTAAATCGTTCGTCCTCTTCGCCTCTCTTTCCTACAATATACTCACCATGGCTCCCAATCCAGGCAAACGCCCAGTTGACCTGGCATGCGACCTCCTGACAGACCCGGAAGACTCCAAAATCTCCTTCGAAGATGGCCTCATTGCTGAAACTGAGAGAACACGCAAACTAAGTACAAGTCGGGGCCAAAGACCGTCCGCGACTGTACCATTCCCGCGGCAAGACTTCATTCCATATCCATTACCAGGATTGAAGGCACATCTCACGCAAACTCCAAGCCTTCAGTACATGCCATTCTATTGTTGCCCCATCTGCAGAGGGAAGCGTGAGGCGCATGCCCACGTGCGTAAACTTTTCCTAGTCGCCGAGCGACTTATGTGGGAGGAAGGATTGGTGTCGATGAGTGAGAAGAATCGCAACGCATATTTCAACAAGCAGGTCAACGACGAACTGGGCGTTCCAAATCCTACTGTCAGTTGCCAAGAATATTTCCCTGGTGGAAGGCATAGCCAGACCAACAGACACCATCCTTACCGAAATGAGCACGAGATGAGGATCGCCTTCAACCATATACACACACAAGACAACTTGACAGAAGCTGTGTGGTCACTGTGGATTAGTTCACAATTGGACATTGAAAATCTGCTAGCAGAAGACAGAGCAGCGGGTACTCTTCTGCCTGGAGGGAACGCACGAGGATGGACAGGATCGACCAACATGGCATCACACGATCATGCGTCTGCTCAGCCTGACTATCTTTCCGGGCTACCCACGCCGCCAATATCCTCCATGGAAGAGGCTAGACGTATGAATTCCATCTTCAACTCACCTGTACCGGCCGCACAACAGAGTCAATTCACTGTCAACTCGGCAAATTTCCTCAGTCACAGCGATCGAACCGTCAGCTATAGGACCTTGCAAGACTCCTACTTCCTTCTCGACAGGATTGAGAGAACATCGTACGTTGCAGCGATATTCATCGAAGCATACGCTGAGAGGTTGAGGTTGGATAAGTGCAGGGACTGTTGGCATAAGCAGAACGTCGGACTTGATGGGCTTTGAGAGCGGCGTCTTCATCATTACATTATTGCTTTGAAGATACCCACTACCACCTCCACAAGGAAGAAATTAGGCAGCTGCACTGCAATCTACCCCATTATACAAACGGAAGTTAGCCAAGTCAATGCAAACCTCTGAGCTATTTACTTTTAATAGGTGTTCAACTTCTTCCTCGCATGCGGTGATATGGCGTCCGAAGAGGGTGAGATTTGTCACAGCATGACGCCTCTAGTGGCGGTGCACTATACCCGAACACATAAAACAGCATCCAACATGACGTGGTCTTGTGGCAGTGATTTAGCATTCCACAAAAATGACCCGGTGGACATAAAATCTGTCGTGTGCCTCTGGCGCAGGGCGATGGGTCCTCGGCTCGCTAATCGCATCTCGGCCTAGAACAAGGGACTGCACCAAGCTTGGTCGTCATCCGCACCTTTTACCAGGCATCCTCGAGCGGCGTGCATCACTGTGCCGCCGCGGCCTTGGATCTTCGTATCTGCCCGATTATAAAAGCGCTCTTGCTCTGCCTTCCTGCCGAACGCCCCTCCGCTGCTCCCCTGAATAAGAAGGGACCATCGCTCCTGCTCGCGTGCAACCCTTACCGCCCTGACATCACTCCTCGCTCGTCCACCTCCACCTCCGCGTCTACTGCACCCCACACTCGCCTGCCACGATGCACGATCCGTTCCCTATTGCGCCGCCGGAGAGCCTGGTCAAATATGTACAGCCCGTCGCGGACTTCCTCAACATGAAGACGCTGCCGCTGCACTTCCACGAAGTCGCGGCAGCCTTCACGCTCTATCAGATTATCTTCAGCTATGTCGCCCCCGCCATCTCGCGCTTCTTCTTCCCGCGGATATACGCGGGCTTCACAGCGCGAACCAAGCTCAACTGGGATGTGCATATTGTGTCATTTGTGCAGAGCACGCTGGTCTGCGGTATGGCGCTATGGGTCATGTGGACGGATAAGGAGCTGAATCAGATGGACTCGACGGAGCGCGTGCATGGATACACTGGAGCGTCTGGCTTGATTCAGGCCATGGCAGGAGGCTACTTCCTGTGGGACTTGGTCATTACTGTGCAGAATGTCAAGGCATTCGGTATCGGCATGCTGTTCCATGCTATCTGTGCCCTCTGCGTATTCTCGCTGGGTTTCGTAAGTAGACCACGGTGCTTCTCGGAGCATATGGGGGCTATTCAGAGTACTGATCGTGTGACAGCGTCCCTTCGTGAACTACTACGCATGCACCTTCATCCTCTACGAACTCTCCTCACCCTTCCTAAACATCCACTGGTTTTGCGATAAGCTGAACATGACCGGCACCACCATCCAGCTCGTCAACGGCATAATTCTGCTATGCACCTTCTTCTCCTGCCGCATCGTGTGGGGATCCTACAACTCCATCCGCGTCTTCACCGACGTCTACCACGCCTACGCCGCCGGCGCATACACGCACTCAGACCCAGACGTCGGAAAGCTATCGCAAAACACCACTCTCCACAACGCCGGCTTCAAACACGACGTCCTCCGATTCGCCGAAGGCCAGACTGTCCCTCTCTGGCTCATAAGCGCCTACCTCGCCTCCAACATCATCCTCAACGGCCTGAACTGGTTCTGGTTCGGCAAGATGATCGAAACGCTACGGAAACGCTTCGACCCTCCCTTTGGCACAAAAACACAAAGCCCCGAGATTAGGGAAACTACGCTGGAGATACCGGATGACGAGAAGGTGCTGGTCGAGGGCATACACGTCTCTACTCCCGGTGCGGTTGAGCGTGATGCGAAGGATTATATCGAAGTGACTGATCGGGCGGCAATTTCGCTAGAGAAGAGCCAAAAGGGCACGCATTTGGAGATTGGGCAGACTGAAGTGCGGAGTCGGAATGCGGGACAGAGAGGGGGTTTGAGGGCTGCGCAGGCGGCATAGGGGGTTGGCGGTGAGATTGGTTGACTTGGTGTGGGTGACATGTACAGCATCATCTTCCAAATTTACATACCACGGGGTTGTTCCATAACCCAGAATTCAGGAGCTATTGACATACCTTTCCCCTACATCACACATACCCACGTCGTCACTTACGTCCCCAAGTCCGTCCACCCATCCTCCCTTACAACCCCTTCAACCGTCTTCAACAGCGCGCGTAAACCCTCATATTTCTTACTCCCCTCTGACATCGCATAAACAGACCTCCCAAGCTCAAGCTGCAGACGTTCTCTCGCGCGCTCCAGCCTTTCTTTTCCTTGCGCAACTACCTTCCTTGCTGCCTCGACTTCAGAATGGGCGGCCGCAGTGGCGGCGCTGCCTTGTGCTTCCACCGAGTCTATCTTCTTCTTGCTTTCGAACACCTGGGTGCGGAGGATCTGGAGGTCTGCGTTTGGTTGTGTAGGGTTAGTGGAGCTTTCTGGTGTAGGGGGCTAGGTTGGCGAAGGACAAGTTACGCACATTCTTCTTGATCTCCTCGTGGCATGAGCGGTAATTTGGCTAGAAACCATTCACCTGTTTCACGGAGACTTGTTAGCTGTCGTGCTTTTGTAGCATGTCCCTCTTTGTTCGAATAGAGAGACGGGTAGCTTACTGGGAATCTCGATGATTGCGGGAATGGCAGCTTGGACGCTGGAATGTTGGAGTTCTGACATACTACCTAAGTAGTCGGGGTCTTATCGAGAGACTCTTAGAATGAATATGTAGAAAGTGATGCAGTGGGTGTGCGATAGCTGAGTGGCAGGATAGCGAGAAGCTTAGAAAATTACAAGCGAGAGAGGGTGGCATCATTGATAGATGTGACACATGTGGTTTGCTAGGTATCGCGTCGGTTCATGGGACAACTCACAAGTTGACAAACCACAAACACTTCTCATCTTATCGATCTATAGCCCTCAGAAGCCGCAGCTATACCTTGCACTCCTTGACAAGACCCGCTCTGCGCATCACTCAAACAACGTCTTGTCAACCTATCCCCTTTGATCAACTCCACCAACCCCTCATGCTTAGCATCACTGACAACCTGCTCAATAAGCAGCTTCCACCTCGTGATTCTCTCATACTCCTTCGCCGCATAGATATCGCGTTCCAGGCGGTTACCTTCAAGTTTCTGTTGTATAAATACGGAGGTTGTGGTGTTGCGTGCTTCGTGCAATTTATTTCTTTGACGTGGCAGCGGAGAATACTGAGATCTGGGGAATGGGTTATGATAGTTTTGAGGGATAGATGATTGGGGTATGAGGAGATAGAGTGGTAGGTTGGGGGAATAGATGATGGAAGGAGAGTGCCTAGGTGAGCTGGATGGTGGACGTACAATCTTCTTTGTTTTCACAGGACTTCTTCTTGAGCTTGTCTATAAGCCATTGGGCTGCTTAGTTAGAGAGCTGATACGTCTCTCTTGGGGAATAGCCTTGCAGTTGAACTTACTAGAGATGGTGGGTTCTTCTGTAGATTGCACAGTTTTCGGTTGCGCACTTGGTGGTGCTGACATTTTGTAGTGGTGTGTATGAGAAGAAATGTGGAGAATTTGAGAAGGTAAGCATCAGAAGATATAAGCATACATATACTGGTTCACCTGCTTATTAGTGCCAGAGGTGCTTGGTAGGCAAGGACAAACTCGATGGATCTATTGCAATCGCATTCTGTAGCCCATCTTCACAGCTTCATAGACAACTCCCGTGTTCATCTGTACCGTACAAACCGCATGTAGCCGCCGGGGTATAACTTCCTACATCTAACCTTACTTTCAAAAGACTCCGGGTATATTCTCGCTCCTTCAAGTAACTCCATGTAAACACCAGACCTATCTTGTAGCCGCCTCGTCCATCCATCACTTCGCTCAACTCGACATAGCACCGCCCTTCTTCTGACCGCCTTTCGAGGACCTCCTCCTCGCCTTCCCCTTCACACTCCTGCCCTTGATTAGCTTAGCCGGGATGACTTCAGCCCGCTCATAGACGATGGTAATGGCGTTGAGGACATCGTCTTTCCGCAAGGCGGGATCCTTGTCGTCACCCTGATCCTCTTCAGTCCGAAGAGCAACCGCTTCTTCAAGTACTTCGAGGGCGAGACGAGATTGGCCTTGGGTGAAGCTGGCCGTGATACTCAACGCAGCCAAGGTCTCGATGTCACAGGGCTTGCTGCTGTACTTGTTGGCGTTGTAAATCTTCATAGACGTAGGTAGGAAGTCGCTGACGGCAACGCCCCAACACTTCTGGATCTGGTCCTCGAATTCGGCAGCTTTTGATGTAGATAATGGCTCAGGGCCCAGGTACTCGTCGATGTGGGCCTCAACAGGTTTGTACTCGCGTGTGATTCGAAGCTTGTTGCGGGTTGTCGGCTTCTGCTCGTTCAGGCTGGTGATGTGGAGACATTTTTCGTGATCACATAGCTCCTACATCGTGGTCAGTGACGTTCCGTTGAGGTGGGGAGAGATCGATGTATACTCACATCCCACTCAAGGCCGTAGCACTCAACGTCCGGGTCGACATCATCGCCTTCCTTGCCGTCGTACAAGACCCACTCGGATGGCGAATCGGGTAGGATAACCTCTGTGGCGCTGGCCGCTACCAGGACTCGCTGATCTTCTTGAAGATTGCTTGGCTCGGTGATGGGTTTGGCCTCGGTAGTGTAGATCGCGGCGTACTTGAGGTCGAGGGCAAGTCGTACACTTGGTAGAACTTGCTCGAGGGTCGTGAACGGGGAGACAACGAAGTCGTCGACAGTCTTCTTGGTGGATGGGCAATGAAATTGAACGCGCACCATGATGGCGGCGTCGTGCAAGTCAATTGAATGTGTAATTGCTGTGGTCGAGAGATACAGGTAAATGAAGATCAAGTCAAAATCAAAGAAGATATAACCTACAGGCCAGTGCTTTCTTTAGGCAGTTGCAGTGAGTTTGTGCTTGCTCAATGAATGAGAGAAACTGTCGCTTACGCTCGGCTGACTCTTCTCAGAAGCCAATGATCGCTCAATTTACTCTCCTGGAAGCAGACTTGAGTTGATTTTCGCACGCTGCAGGCATAAGGCCTGGGTTTGATAGCCCTATTGAGCACGATACATGCGGCAGAGTTCGTGTATATACAGAGGTATATGATACCAGATTCGAATTTTTACTGGCTATTTACGCGTCACTTAGACTTGTACACCATCTACTGTTTGTCAGTCAGGTACTGTCGCAACCGCAGGTGACGACATCACGTACCATAACAAGCGCCCAGCTCGCACCCTCCCCTTACACGTTATTCAGAGTCTCAATCTCCACGCCGTCCTTGAACTCCGCCTCGAGCATACTATCGCCACCTGCTACAGTGGGTCGGCAAACGTATCCTGCGACACTAATGCTCCATCGCTCATACTCCTCCGCAAGTACCCAAGTGACCTCTCTCAATGGCTGCCTGCTAACCTCCTTCCCAGCCTCATCCTTTATGATCCAGTAAATCCAAAGACTGTTGCCAAGCGCATCGCTCTCCCGGCGAGCCTCAATGGTAGCACCAGGCATAGTACCGTTCTTGAAATCAGGCATTGGTGTAAGCGACCAGTCAGCCCAGGCATCACAGCCCACGGTCGCGACGTAGGGCTTTCCGTAGTAGAACTCGATACCAGTCTTGATCCATTTGGTCTGGTTGTCTGGGACACCTGGCTTGGTGACATGCAGCAGGAGGCCGGCTTGGTCGTATTGGCGGAGTTGGTCGGATGGTGGAAGCTCGAACGACAGTTGCGCTCGCTGGAAGTTCTTCAGAGTGTAGGTTGGGAGCTGCTCTGGGTAGGTTGATGCATTGAAGGCATTGTGCATGGGAGGCTTGCGCCAAATGTCAGTGTTTGGTGGAGCTGAAAGACTGAAAGGCTTGATGGTCGTGGTGGTGGTGTTAGACATAGTGGCTGCGGCTGTGGCTGTAGCTGCGAGGAAAGAGGGAATGAAGGACTTCATCTTGACGATGCATGCTAAACTATGGAATCTTGATTGTATTTATATCTTGGCGCAGTGATGCAAGACAGGTCTACGGGTGTGATGACGGCAATTACTTCTAAAGTATGGTGACACATGCGATTGGCCCAAAGTCGGAAATACGGGAGAACGTCGGTATGATACAGCTTGACAATTGTGATGGCGGCGGAGCGCCCATGTTCAAGAGCCCACTTGGGATACCAAAGGAGACTACCCTGAAGCCTTTCCACCCCGGGATGTCGGCATCTTGTGATGCAAACGGGGAAAGCGGGGTAGTGTTCCGGGTGAGAACGTGCAAGGCTCGACTTCCGATGATAGCTACCGTGGTACGTCTTACACATCAAGCCATACTACGGCAGATCATGCAATACGCCGTTATGCATTTACCGATGTTTACCCGACTAGTAAGAATCGGCGGAAGGTGCAGCGCTTGACGCTTACCTGGTTGGGTGGAGAAACGCGAGGTCTGCTTGGCATGAGCATCGAGACTTCATCATCGAAATACGAGACGCAATCGCGCTGCAATAGTCGGTCCTGTACTTAGCATAGCTGGTTCTATTTGAAAGTCTTGTCGGTCCTTCTCAAATATGCAGTCTACTTTGTACAGACTCAGAAGAGCCGACAGGTGAGTCTACTCTACCTATCATATCATGACTGTAACTTGCATGTCGTGGGATATTGGGTGTTGTACAAGCACATTCATTTCGCAGGTATATACAATCCAAACTCTATAAGCCTTCTATTTCTTTTGCTCTCCCTCCTTGGGAGGCTCTGGCTTTGGTGTTGGGAGCTTGAACTAGGTGTATGTTAGATGCTGCGTCGAGAGTGTGGTATGATGAGTAGCTTACGTTCTCCGGCTTGAGATCGTGACCAGGACCGACCTGCTCCCAGGCTGATGAACCACCACGGAAGTTCCTGAAAGCCTGTGTCATCTCCAGGGGTTCTACGACAATCCTCTTCTTCTCCTCGTCGTACCGGATCTCGGTGTATCCAGTCATCGGGAAGTCCTTTCGGAGTGGGTGGCCGTCGAAACCATAGTCGGTCATGATTCGCCTCAGATCGGGGTGTCCAACGAAGAAGACACCGAACAGATCGTAGACCTCTCGTTCGTACCAGTTGGCGCCGTCGTAGAGATCGCACAGACTGGGTACTGGGGTAGCCTCATCCGCGTACGTCTTGACCCTCAGGCGCGAGTTGTGACGGATGCTGAGCATATTGTAGACGACCTCAAAACGCTGGTCCTTGGTGGGGTAGTCGACGGCTGTGATATCTGAGATTTGCGTGTACTCGGCGGCGGTGTGGTACTTGAGGAAGGTGAAGGTGGGGATGATGCCGGCGGGTGGGACGTAGATAGTCAACTCATCCTTCCAGACGGAGAATCTTGGGTAGGGTCAGACGCTAGTTACCCCCAGGTGTGAATGGACATACTGCTGGACGTATTTGGGCAGACATGACATAATGTACTGGCCATATTTATGCAGGGCCTCGCCCTTCTCTTTGTAGTGGTCGGCCGGGTTGACGATGGCGCGCTTGAGCTTGACGGTCTCGTCGCGGGGAGCAAACTGCAGTCATGTCAGAAGCCGCATATAAGCCATATCATGTGACATGCGCACCCTCATGTTTGGTGTTTCCGATTCGGGACCCGCGACTTCCTTTGCCCGGAGAGCCGTGGAGGCAAAGGTGCGAACTGCATGGCGGGAGGAGCCCGAGGCGCGGACGGCGGCGCCCAATGGCCGGCCGACAGCTAGCCGCATAGCCATTGTGTGCGGTGAGAGAGTGGTGAGGCTACGCGATGTAGCAGGTAAGGGCGACGCTGGGTGGTGGTGTCGTCGACGTCGTCGAGTTCGCAGCTCCCACCCGCAAATGCACGCTTATGTAAGTCGCTAGCGTTAAGCGGAACCTGGTGTGCCATCGCGCAGGTGCAGCCTCTTAAACCCCATCACCTCCTGTGGATCCCTCTTCCAGCGACAGCGACACTCCGGCCGGCGTTTATTTGTACTTCCGCGGTTTCCTTACTGACCTCTCGTCTGACCTCCCAGGTCTCGTCTCACCCCACGTATCTCTACTTTGAGCGCCACCCGCTCTCAACAACACATCGCAACCACACCACACCACACCACACCATGTCTCGACTGCAGCAGGACCAGTTCGTCGACGATGACGAGGAGGAGTGCTGCCCGCTCTGCGTCGAAGAGTTTGACCTCTCAGACAGGAATTTCCGCCCCTGCCCATGCGGCTACCAAGTACGCCTTTGTGCCAAAACTCGGTGAACCATGTCGAGTCCCATGCTGACCCACGTGCCAGATATGTCAGTTCTGCTACAACAACATCAAGACGACCATGAACGGACTGTGTCCCGCCTGCCGTCGCCCCTACGATGACTCCACGATCGAGTGGAAGACCATCTCCCCCGAAGAGTGGGTCCCCTGCACCTTCCATCTCTAAACACATCTGACACTGCCCAGGATGGCACAACACAAGCAGCTCATCGCGCAAAAGGCCAAGAAGAATGCGCAGATACGGCAGAAGGAAGCACAGAAAGCCGAAGCCGACTCTCTCAGCCGCAAGCACCTGTCGGGTCTACGTGTCGTCCAGAAGAACCTCGTATACGTGACCGGTCTCACGCCGACAATACGCGAAGACGAGCTACTCAAAACTCTTCGTGGTGACGACTACTTTGGCCAGTACGGCAAGATCCTCAAGATTGTCGTCAGCAAAGCCAAGGAGAACGCGCAGCATCAACAGTCGGTGGGTGTCTATGTAACATTCGCTCGCAAGGAAGATGCAGAGAAGTGCATCAATGCTGTCGACGGTTCCCAGAACGGCGAGAGGACATTAAGGTATGTGAATCTCTATTCATGCACACGCATCATAACAAGCTCACGTCTCTTGTAGAGCTCAATTTGGTACTACCAAGTACTGTTCAGCGTACCTCCGCGGCGAGACCTGCAATAACCGCAATTGCATGTTCCTGCACGAACCCGGTGAAGACAATGACAGCTTCACTCGCCAAGATCTCTCCATGATGAACTCAATCCAGACGCAACAACCGTCACAATCGTCTACGTCTCGAGCCGCGCCTCCCGCCCACCAGGGTCCCGCTGTCGCTGCCGCGATCCCGATGCATCGACAGGATAGTACCGATACGTCGAGCTCGATACACGAGGCACCCGGCTTGCCTGCAACCGCCAGCTGGGGAAGTAAGGCGTTACTGGAACGCCGAGCCAGCCGTTCCACGGTCGCTTCGAACAACGCCAGTCCCATGGTCACAAATGCTGTTCCCGCGCAACCAGCTAAACCACCGAAAGCAGCTGAGCCACCTAAGAAGAAGGGCAAGGACAAAGAAAAAGAAAAAGAAAAGGAGAAAGAGAAGGAAAAGGAGAAGGCTGCACAAGCATCGAAGTCTGCAACCCCGCCACCTGCTCTGACACCCGCATCCGCCGCCCGCCCTCCGAAGCCCCGCGACAATGGTATCCACGATTTACTGAAGGTCATCTGCTCGCCAGACTTCAAGTTCGTGTTCTCAAGCGCCGTTCTGTCGGAAGAAGAATTGAAAGCTGTCACCGAGTTCCCTCAACTACTGGATCCTAATGGCGGTGCTAAGCGTCGTGCTATTAAAGAAAAGAAGGAGAAGGAACTGGCGTTGCAGCGCGAGGCTGAAGCGGAAGCTGTAGCTGTAGCAAAGGCAGCTTCTCAACAAGCCCCAACTGCTGAGCGCGAAGACAATGAAGCAACGGCTGGCGGCAGCTTACAGCTAGGAGGAGAGCCCGAAGACGGTCCCGAGACAAACACCAACCACCTCAATCAACACGCAATTGCACCACCTGGTCAGCAAGGTTTTGGCGGCAGCCTTTTCGGGCAGAACACGCCATTGGCCGAGGACTTCAGCAGCCTGGGACTGAGCAACAGAGGCCTTACACCTCAGCAACAGCAGCAGCTATTGCTCTCCAACTTCAAGTCTGGCACTCAAGCCACGGGCCTTCTGAACAACATGCCGAGTGCTCAGCAGCCTCAGCAGCACAATGCTTCTAGCCACACCAGGCACACTTCGCGCTTTAGCTTCGCCAACGACAGCGCTTCCGCTTCTGCGAATGTGCAGCCTGTCGCGAACCAGAAGTTGATGAGCCAGCAAAACTCGATGATGCCCAAGAACGCCAATCAATTCAACCCCATGTCTCAGCATCAGCAGTTGAGTGGGCAGTTCTTCACCAACGTGCAGGGACCTCCTCCAGGACTTAAGCCTACTGGCACACCCCCGGTCAGCGGGACTGGCATGTTCGGCCAAGGCCACGGTTTCGCTACCGGTGGTCTACCCTATGGGGCTGGCGCAACGGCGAGGAACAACAATGATGCCATGTATCAGGACCTGCTCCGCAGCCGTAACATGGACGGTGGTGCTAGGCTAGCTGATGCTGGAAAGCGTGAGTCAATGTTTCCTTCTTTCCTTAATCAACATCCTTCAACTTCCACACCTGCCCCTGCCCCTGGCCTCCTCAGCTTCCCTTATGGACCTTCGCCTGGAGCTTACCAGGAATCTGGTTCGCAGAAATCCAAGAAAAAGGGAAAGAAGCATAGGCATGCCAACACTTCCTCCTCTGGGGGTGGCGGTCTTGCCGATGTCCAAGACCCGAGTATCTTGCAGGCGAGGTTGCATCAAGGCGGAATGGCCGGGCAGGGCTTGTATGGTCAAGGCCAAGGTGGTTTCTCTTCGCTCTATTCCAACAACAACTACGGCGGCGCTGGACGATGGTAGTCACTTTCATTCTGAACTCGGGTCGGCCTATCGGCTTGGCATTTTGTCTTAGTACTTTACTTCAATGATGGCTGCATGGCGTTTCGGATTTACGGCGAATGCATCGGCACATATTCAGTGTTTCGACACTGAATCGCCTGGCGTTATGGTTGGACTGCACGGTTTTTGTCAAAGCATATGGCCCCGGCATGTCTTCACGGCACCTATACCTTCTCATTTCTTTTCATTTTCTGTCATGATTTTGTGGATCGCGCTGTCCTGCCGCTGCAAAGGTTGGCTTCTCTCGTCGTCTTCGTCATGGCCATCGCATGTACGTAACTACCCCTCCTGCCGCATCATGTCGGCATGCTTACTTTCTAATAGAGAGATGGCCTGTTCACTGTTTTCTTGCCCACCAAGTGACGAAGATGTTCGAGAGACGACATTTGCACCATGATGTACCTTGCGCTTTTGTCAACTCAACCTGATCATCGTCTGGCGGCCGCCGTACCTATAGATGCTGACTCCGCTTTTGTCGATTTACACATTCAAGGTTCTAGTGCTGACGTAGTACTGCAGATGATGGATCCTTGAGTGTAGAAGAACAGGCATCAATCAACGTTGATGCACTTGTTAACGACAGCGACAATGAGCCACTACGACCCGCTCCAAGCACTCCACTAAGCGGACAATTCTTCGAGCATCCTCGGCGATCGACTCCCACTATACCGCCTGGCTTCACAGCACCAGCTATTCCCAAAGCGGTCCTTGAAGAGTCACGTTCGCGTGCTGGATCTCGACCAATGTCTCGAACTACATCCTCGACCATCACACCGGCCGTCCCTGTCGTCCCTGCCACGCCGCTTGTCAACTCAACGCCCAACAAGAACACCAAGGGCAAGCAGAAGGCCGAGACTATCGAACCTGTAACCCCTGCAGCAGTACCTACCGCGACCACTGTCTCCAAGCCCTCGCCTGCACCTGTGACACCCTCAAGGACGACGACTAGGGAAGCAGTTGTCGTTCCCCAGACACCCAAGGAACCCACACCCAGAGAGGCTTCCAAGGCAGCCAAAGAGGATGTTGCCCAGACACCTAAGTCTACACCAGATACCAAGAAGTCGATGGCGGAAACGATTAGCAAGGATACGCCGAAGTCGAAGGGTGCTTCCAAGAAGGCCCAACCTGCAGTTCAGACTACACCGAAGAGAGAGCCACAAAAAGAGACAGCGCGCACTCCTGCAGCGACCGCGACACCTCCAGCTTCGACCAAGCGACAGCCTCCTGGCAAGCTCGATATTCAAGCAGCAACTAAGCTGCCGGTCGAAGCAGGCTCTCCAGCTGCAAACTCATCCAAAACAGACTCACAGACAAAAAACAGTCGCTCTGTGCCAACAACGTCAGCCAGTTCTGTACCCCCAAGTCCCGCCGCAGCGGTGACTGGATCGCCAATCAAGCGCGCGGGTGCACCGAGAACTTTGCGTGTCGTCGCGACACCAAAAACAGAAGTGCCGCCGCCTATTTCAGCCGCATCACAACCGTCCTTGCCTCAGATCCCAACGGTCGACAAGCTTCGATCTAGGCAAGCTAGTATCGCTTCTGTCAACATACCAGGCACGCCGAGCGAAATAATATCGGACACTGCTTCAGTCACTTCGACATCGTTTTCAAGGGCCAGCTCACCGCCTCCGATCGGCGGTAAGGTTGGGACTGCGCCCGTGAGGAAGAAGACAAAGTCACAAGCCAAGAAGGATAGACAAGAACGAAAGAAGCAGATAGAAGAAGAAATACTGGAAGACAACAAGTCCGATGTTGAGGTAATGCAAGCACCAATCGTCGGGCGCAAGAAGAAAGCCAAAAAGCCGACAACAAACGTCAAACCCATTGCCGCTGCATTCAAGAGTCAGCCAGCGTCGCCTAAGCCAGCTACTGTTGAAGAGCAACAACCCGAAGTGCCAACAGTGGCATCGCGGAGAGTGTCTTCGGCAAAGATCTCGACAATAGCAACGCCTGAACCCGAGCCCGAGCCCGAGCCCGAACAGCCTAAGGAAAAGCGGGAACATTCAGCTCAATCGATCATGGCTGACTTGCAGCGCACGGGCGAGCTCCTTGCGTCGACTCTTGAGTTCTTCAAACCGCTGTCTTCGTCACTCGCTCATGCTACTCGCTCTACCCAGAATGGCAATGTGTCCACACCTCCGGATCTGAAGCTGCACTTTTCCCAAGCCGATCTCGAGGCGCTTGCCAAGAAGAAGCCAGTACGTCTGAACAGCCAAGACGCAAAGCCAGACTCCAGGACTCTCATCACACCCAACGGCAAATTCTTCTGGGGATTGACTGAGGAGCTTGAGAACAAGGCACTTGAGCTTGAGAAACACATCGAGGAACTCAAAGGCCATGCCCGTTTCCACCCTCGTACGCAAACTGCACACGGTCACAGCATGACTTCTTCGGCGCATTCAAATGACGTCCTCCCAGCTATCGCCACTGCACTCAAGGAGGCAGGTAAGAAGCTGAATACCAACGGCGGGCAACAGATGCCGCGACTGGACAATTCTGCGGGGCTTCTCGGTTCGACCAACCTTCCCTTGCCACCCGTACAAGGACAAGATGCGTCTATGCCTCAGGTCCCTCCTCCACAACAGCAGCAAACACCCGCTGATGCGGGCGCTTACCTCAATCAATACGTTCTCCCCAAGACGGACAACCCGCCGCCAAATCAGCCCCGCCCCGAGATGGCGGCAGTTGGTGGCGCACCTGGAGCTGGGACAGCAAACATATCTGTCAATTCGAACCGATTAGCCAAAGCAGCTAAAGCAGTTGTTGAAGGAGGAGCGGTAGGAAGTACGGAAATAGACGGCATGGGATTGATGGCGGCCGATAAGCTCGGCGGCGTATTTGTGCAGGGTCTCGAAGCGCTCGTGGGTGCTGGACTTGGCTACCAGTCTTCACAGGAGTTTGGTCTCGACGGCAACGGCAACATCACCTTTGGAAATGGCAGTGGAAGCGGACTGGACATGCAGGGATTGATGAACGCGATTGAGACGACAGCTGGAATGGGTGGATATGGCGGCAACACGAGGAGAGGAAGAGGTAGTGTGCTGACTATGGAAGAGGCGGAGCAGGCCATGCACGCGGCGAGGAGAGAACACGACGTGCTGGAGAAGAAGCTCAACGCGTTGATCAAGAAGAACAAGAAGCTCGCGACTGGCGTAGGAAAGTAGTGGCGGCTTGGAGTTGATGGGAGTCCCCGTTGTGTATAGCATAGGTGGTTGACAGATGATATGCTTGGCAGCTATCGACTAAATCCAGATCATTGTTTGGTAGCAGAAGTGCTAGTACTATGACATCGTATATGCGCGACGGATTTAGCTTGCTCGTATTCCCTCACTGCTGGCGTGTGAAAAGGGATGAAGTCGCAATGCACCTGACGATGCGCCGACGCCCCGATTCGCCAGGGCGCCTCACCGCCAACGCCAACGTGGGCTGGATTTCCAGGGTCCACCAACTGGTTCCTGAAGGCCAGATTCGCAATTGCACTCACTGCACCTTTCTTCTGATCTTGAGACTTTCTCACAATCTCTCGATTCCAGCTTGCTTTTTCACATCCAAAACTACGCCGATATGAGCCTGCAACCGCCTTCCCTCTCCATGAGGCCCAAGTCTCCGTCTGGAGGCTCTACCAAGGCCGTTATTCTGGTAGATCCTGCCCGCAACACACACACGCAGCCATGTATACTCACCAGACTAGGTCGGAGGCCCTTCTCGCGGCACACGGTTTAGGCCTCTGTCTATGGAACTGCCCAAGGTACGCGACGACGCGAGATAGACTGCCCCACGACATGCCCGCTAACGCTACTCCAGCCGCTCTTCCCCATCGCCGGCCACCCCATAATCGAGCACTGCTTCCGCGCCATCACAAATGTCCCCGAGATCAAGGAGGTCTTCATCGTCGGCTACTACGAGGAGTCCGTCTTCCAGCAGTTCATCAACGCCGTCTCGACCAGCTGGCCGCACCTGAGCGTCAAGTACCTCCGCGAATACCAGGCATTGGGCACAGCGGGCGGCCTCTACCACTTCCGCGACGTGATACTGAAGGGCAGGCCCGAGAAGCTGTTTGTGCTCAACGCCGATGTCTGCTCCTCGTTCCCGCTGGTGGAGATGCTCAAGCTGTTCGAGGACAAGGATGCCGAGGCGGTAATGCTGGGTACGCGGGTCGCCAACGACGCCGCCTCCAACTTTGGTTGCATTGTCTCGGACGCGCACACGAAGCGCGTGCTCCACTACGTCGAGAAGCCCGAGTCGCACATCTCCAACCTCATCAACTGCGGCGTCTACCTCTTCGCGACCGAGTGCATCTTCCCCGCCATCCGCAGCGCCATCAAGCGACGGACCGAGCGCCCACGGCTGCTGTCGTACCCCTCCTCCGAGAACCTCGAATCCTCCTTCTACCAAAACGACGACGACGATGATAACAAGGAGAATGCTGTTATCCGGTTGGAGCAGGACGTTCTGTCTGACATCGCCGACAGCAGGCAGTTCTTCGTCCTCGAGACCAAGGACTTCTGGCGCCAGATCAAGACCGCTGGGTCCGCCGTGCCAGCGAATGCTCTGTACCTCCTAAAGGCCTTCCAGACAGGATCAGAAGAGCTCGCCGCCCCCTCTGCAAACATCCTCCCTCCCGTCTACATCCACCCCTCCGCGCAGATCGACCCAACCGCCAAGATCGGTCCCAATGTCTCCATCGGCCCCCGCGTCGTCATTGGCGCTGGTGTACGTGTCAAGGAGTCCATCGTTCTTGAAGACTCGGAGATCAAGCACGACGCTTGCGTCTTGTACACCATCATCGGCTGGCACAGCAAGGTCGGTGCTTGGGCGCGTGTCGAGGGCACACCTACTCCCGTTACTAGCCACACCACCAGCGTCATCAAGAACGGCGTCAAGGTCCAGAGCATCACCATTCTCGGCAAGGAGTGTGCTGTTGCTGATGAAGTCCGTGTGCAAAACTGTGTTTGCTTGCCTTACAAGGAGCTTAAGAGGGTGAGTCAATTGATATCCGAATTCTCAGCTTATGCTAACGTATGGTACAGGACGTCTCGAACGAGGTCATCATGTAGAAGGCCCCATGTCTGCTAGCTGGTATCGGATTGCGATGCGTTGTAGGTGCATCTATAGTACTTAATCATGATGTGATGCATGACATGTGGTCACTGGATAGAGCGATATACCACTATACTTGAAATGAAATCAGAATGACGACTAGTATGGTGTTGTTTACGACCTCATATGTGTGAAGATAGATATGCTTTACTGCCATGCTCTGTTTGGTAACGAGCTGATTGACATTCGATCCTAGGTGCGATGGACGGTTCTTAAATGTGATAAAACTATACGTACTAACAAACTAAAACAAAGTCCTTGGCAGTAGCATTATCTCAAGATACATCTACTACTGTTGGGTATCTGTCCGAACATACCCTACATAGCCGCGTCTAATCTCAATCGGGTATCGCCAGCCGAACGTTTGACATTCCGACTTCGCATTTCAACACACGTTTGTACGCACTTACAAACTTCATCGAAGTTCAAACGCAGTGCCCTTACAAAGTTAGGAACAACTGCAGATTTTGTCCCAGCACGGTCGGTTGCGAGTCGTGAAGGGTGCCGTGGTGTCTGAGTCAGAGGCAGTACAACCCATCCAGCGACCTTTGTGTCAAGAGAGTGCATGCAATCCAAGAGACAGTCGTTCATCTAAAGAAAGACATCACGTCAGAAATGGATACAGGCCTCCCTTTAGCAAGAGATGAGCAGTCAAATGGCACTGCATCCTCACCTCCCACAAACCTCAACCCCACTCCCGACTCCGGCTCCCGCTACGATAAGCCTATCGCCGCGGCCCAACAGGATGGACTCCCTATAATCGACATATCCCCCTTCATGGAACCCTCCTCCTCAAAAGAAGCCCGTTCCACAACCGCCGCAGCCATAAACGCCGCCTGCATAAACTACGGATTCTTCTACCTAACCGGCCACGGCATCTCCACGACCAAACTCGACGAAATCATCAACTTGGCGCGTGAATTCTTTTCTCTACCCCTAGAAGAAAAGAACAAGATCAAGCGCTTCGACGCCGGCAGCCCAGAAGGAGGCGACGGCGCACGAGGCTACCAGGGGCTCGGCGAAAATGTTACGGGTGGGTTGCAAGACATGCAAGAAGCCATTGATTGGTACCGGGACTGGCCGTCTGATAAAAGAGAACCAGGCGACGGCGGACCAGGCAGCGTGAAGAGTCTCCAGGGAGTTAATCTATGGCCTGAGAAGCCTGAACAGCTGAGGCCCGTGTACGAAGATTACATCTCGCGCGTCAAGAAAGTCGGCGAAGCCCTCGTGCACGCCATGGGCGTAGCTCTGGACCTTGGACCACCAAAAGAAGGAGCAACACAAGAGACGCAAGACGAAGAGATCTTCCTGCGTAACTGCAACGATTCATTTTGGGTCATGCGCATGATCGGTTATCCCCCACTCACAACACCTATTTCTGGTGACGACAACATCGACCAATTTTCCTGCGGCGCCCACACAGACTACGGTTGCGTAACCCTCCTTCTCACCGACCCAACCCCGTCCTCCCTCCAAGTCCTTCTCAAAGACGGGACTACCTGGCTGAACGCGGATCCCCTGCCCGGCGCCTTCGTTGTCAACATCGGCGATATGATTGAGCGGTGGACGAACGGGCTTTGGAAGAGTACCAAACATCGGGTTATTCATAGGGGGGAGAGGTATAGGGTTAGTGTGCCGTTTTTCTATGAGCCGAATTTTGAGGCGTGGGTTGAGCCGTTGGGGAAGTGTGTGCAGAGGACTGGGGAGATGGGCGTGGGTAAGGATGAGGGGAGGGGGTATGGGAGGGGGAGGTATGGAGATCATTTGTTGGGGAAGGTTAGTGGAAACTTTTATTATAGTATGAGGACGGACTGGTGAGGTGGTGGGTGATGAGCAGAATCGCATTGAATATTATTGTGAGTATACCGTCAGCTTTGTGTTTATCGTTTGGTTTCTTTACAGGCGCTCTAGATGTACTACATCAATAGTAACCTGTTCGAATGTATGATGGCGATTACACGTGCATTGTGAGGGCTTCCCCTATACACGACTACATAATGACACGGCCCGTAGCAGTACCGGCCACTTAGATACCCCCATTGAGATAGTAGTCCAGAGGATACCCCAACCAATCACACTGCTCCACGTCCGTATACCCAGCACTCTTGCTCGGCCAATCCAAAAGCCTAATCTCATCTCCCGACTTCTTAGTCGCATCTACCTGCATCCACTGACCATACTTCGTCACACCTTCAAGCACCTTATAATATCCTCTTACATCAAGATACTTCAAGCTAGGATTCGGGTCTCCGCTCCGAATGAAAGAAGCGAAGTAGCTGGTAGTGAGTTGAATACTCCACAGATCCTCTGGTTCACGGATGCGGTTCAAAACGCCGAAGAACCAGGGCGAGTCTGCGCCGTGGAAGCGGAAGTATGGGTTATCAGGGTTGTCGTTGGCGGGGCCGCCGAGGTTGTTGGGGTCGTAACCGTCGATGGAACGGTCGAGTTGGTAGTAGTATGTCTTTGAGAAGGCTTTCGATCGCGCGGCAGAGTAGACTGTCGATTGGTCCGCGCAACGGAATGTTTTATCCGTGGCAATACGCTGCGAGACGTTGAAGGAGTCGAGCGTCAGGTTTCCGGTGCTGGTGAAAGGGAAAAGACCGGACTGAATGACGCGTTCGGCCCATGTGCTGTTGATACCTAACGCTTCTTGAAGGCCTTGAGAGTGGTTTGAGATGGGGCTTGTGGGGTATGTGGAGAACGAAGCGCCGTCGTCGAGGACAGTACCGAAGATGACGGGAATGTGCGCGGTACTGGTATTGCGAGTTGAAATGATGAGTTCGGGCGTGTTGACATATGTACCGTCTTGGACGACGTATCGAGCTACAGTGTTGAAGCCAACTAGGTCTGCAGCAGGGACCTTGTCGAGACAAGCGATCTGGGCTGATACATCAGTGCTATTGCAGCCAGCGGCCGCAAAGATTTGAGGCCCGGCGACGGTGTAGCTCTGGTTGACTGTGTAATAGGTCGAATATGTTGTTCCGTAGTCACCGTCCAGCCCAAGCGTCACGCCTCCTCCGAGATTGGATAAGGCAACGGCGCCTTGGAATTTTCCGATGGCTTTGGGAGAACCCAGCAATGTTCGGACAGATCCAGCTCCGGCAGATCCTCCAGCGATGGTTATCCTCTCTGGATCACCACCGAAAGCAGCGATGTTTGCGATAGTCCAGTCGAGCGCCACGATCTGGTCGGCGATACCGAAGTTGCCCTTGATGTCTGTTCCAAGAATGGCTAGGAAGCCGAGGGTCGAAAGACGGTAGTTGATGTTGACGACAACAAGATCCTCTTTGCTGGCAAGGTTTCCACCATCAGAGAGTGGGTCGGCACCGCTCCCTCCTGTGAATCCACCACCATGAATCCAAAACAAGACGGGGCGGAGCTGCTTCTTTGATCCAGCTTTAGGAATATATGGTGTCTGGATGTTGAGGAAAAGACAGTCCTCACTTCCACCACCACCTTGGATGCAATTCGAGCCGTATTCCGTGGCCTGAATTGTTTGGCCCTTCTTGGAGTAGAGCGAAGAGTACTTGAAACGGGTAGGCGTGTCGGCATATGGAATGCCGAGGAACCTAAAGGACTTCTGGTTTCGGTATCCGACAAATGTGTTTCCGCCAGATGCTACTGAGATAGAACTTCCGTTCACAGGCCCGGCGCTCGCTGAACCGTTGTTTGCCGACTGTGTGCACAAGACTGGCAGTTGCTTGTGGTGTGATGAAGCAGACATGTACTTCACTCGGTTTCCGACTGAGACCACGCCGCTGTCAATGTAGTACCCTCGTTCAGCGTCGGTGTATTTGGCATAATCCTGGTATGAAAGAGCATCGTTGAAATCTGCCTGGTACTTCTGGAGCGTAGCCTTGGAAATGAGTTTCTCGTTGAGCGAGGCACAGGCTGCTGCAGCATTGGCTTGAGGGACCGGGTCGAGAATGATGGCACCGATGTGGTTCTTGTCGTCCGAGCCGTTAAGGTTGTTCTGGTAAATGAGTGTCAAAGAGGACTTTGCGTTCGAAACGCCGACGGCAGGTGCTGATCCCACAACTGGTGAAGCTTGAGAGACAGCAACAATACCAGCGGCCGCAGCGGCAACGAGGGTGGTGATGACTGTCATCTTGAATGTCCAGCTTGGCGCAGAGACTTGATCGACAGCTGGAGAATCATGGTCGTTCATCTTGATCCTCTTATACGACACCGGTAACCCGGATGGCATCGTGCTTGCAGATGAACAACCGCAGCGCTAGCCACAAGCAGTTCCCCTCCACATGAGGCTATTGGAAATAAGCATTCGAGAACGGGACTAACCCCAGAAAACGAGGTGTAGATCGATCACTAGGCAGGGGCAGTGGCAGAATGCTTAAGCAGAAGACTGGTACCGCAACGATTCTACCGAGCGACGAAGGCGTACTAAGACCTATCATATCTGGAGCGAATACATTCGCCTCAACATGAGCATATGAGATGTATCTTCGGTTGTCACTTGATATCGCAATGGATAAGAATCCTTCTAGATTGATGTATCGCTTGGCCTTCACTTAAATCACACCGACGGCAGCATCGCAATGGTGGTCTACGCATCTTCACCCGAGGTTCAGGTCCGATGTAATTTAGCCGTTTAGGCACTGCATGTAGCCCGCCGGCCTCGTGGCGATGGCATCATGGATACCAAATTGATGCAGGGGTCGGTCGGGGTGAATGTCCTCTGCGTCCGTTCGCGGGGTGTGGCTTGAACTGGGGAGCGGAGGAGTGGAAGCTGGAAATTTGATGGGGTTCCGGGGTTGAAGACGCGTAGCTTCATGCTAGCCATGTTGGGAGCTAGTGTGCAGATTCCCCTCACAACAAAACCTGGCATGCTGGATCCGTCCGGCAATCGACTACAGGGCTTCTTCCTTGCTTGAGGAAAACGGAAGGTGCATGTAAACGACCGTGGCGCTCGTATTCATGGCCGTTGAAAGATGATAATCGCCACATAGCACAACGCAGAGGCATCCTGCATGAGTACCGCCGGTGTCCTTCATCTCATTGGAGGATTAATCTCATCTTGGCAACTAGAACAAGCATTTTGTATACACTCACGGCTATGACACACCGGACCGCTGCGTAGAAGAGGGAAAGACACTGTATACATGTCAGAACATACGAGACTCAGTAAGCTTTTTGCATTTAACAAATCAATGTATATGCGCACGTTCGCACCACGCACCAGATCGATATCACGATACGAAGCAGTGCATGGAGACAAGCATCAGAGTGGGTCTTGATCGGTGTGATAGATTGGCAGGCGTCATTTCACAGCACATGCATGTCAGAGTCCCAATACCTTGAATAGAAACCTGACGTTCTACCACATCTCTCTCGCTTTCGAAACCACGTTCAATCGTCTCGGATTTCCATCGTCATTTTCAAGATGCAGCTGAAGCTACTACTTCTCACGCAATTCGTTGCGACGGCAGTTAGCGCGAACACGGTTCCACCCAGTATCTGGAACTACACCTACCCATGGCCAGTACAGTACTTTGAGTTTGAGTCGCAACGCGCGAATCTCTCAATGGCTTACATGGACGTCCCCGCTCATAACGCCAGCTATGCCTCGAACAAGACCATCATGCTCCTTCATGGCAAGAACTTCTGCGGCGCGACATGGGAGGACTCAGCGCGCCGTCTCTCCACCCAAGGATACCGCGTCATCATCCCAGATCAGATCGGCTTTTGCAAGTCGTCCAAACCGCCAGCCTACCAGTTCTCGCTGCAACAGCTGGCGCGAAACACACATCTGCTATTGCAAAGCCTAGGCGTGGAATCAACATACGTACTAGGTCACTCGATGGGTGGTATGCTAGCCACACGCTTCGCCCTCATGTACCCAGAGCAAACATCCCATCTCATTCTCACGAACCCGATCGGCCTAGAAGACTGGAAAGCACTTGGTGTTCCATGGCGCAATCTCGACGCCTTGTATAAAGACGAGCGGGCCACCAACTACACATCAATCCGCAAGTACCAACAGGCTACCTATTATGTCAATACCTGGAAGCCGGAATACGATGTCTGGGTCAACATGCTAGTCTCACTTTACCGGACGTCACCCGAGAACATTGACTTTGCGTACAATATGGCGCAGACGACGGATATGGTCTTGACTCAACCGATTGCGTACGAGTTTGAGCTGGTGCAGCCTAAGACTCTTCTTCTGATAGGGACGAAAGACACCACGGCTATCGGTAAAGCGTGGAGCCCGCCAGAAGTGCAGGCTAAGATAGGGAAATACGAGGTGTTGGGCAAAGAGGCAGCGGCTAGGATTCCAGATGCAACGTTGATCGAGTTTGATGACTTAGGCCACAGTCCACAGGTTCAGGAAAGCGAGAGATACCATAGCGCGCTCTTTGGGTGGTTAGAGGGGTCTCGTGGAGCTTAGATAATGACGTCCGTGTCTGTGTGTGAGCGCGCAGCAAGTGAAAGAGAGAGGAGTGATCAGCAGAGGAAGAAAAAGAAAAACTTACGCACTTTGATGGCCGCAGTCAGTTTCGAACCCGGAGCAAAAATAGATTGCTTCACCGAAACCAGGTATGTGAATGGATCACACCCCGCACGACGGGGTAGACATGCAAAGCGACATACGCTACTGGCTCCTCAGATTCTATTGAAATATCGAAAAATTAATCCATATATATACAACAATATGCTGTTTTGGTGTTTTGGGAATCAGGTGAAGGCGCGTTCACTTGTGCGAGAAAAGGGAACGTGCAAACGGTACACGCACAGACTGCCTACGTCACGACGAGATGTCAGATAAATAGATTGCCTGAGTAAAAGCAGCTACCTTATCCGCGCTATATTCATGCTTATAGGTCACGGGATGAAGCATTTGCTCGATAGGTATCTCATCATCATGATATTCTTGAACAAGTAGTCGAGTTCTCAGGGTATCCAGTATTGCTTGAGTGACTTATCAAGTAACCGCCAAAACGCCACAGTGGTCCCAGAACACCTTCGCTGAAACTCCAAGTAAATACTAAGATATCATACCAGACCCAAGAGGTGTTCGACGTCTTAGGATGTATCTTTCCACTCACACCCATCTCACTGACATCCTCCAGGCTCCTCCACCAACCTAATCCACGTAATCTGAATCGCTGTCGTCGTCGGCATCCTCGTATCCTTCATCGTCGTCCATGACGTTGTCCGGCAACTTGGTCTTCTCCAGACGGCCAGCGAGCTTGTCGACCGCTTTCACCTTTCCCTTGCCAATGTAAGCCGCCTCAGCAGCCTCTTCACCCATATCTTCGGCCTCAGTGTTGGCAAGTGCAGTCGCCGCTTCACCCGTCTTGTGCGAGCCATAAGCCTCCATCCGGTCGGCGCGCTTGTTGATGGCTTTGGTGGCCTTGTTGTCGTTCCAAGTCGAATCAATCGCGTCCGCGGCCTTGTAAAGGTTTTGGATAGCGTCCAAGATGTCTTGCTCTATGAGACGCTTGGGTTCGAACGATCCACCCGCGGCGATACGCGCTTTAACGGCGGCGACGATGAAGTCTTCGCCCAAGAGGTGTTGACCAGGGAGGGCTCTGCTGAAGATACCGATCATGGCGACGCACCTCGGGTCCTTGAGGAGGTGCTTGGTCTGGTCTGTGGTGCGGACGCGCCAGTTGTTTCGGATCATTTGCATGGAGTTGGCTACGGAGTATGCGTCCTTGAACTTGTGCTGAGAAACGCTGTTCATCTTGGCAAGGAGCTTCTTGACTTCAGAGTAAGGAAGAACAATGCGACAAATGTTCTTCCAAGCGATACCGTCGCGGCGACGAAGCTTCTCCATGTGAATACGCTTCTCTTCTATGTCGGTTTTCTAGAAATCAGGGGTTAGCCAGATGTCCTTCAGTGTAGGCTTCTTTGACTTTGGTGACATAAATGAAGCGGTTTCCCGTATTCATAGTCTCAAGGAGTGCGGCAACTTACCTGGAGAGTTTTCTGAAGCGCGCTATAATCCTCCTCTTCCAGATACAACACGACCTCCAAGTCTACGAAGCTCGTGATACGTGTGTTTTCCCGAATCGTAACGAGCAACTTCTCACGGTCCGCGATGCTGGCGAAGTTGAAAACAGAGTCGGTATCGAGCAAGGGCTCGCCATTCCTATCATGCAGCCAAAGCTCTTGATCGTGGCGCTTGAGCGCTGCTTGTATCGATACCACCATGTCGTTCCAGGTCATTGAAGGAGTGAGGAGGAAGTTGAACCATTCCTTGCGGGAATCGACATCGAACAGGGTGAGCAGGCGTACTCTGTTGATGCTTGAGGAAGACATTGTGAATCTGTTTGGTATGTGTATGTGTAGATAGAGACAAGTGGGTAGGTAGAGTGTTGAAGAAGAGAGCAGGAACTGAGTCGCCGATAGACGATATATGGACGAAGAGACTTTCGCGTTTCTACGTGAGCGAGACTTGAAAATCCAAAGTGAAGGTGAGAGAGCGATTGCAAACGCGGATTTCTCTTGCTCACCGCGTCATTCTTTCCCTCCCCATGTTTGCCTTTCGATCAGGCTGCATGTGGCAGGTGAAGCAATCAGGGGGTTCGTAACTTAGTCTCTGTGTCTTGCTAGATAGGTATGCCCATGCAGAGCCCAGGAGGACATGAAAAAATCCTGGTGAGGCCTCGATACTCTACATGATATCCGGACGTTCTTCATACTCCTAGACATGTACTACGCACATTCTGTAATCACGTTGAAGTCTACCTGGCTGTACTACTGACTACTCGCTGGAATCATAAGACACTATGGTATTCGGCAACTTGCCCCTACACAGATGACCCGCCAGCTCATGTGCAATTATCAAAATTCCGTAAGGTCTGCTGGCTCGGTATGCGGGGGCTTCACTAGCTAGATCGCAGTGAGAATGGATTGCACCCTGCCTTTGTTTGTGCTTACTGCCGCGAGGTTTTTCGGTAGCTCTGTTTGAGTGTATACTGTTCTTTCCCATCGTTCCTCATCACTCTCCTTAGCTCAACCTAGATCTTCACCACGATGAACCGTCAACCGCCGATACCGCGCCGAGTGCAAGATCGATACTGTCCGGAAATACGCCAATATATACGCATGGAGGTCAAAGCCAGAGCCAGTAGAGCCAGTCGAGCAGCTGAGATTGCACAAGGCTGGAAATCGACTGGTACCTTCCCATTCGGCCGCCTACCCAGAGAACTCCGCGACTGCATCTACGACTTGGCATTCGGCCGGCTGCCCACCATCTTCAAGACCAAGGGTCTAATCGTCCAAGCCACACATAAGGTTCGACAGTCGGAGGAAGACAATGGCGACGACGACCATTTCGATATCCGCTACGACGACATTCTCCCCGCGTTCAGTTGGGGCATCCCAAAGTGGGTCCTCACCAATAAGCAAATCTGTTCGGAAGCCCTCTCCTACTTTGGCTCCTCGCGCACATTCAACGCAATCGATATTAACCGTGTTTGTGAGTTTCAGAGTGAATGTGACATCATTCCCTCTCCCGACGATCCTTTCACAACCCCTCTCGTCTTCAACAGCGAAGTGCTCCGCAATATCACCATTGCAAGGGAATATGACCAATACATGGGAATAGAAGACAAATTCATGGCCATTCTCAACCGCGCACATGTGAAAGATGCATCCGTGGAACTAGAGTGGCAAGTTTCTCGTTTTCGAGACTCAAAAGACTGGGAAGAACACTTGGGTGCTTGGATTGCTGAATGGCACATCAAGCAGTGGGACGGCAATCTACGAAGGGTCAAAATCACCATACCTACCAACTGGACCTCCAAGAATCCGGTCTTTGATACTGTCAGGTTCGAGCAGGTGGAGGCGTTGGCACGAAGGCTTGTGAGAGAGGATGGAGTCGCGACGTGGGGTACCTTCGACTTCGGAGGCAAATTTCCGCTCCTGGGACGCTCGGTGCTCTGGCGCAATATGTTCAAGAGGAGTCTGGTCGTTGAAAGGGATGATTAGGTATACAGGACGTTGCCGTGGAGATCGAGAAAGGATATCAGGTTCGCACAAGTACCGTGGCTATAACTTTTGACTGTACGAAATGAATAGTTGGAGAATACACATGGAATGCACGAGATACAAGAAGAGAAGTTGATACAATGTATGATGCAGATAGGACGAATGCGACCATCGTCGTTGTTGATTGTGACGTTGTATGCTGTAGATGTCTTTGATATATGTGGAAAGACGTCAATCACCAGCCCAAACCAAATCAGACCCAGTTCGAGACAAAGGCGCATGCTCTTCTTCATTGTCGTTGTTGCTCGATGTGCATGAATCATGACTTACCTCACACTGGTCTTTGGCGAGTAAGTCCAAATTGACGTTCGGCAACCGGCCCTCAGCCACCCGTTAGCAGTTCCTTCCTCTGGGGTGTTGGATAGTTGAAGGTAGACCATCGCCACATGATCCAGGACCTGATCCGAGACGTGGACGTGGAGGCTTAGATTCGGACGAACGAACGAACGATTTGTAAGGTGGAGGTGGCGTAACCTCAAGATGGTAGTACGCAGCTGCCGCCGTCGAAGTGACTTCGGGTGGAAGCAGCGGGGCGCAATTCCCGAAAATGTCTCTTTTCGTACGGCGTATACGATTACGCTCTGCGACATCTTCTGCAGGCCGCGTCAACAATACTTTCATCTCCATACATACATCTAGCTAGTAGCCTAGTACTATGCACCGTCGCGATTCGTTGTGTAGCGCGAGGCCATAGCACCGCCGCGACGTTATGTGTCGCCCGTTGATCGACATGGCGGAGTCCGGATCCTCGGAACAGAACTATTTGCGAAGCTACTCCTCGCTGCGCATGGCGCATACACCGTGGTGAAGAAATACACGCTCTAAAGGTATTGTCTAGTAGTTCAGTTGAATAAAATGACCGTACGCAGGCTGCCTAATGTCGAGGACGCGACGCGCTATGTACGGCAATTGTTGCGATCAGGGCCTAACGAAGATGACGACATTGTTTATTGCATGACAACAGGGCAGCGATAGTTACTTTGCGCCAAACGCTTGTCTCCACATCTCAAACATGGAGAAAGTAACACACTCAATGCCAGGATGACAGGGTCGTATCAAGGTTCTTTTTCGTACCCCCCTCGTACCGGCACCTTGCCGATTGCCGAAAGCGTATTGTTTCGAAATGAGCGCCAGCCACTCACGGGAGATGACGCGCCACAACGGTGCCCGCTGACAAGAGCCTTACAGCAGAAAGGCGGTGTCAGCTAGCAACTGCTGCAAACGAAGAAGATCTGTCAAGGACCGATGGCAGCTGAGGGCCTGATGATTCAGGCGGGCATGCGACACCACCTTACAAACCAAACAGGGTCAAAACCTCGACGAGAACAGATGGGACTAAAAATAAAGTTTGATCGTCAGGGCCTTCAGCCACGACAAGTGGCACGCCTAGTAGCACGCCTATGAGGTCAGATCCTCCTAGCTCTTCCGGGCGTTTGGTGCATTGGAGCATAGCCGCCTGTGGGTCATTCCGCAGCCTCCCGTCAGCATGGAGCGCATCATTTAACATTGCCATGTATCCGCATTCGTTGGCGATTCATTTCGCGTCTTCTCAGCCCTCTCACCCTTCTTTTCCTTGCATCCATTCGTTAGGATGAAGTATTCTTCTGTTTTGTCTGCTTCGGCATTGACTAGTTTAGCGACCTGTAAGTGATGCGCCTCCCTGCTTTGCTGCAGGGACCGTACCGTACCGTACTGACGCATGACAGCATTTGCCGTTGTTCCTCGAGAAGCTAGAGTCGTACCTCCCAATGACTTGGATATCTTGAAGCGTGCCTCCCCCCAGGCTCCTAATGGCTACGCGCCCGCCGAAGTCAATTGCCCGTCTACGCGCCCGAGCATTCGATCTGCCGACAAACTCTCCCAGCAAGAGACAGAATGGCTTCAGAAAAGGAGGCCGAACACGATAGATCCCATGCGCGAGTTCCTCGAGCGCGTCAATATTGAGGGCTTCGACGTTGGACAATACATCAGCAATCACCGCGACAACACTACCGCCCTACCGAACATCGCGATCTCGTTCTCTGGTGGAGGATATCGGGCTCTGCTGAACGGTGCGGGTGCTCTAGCGGCGTTTGACAGTCGGACAACGAACTCGACGAGTGCAGGACATCTGGGAGGAATCTTGCAGGCATCCACATATGTTTCCGCACTATCAGGAGGAGGCTGGATGATTGGCAGCATCTACGCCAACAACTTCACTTCGGTTGAGGCAATCATCAACAAGGGCGAGGACTCGGCAATTTGGCAATTCCAGAACTCGCTGTTCAAGGGACCTCCCACGAAGGGAATCCAGCTGCTCTCGACTGCGCAGTACTACGACAACTTGGTCAGCACGGTCAAGGAGAAGAGCGATTCGCCGGCTGGTGACTTCAACACGTCGATTACCGATGTTTACGGCCGCGGTCTTTCTTTCCAGCTCATCAACGCCAGCGATGGAGCCCCAGGTATGTTTACCGCTATATCAATTACTTCCACAAACTAACACCCACAGCCTATACCTTCTCTTCCATCCAGGACGACCAAGACTTCTCGTCCGGAAACGCACCAATGCCTATCCTCGTCGCAGATGAGCGTTCGCCCGGAGACTTGATCATCTCTTTGAACGCTACCAACTTCGAGTTCAACCCGTTCGAAATGGGTTCATTTGATCCTACAACCTACGGCTTTGCTCCTCTGAAGTACATCGGTTCCAACTTCAGTGAAGGTGAACTTGCACAAGATCAGGGCTGCGTTGAGGGATTCGACAACCTGGGTTTCGTCATGGGAACCAGCAGCTCCTTGTTCAACCAGATCTTCCTCACATTGAACACCATCCAAGACGTACCCCAGATCCTGGTAAACTTTGTATCGAACATCCTCAAGGGTATCGGTGAAGATGGCGATGATATTGCCGACTACTCACCCAACCCGTTCTTCCACTACCACAACGAGACGAACCCCAGTGCTGACAGGGAGCGTCTTACTCTCGTGGATGGTGGTGAGGATGGCCAAAATATTCCCTTCAACCCGGTCATTCAGCCCGTACGCCAGGTCGATGTCGTCTTTGCTATCGACTCTTCTGGTGACACTGTCGAGGATGATGACCCGTCGCAAAACTGGCCCAACGGTACTTCTCTGGTTGCAACCTACGAGCGTGCAAGCGGCACTCTTATGAACAGGACCTCATTCCCTTACATCCCCGGCCAGGACACCTTTGTTGCTCTAGGATTCAACAGCCGCCCAGCATTCTTCGGTTGCAACAGCAGCAACGTTACTGAGGGTGACAACATTCCTCCCCTCGTTGTCTACCTTCCCAACGCCCCCTATGTCTTCTGGTCCAACACATCCACTTTCAACAAGCTCGACTACAGCATCAGCGAGCGCAACGGCATGATCGAGAACGGTTACGATGTCGTCACCCAAGCAAATTCCACGCGCGAGGGCGCCTCAAACTGGCCCACTTGCGTCGGATGCGCTATCCTCTCTAGGAGTTTGGAGCGCAACGGCGAGGCGATCCCACAAGTGTGCCAGCAGTGCTTCACTGACTACTGCTGGAACGGCACCACAGTCGAGACTTCGCAGCCATACACGCCCGAGTTGATCGTCGGCCAGCTCGCCACTACGAACAACGACGACGACAGCGGCGTAGGAAAGTTTGTGCCCAACGTCCTCGGTCTTGCTCTGGCAGCAGCCGTGTCTGGCTACTTGATGATGTGAGATATTTTCTAGTTTGCTTTTGGCGACATAGGGATTGGATTCAGCGCGGGTGAAACATGATACCACCTCTCTTTTGTAGATAGTAATTAAGTCATTACACGTATTATTCAACGTTCTGTTGCCATTCACCTATCACACGTGCGACATTACCATACCATGCATTGCGGCTCTTCGGCGCCGCCCGTCCCTGCATCACCGAGGCGTGCCCCGCCAGTTGCGCGCCCATCAAAAAAAGTTACGACCCCGCCACGCCTCAAGCACACAACGCAGCCAACACGCGACCACTACACACAATGGCCGTCCCGTCGCTCGAAAGCGCGCCCGTACTCTCTACGCCCGACACGCACATCTTCGAAGACCCCACACCCGCCGTAGACACGTCGAGTCTCCCTAGACTTTCCGATGAGCAGATCACGCTCACGTATGAGATCGAGCGCACGGTTAAGGAAATTCGCGAGGGAAGATGGAAGAGGATTGCGTTGCAGTTTTCGGATCATATGCTTACTGATGCGCCGAGGGTGTATGAGCAGCTGAGTCGGGGACTGGGCAAGGCGAGGAAGGCGCGGGATGGGGTGCAAGAGGAGAATGGACACACAAATGGGACAACAGGCGTGGAAGAAATCAGCGCGGGCTTGGAGAAGGCGGAGATAAGTGATGAGGAGAGCAAAGAAGAGAGTCTATTCATACTGGGCGACACATCATACGGCGCGTGCTGCGTAGACGAGGTTGCAGCAGAGCACGTCGACGCGGACGTTGTCGTGCATTATGGCCGTTCCTGTCTCTCGCCTCCTTCAAGACTACCAGTCGTATACGTCTTTACAGAACGACCGCTAGATCTCGATCCCGTGATCGCAACGTTCCAAGGAACATATCCAGAAAAAGACGCAAAAGTCATCCTCATGGCCGACATACCATACTCCCACCACATCCGCCCGCTCCACGCACGCCTCCAAGACGCCGGCTACACGCACATACACGCTACAGAAATCGTGCACAACCCATCGTCGCCACTTCCAAACCGAACGATACCACCGAGCACAACGGAAACAGACGAAGCCCTCCACGACTACGCCCTCTTCCACATCTCCGACCCCCCGACGTCTCTCCTCCTTACCCTCTCCTCGCGCGTCGCCTCAATACACATCTACCCCACAGACATCATTTCCTCCTCCACCCCACCCACCGCTTCCATAGCCCGCACCCACCAAACCCTCATGCGCCGCTACGCGCTCCTAACCTCCCTCTCCACAACCCCCATCTTCGGCATCTTGATCAACACGCTCTCCGTGAAAAACTACATGCACATCCTGTCGCACGTACAACGGCAAATCAGCGCCGCAGGCAAGAAATACTACACCTTTGTTGTTGGCAAAGTGAATGCGGCCAAGGTGGCTAATTTCAGTGAGGTGGGGGGATGGGTGGTGATAGGGTGTTGGGAGAGTAGTCTCATTGAGAGTAGGGAGTTTTGGCGGCCGATGATTACGCCGTGGGAGCTCAAGGTGGCGTTGATGGGGGATGAGGAGAGGGTTTGGACGGGGAGGTGGGAGGGAGACTTTCAGAAGGTTTTGGATGAGGGGGAGGCTGATACAAAAGAGAATACTGGTAGCAATGCGCAGGAGGGAGAGGGAGAGGGAGAGGGAGACGCGAATGGAGATTATGATTCTGAAGAGGAATCTGCACCTCCTGAGTTTGATCTTAGGACTGGTCGCTACGTCTCGCATGCGAGACCTATGCGCTCGAGTGGCGCGGCGAAAGCTGTGAATGGCAATGCAGCGACGTCGTCGTCTAGTTCGGCGCTGACGAAACGGGCGAATGGCGATATTGCGGCTGTGGGGGGCGTCGCGTCGCCTGGTGCAGAGTATTTGCGCTCGAATAGGACGTGGCAGGGTCTGGGTACAGACTACCGAGATGCGGAAGATGGAGAAGAGGGGGCTGGTGGGAAAAGGGCAGCTAAGATGGAAGAGGGAAGGAGTGGGATTGCGAGGGGGTATGTTGTTGGTGAGCAGGGGAGTAGACATTAGGTACATTTGAAGCAAGGAATTTCATGCTACTCATCTGTTGACAGTATTACTTTCACAAGACTACGAAAGCTCTGACAATGTCCTAACGATTCGATGTTCGTGAGATGCTGTCGCGCCCTTTTTCATACTCTTTACTACGTCTTCTTGAAAATTCTCGACGAAATTCTCCTACCTTCACATACTCCTTGCTAGAGATCCTCTTGGCCAGCGGTCCTCTCATTGCGTTCACATGGTAACTCTCGCCCAAGCTGTCTCCATGTCTTGGACGAGTGTGAGGAAGTCGTCGCTTTCCAGGTGGCGATAGACAAACTCGTTGAGCGCTGCTCTGCGTCCCTCGTCAGACTGCATCGCATACGTTGCCAACTGGTTGTTCTCATTCACACTCATAGTAGCACCTGGATTAGACATGCTCACACCATGGTGACCGGCGACAGACGTAGGTGGGGTGTCGAGACCACTATACGACATGGTATGGTGAAGATTCTGTGCAGCATTACTTCGTTCACCGAGAGGTTGCGGTGTTGGTAAGGCACTGAAGCTTGACCTATGGAAAGATAATGGATAGGAGATTGGAGATGATGTCAACGGTGACTGATTCTCGATGCCGCCATGTGGAGATGTCTTTGCCCGTGCAGGGCTGGATTGATCTTGATTCGGCGTGCGAGGCGGCTGCTGCACTGGTTGCTTCCCACGTGTGGTCTTGCTGATAACAGTGGGTTTGGGCAGAGGTGGGAGATCGATCTCCTTGCTGGTTGCGCTTCGGCTGGAACCAGGTCGGTTACTGGCTACGCGTGCTGGTAGAGGGGGAGGCCCCATCGTGCCAGTAGAGGGTCGCACACTGTCGCTGCCAGAGGAACGCGGCGAAGAGAAGCGGGGGAAAGGAAGCTCGCGTCTCGGTGGTAGTATCTCAGTGCTACCAGGGCGATCGGCAGTACCAGGACGATTTGCACTACCAGGGCGGTTGAACAGCATGGCAGTATCCGGTCGCTCAGTAGACATACGATGAGATTCTTGAAGGTCCGGCATGTGCTGATCTGACGTATATGAAGAGTCAACATGCGAGCGTCCTAAGATATCCGAGGTTGCTGAGGTGGGACGAGGGAAGAAGACTGGAGGAGCAAGAAGGTCTGATAAGGCTGCTGGTGTGCCGCATTCTTCCCTGGTATATCCTGTGGTGGCAGAAGCTGGACGGGTGTATGCCGCTGTGGGTAGTTGAGCATTCAAAGAAGCAGAGAAGTCATAACTAGTGGACAGTCGATTGGAGATCTCCGCCAGCCGCGAAGGAGGACATGATAGTCCACTTGGGATGTGACCTCTAGTGGCCTGTTGCATACCCGTGGGCTGCTCAGGGTATGCAACAGCGGTCAGGCTTGGCCGAGAGGACGATCCTCGTGTCGGCGATGGTGGCGGAGCTGTAGACTTTGATTGGGACGGCACTGCGTTTTGGCCGCCCATGTAAAGACCGAGCCGAAGGAGGTGGCTGAATGCAGTGTCAAAGTCCTTGTCTGACTTGAACCGCATTTGAATGCGCCTGATCTTGTCGTTGGTCACTTTCCATTTGATAGCGAGCAGAGGGCAGCGCACAATGGCGGATATGTGTAGGTGGTCGGGCTGCACCTTCACTCCGCGCTCTTCACTCAGACGCGTTATCTGATTGCCTTCGTTGATCAGTCTCTCGATTTCGATGGTTTGCTGTCCTCGTACGGTTAGCTAGCACACCATTTGAAGCGGGTTTTCAATCTGAGTGGGTGGGTAATCAGTCATGCATGCGTCGTACCCGAACCTGCGAGCCCTGACACAATTTCATGAGCTGAAGACCACCGCGCGCACCATAGCTGTCGATGATCAATGTGAGGTCATTGGTCTCTTTCTGCCAGTTGAACCTCTGCTCGCTGGCGTCGGTGTCTTGCGCTGTTGACAGAGTCTGGAGCGGAAGGGAGAACATGATCGTTAGCAAGGCTGTTTGTTAGTCAAGATCAATCAGCTACCATGTGATGGCATTTGTGCGATAAAACATGTCGTGATGGAGACACTCGCGCACGCAGGTGCTGAGGAATGTGAGAGATGGTCGAAGGCAGTCGCGACCGGCCACCTCAGTCACATGATGTGGTCCGTGCGTGTCAACGCGAGGGACTTGGTGCAGTCTGGAGTTCTGGTGTTCGCCCATCCATCATCGCGAACGACGCGCGCCGCGCATTCACGAGCAGATCCACCATTGCGCCTGGCACACAGCTGAATCCACGCATGCGTCGCGACCCGTGCCCGAGCAGTCCCGAGTAAATGCGACAGCCGCACCATGGCCCCAAACAAACCAGAGGAACAATCTGTCGAGCGCACCCAAGAATATGAAGACTTTCTGAATACCTTAGCCGAATACCACGAAAAGCGCGGGTGGGTTTTTGTTCTTTGTTTCGCCGCAATGAGCGCATATTGACCCGACGTGTAGCACTGTCCTGGATCGCGAACCGAAAGTCGGGAGCCGGCACATTGACCTGTTGCGACTCTACAAACGCGTTAATGAAGAGGGAGGGTACGATAGGGTTTCAGATACCAAAAACAACAAGCTTGCGTGGCGCAAAATCGCGACTGAGTTCCTGCCCAAGAGCCCCAGCATCACAACCCAGGCCTTTTTGGTGAAGACAGCCTACTACAAGAACCTTGCGTACGTGAATGGTGAAAGACAACTTCGCACCTACAACTGCTGACGCCTGCTCTAGCGCCTACGAAATATCCACCGTTCACAAGCGCGAACCCCCGCCGCCCGAAATCCTCGAGAACGTATCTGCAAAGGGCGGAGACCTGCTCAACCGAACCGTCGACAACTTCTTCCCACCCAGCAATCGAGAGGCTGAACGATTAAGGGGAGAGGAAGACTCCGATTCAGAAGACGACGTCGAGAAGACACCAAAAGACGACAAGATGGACGTGGACGAGCCCGGTAGCCTTGGGCGGTCGACAAGGTCCCTCCGCCATGCGCCGCCGCAGCGAGTGCTCTTCCAGCCCGAGTCTTCAACCCGACAGACGCGCCAATCGACAGGCCATCTGACCTCGTCCCAAGCCAATGGCTACGGCACCAGCGGAGCGGCCATGACGATTGCGAACTATGAGCCACGAACAGCCGTACCAGCCACCATGAAGCCCGTCGTTACCCCGTCCAACTCCCTCGATACCTACATACAGTCGCGCAAGAAGTACATCCTCAACAAAAAGAACAGGCCGGTGCCGCTCAAGGGCATGATGCTACCCGGTACCGGCTTCCCAGGGCCCAGCATATACATCCGCGCTTTGAACGCGCTGCGGTCAAAGGAGCCTGAGGAGGAGGCATACGCGCTGCACCACCTAGTCAAGATCTCACATGAGCGAGGAGACAAGTACCGCTTCGATCAGTTCCCGGGGCTCGCAGAAGCACTCATTGCCAAGGTCATCGACGTGTCCGCATTGTTCTTCGACGTGAACTGGGACATCTCATACGTCGAAGAGGACTTCACTCAGCCGCAAACCCTGAATGGACTGACCGGCACCCGCGATCTGCTGCAGCGCATCAAGTCTCTTCGCCCACTCGACATGCACGACAATCTCCTACCTGAGCAGTCCGCAAAGGCCCTCACCATGATCAACGAGGCTGCGCTCATCATCCGGAACATGGTGATGCTGAAAGAGAACGCCATCTTCGCGGCCTCTGTGCCATCCATCCAGGACATGATCGTTATCGCACTCAATCTGCCCCACCACTCTACTATCGTGGAGCTACAACATTACGCCCTGGAGATCGCCGAGCAGCTGACGAAGTACTGGATATTGGACTCGCAAAGCCCGTTGTATCGCTCTCTGCTCACCCAAGTGGATTCCGACGATCGTGGCCGCATCATCACATCGTTGAGAGCACTCGCCCGAATAGCAATGAACCTGGAGGCTACAAACAAGCTCTCTGACGTGCCAGTCAGGACCCTCAAGTCAATCTGCGACTGGTTGCTAGTAGAAGACGAGGATCTGCGCATAGCATGCCTGGACTTCCTCTATCTCTTCACTGGTTTCCCCGACAACGTTGAGACGCTTGTACACGAATTTGACATTGAAGGAGTGGTAAAGCAACTGGTACGCTTGCTACAGTACGGTGCAATCGCATACGAAGAACGAAGGAGTGCCGCCAAGACGGCAAAGACCTCTGCACCTCCAGAGAACGCGCCTAAGCTCTCATCTGCAATCATAGATCATCTTGTGACGCTTGACGAACCAGAACGTAGCTCGCAGTGGCTCAAGACGTGTTTTGAAGAGGATGCGACTGGGGAGATTACTCAGATTCAACTCTGGTCGGCCTATAACGCAGCCTTCTCAGAACATATGACGAATAACCCGGCTTCCTTCAAAGCGCTTATGCCAGCGAAGGACTTCATAACGAATGTATCAACGACGTTCGGTGGCGCCTCCGCTCAGGTGTTGACCGTGGGTGGGCAGCCAAAGTATACCATAAGAGGCATACGGCCACGATCCGTACCAGTCGACCCAAGCACCAAGAGGCCGTACATGCGCTGCTGCTGGCATCCACCGAGCCTCCTGAACGGCCATGCCGACTCGAAACATTCGACAGCCAATATCGAGTGCGGGGAGTTCGCTTCCGGAGCACGCTCTATGTGGGAACACGTTGTCAGTGTCCATCTTCAGGTTCCTCGCGATCAGGAAACCGGACAGTGGCTGCTTGAGCCAAAGCTGGACATTAAGGACATTGTCAATATCGAGAATGGAGACGCCCCAGAAGCGACGAAATACTACTGTCATTGGGGCGGTTGCACTCGATTCTCGCCTGACGGCACAGAATCCGCGTTCGAGGCTGGACAGCATGTCAAGACACATTTGCCTGATACGAGCATCAAGCAGGCCATCCACGCGAAACACAACCGCACGCCTTCAGAGTCACGGCCTTTGACTTCTTCTGCACAAGCACGGCATGAGAACTTCCAGCCCCAATTCGGACAACCGGTCGGGTTGGGTAGCTTGGGTATGGGCGGGCGACACCAGAGTTCATCGACCAGCTCTGCCAGCAGATACGGCGGTCGAGATGATGCAGCAGGAGCGCAATCAGCACCCAACTTCCGCTACTACAACACGGCGACCGATGATACCAATGATGCGGCCGGCCTTCCTCTGTCCTCGGTTCTCGTTCTTCGTAACCTTGCTCGGCAGCTCAACAAGATCCCGCCACCTACCACTGTCACCGACATTACCTCGCCATCCTCACCGGCCCACAAGCGGACGTTCAGTGCCAGTGAAGGAAGCCCCGAAGCCGCGAGGCGAGCCACAGCCGGCGGCAAGAAGCCACGTCTCAGCGACGCGGCAGCGGAACAAAGACGAGAGAACGAAGAGAAGGAGGAAGAAGAGGCCAAGAACGCCGGATGGGTTCCCCGCATCTTTGCTCCGCTGCGAGATCAGATCGCCTTTACTGCAAGTCACAACCTTACTCTCCGAAACTATATCGGCGGGCTACTCAAGGCCATCGCTGAAGGTGGTGGTTGATGTTGTAGTAGTACGTGTTTGTAAAGCCCTTGCTGCGTGGCGTTGATGAGGTTGCGAAAGGCTGTTTCCGCTTTCTTCTGTATGAGCGATACTGTGTGTTTGGAGTTTACTACATTTGTACGCGAGGGAGTGTACTCCTAGATATCTTCATAGTTTTATGATACCGCTGCGGCTGATGGGTCGGGTATTAAAGTGTCTGTTACGTGGTACTTCAAGCGAGTGAGTTTATGTCATCCTTATGTTCTTGAATCATTTATCGTCTCTTATCACAGAATACCGGAATCGAGCACTCTTTGAAAATGCGGCTGATTAAATCCTGTGACACACTGACGCCGCCGCAACCCCTCCTACCAACATGCCTCCATGCCCGCGACAGCGGATGCTAAGCCACCTCCCACCTAATCGAACTTTGGAGCTCACACACAACGAAGAATAACATGCGAAGCGCCGAGAAATCAATGGTGACTACAAGATGCGGCACGGGTAAGATTCAAGTCAAGAAAAAGTGTTGCTGAGCACTACTAAGCCCGGGAGAAGTGCTTCATAGTGCTCTCACAGCATAGAGGCGTTTCTCGGCGAGTTGGATGTTCAAGCGGCAGTTACACAAAGTCTGATCGGTACATTCTTTGTCTTGATGGAAAGTGGCTTCGATCAGCTGGCGTGAATGAGTGTGCGAAGGCTTTCGGTCGAGGAGAGGTAAAGTTGGTTCGCTACTTAGGTACCGCTCTCATCCTCCACACCTTTTCCGCGCGCTCATTACAGCGCGTTTGTATGGCTTCAACGGCTACGATAACCGCAATGATAGGCCAACTAGATAACGTAAGAGAGGGGTGTAGAGAAACAGTGGCGCATATTGTGAGAGCGTTTGCGCACGCGGCGCTCGCGTGCGACCTCAGTCAGTCGGAAAAGAGGGCATGCGACGACTGCGGTAATTGAAGTCAACTTTGGTTCACGTCCCTTATTCAAGTCCCTTCTCTTTCTGACTTGGTATATAATCTTGCCGTGGGTAATGTGGCCAAGGCTTGACATACACTTGGTACTGGGCATTACAGAGATATAGATATAGACTTATCAGCCGCTGGTCCGACTCAAAGATGGCGACTTACATCGGTGCGTATCTTTCTTTTGATTCTGATACGGATTTCCAATGTCTTCGGCGCAGAAGACGCAAATGCGCAGGAGACAAGACAGATTCAAATATCCCCGACTATGGTAGACTTTATACAAGGTCCCCTGACAGATCCACACTTCGATCGCATCACCCCGGACGCTGCGCACAAGGATCCTATCCTGCACACATCACACCATACCCACAACTGACCACCCCACCCCAGAACCCCTCGCGCACCTCCTCTCCGGCAACCTAACTTACCGCACCGACACTACAGCCCTCGACCCCAACGCGTTCACGCTCCTCGCCCAAGGTAAGCCCTGGCTGTACGAAGTGCATGTGAGACATATACTGACTTCGTACCCCACCCTCTACAGGCCAAGCTCCCGATATCTTGTGGATCGGCTGCGCAGACAGTCGCATCCCGGAAACGACTGTATGTCACTGCAAGCCCGGCGAAATCTTTGTGCACCGCAACATCGCGAATACAGTGCATCCAGATGATCTATCGGCGGCGAGTGTAGTGGAGTACGCTGTTGTGCATTTGAAAGTCAACAAAGTAGTTGTCTGTGGGCACACGAAATGTGGAGGAGCGAATGCGGCTTTGGGAGATGACGATCTGGGGTGTGTTTTGAACAAGTGGTTGGGGCCTGTTAGGGAGTAAGTTGACCTGACTACATCCTTGTTTTAGAGCATGTGGGGGAGGGATCTGGTGGGGTGAACGCGTGCTCGCAGGATCAGAATCCTGGTTTTGAAAAGCTATCATACTAACAACACCGACAGACTCCGTCGCAAGAACAAAGTCGAGCTGGAGGGCCTTCCCAACGACGATGCGAGGGCGGCGCGGGTTGCTGAGCTGAATGTTCAGCAGTCGATCGAGGTGCTGAAACAGCATCCTGCCATCAAGAGAGCGGTTGTTGAGCGTGGTTTGTCGCTGCATGGGCTTATTTATGATATTGGTGCCGGACAGTTGAAGATTCTGGAGGAGGTGGGTGGGAGGAAGATGAATGGGCATTGAGTCTGACTCGAGTGTTTGATGATGTATTTTTCCAGATCGGTCTTGTAAGGAGTTTATGGTGGGTTTCGTTGTGGTCATGGTTATGACTGCTTTGATGGAGGGTTAGAAACCGGCCCAATAGCGTTTGGGAGTCATGAGCGTGTTACAGGTCGAGAGCGACGGCGTCGGCGTGTGGGGTAGCATAGCCTATCATGACTATATAGATTCTGCTCAAATATGCGAACTGGCATGCTCAAAAGCCCTCCTTCTCCTCAAAATACTTTCTCGTCTCATACATCGACATAAAGGGAATAACAAACACAGGATGCACCGCCCTCACAGCATCACCCTCATCCCAGACCTTATCCTCGCCATCATATCGGCCCTCCATCTTCCAATGAAAAGGTGCGCCAAAGATACCTGTACTAAGAGTCTTGTTTACATTCTCATCGTAAGCATATTTATGCTGTACTGCACTCAGCCCAGCCAGATTGTAGCAAGTGTGATATGCATCTGCGCCTTTCCCCGGCTTATCCCTCAGTCCGCCCTTGTTCTCTTGACACGCAGCTAGTATGTAACGGCCAAGTGCACCCCGGTTCCAGAGTCCTGTCGTGGTTGCAGCTTCGACGATGGACCAGCAGCTGCCGATCCAGTGGGAATAGCAGCCGTCGACGAGCTTGTTTGTGCGGCCATTGTATCCACCTTCTGGTGTGCATTGCCGTGATGAGAGCCAGTATATCAGCATGTTGACATCCAGATACTTGTGAAGTGTCTCTTTTGGTGGGCCGAGGATGGCGAGACTGCCTAGTCCGCAGAATGCGTAGGCACCGTGAGCTTCGTTGCCTGGAGCTGCGGAGATGCCGCCATCCCAGGATTGACATTTGGAGATCCATTCTCCAAGGCGGTCTGTGAAGGTGGTGAAGCCTTGTTTTCGTACTGGTGCGTCGGGTGGTAGCTCGAGAGGGAGGTTGAGGAGGGATAGTACGACCAGGGCGCAATAGGCACCGCGTATGTCTTCTTCGCCGCCTGCGCACATGGTAAAGCCTCCATCTGCTTGCTTCATCCGGCCCAAGAAGTGCCATAAGGTTTTGCGATTGATCGTTTCATATGAGTCCTTTCCGCCGACGGTGGCGAGTGATAGTACTGAAGCGTATGTACAGGCAAGATGGGCGTACTGCCCGTAGCCACCTCCGAATCCTCCGTCTGGATGTTGGGCTAGGGAAGCGGTGTGTGGTGTTCTATATTTCATCAGAACATGTATAATCGAACTCTTGTAAATGCGAATTCTGGGAAAGAAGGGAGTGTTTGAATTGAATGGACCTACGTCTTGTTGTAATCGGTTATATCAGACCCCAGTGCGGTCAGGCCTTGCAGAGACCAGTAGATGATCCATGGTCGCGCAGCATCCAATGCGGCAGCGCGTGCCGGCCAGTCATCAAGTTGTCCTTCTAAGAAGTAGGCGTGCTTTCGTCGCTGCAAGCTCGGTATGCCAGTGGCGTTGAGTGGGAAATTGTTGGGGTTGCCTTCCAGGAAAGGTAATATGACCTTGGACGTTTCATCATCCGCTTCCGATGTGTCCGTTACGAGTGAGTCTCTGATTGGTATTCTTATGTTCTCCAGGTAAGCGATGTTTGCTTGCTCTTCCATGGTAGCGGTTCCCATATCTTCGTAGTCGCTCTCAAGCTCTTCGTCTGAAAGCTCTTCAATCCGTTGTGATCCGGGAACAATCTCCTCTAAGCGAGGGGCAGGTGCTGAGGTACGTAATGGAAGAGCCATCTTTTTCATATGCACGTTGTAGCGTCTCAATCGTGAACAGTACACGTCTGGGCGTCCGTGAGTGGCTGGCGCGTATAATGGCGTTCTTGCAAGGGTTGCTTAGTATTGTTCGAGTACAGGTGCAGCATCCAGATACGGTATGGGTATCACGGTTCGCGTTTGCATAGTGTGGCCAGCATTACGTGAGTTAACGACTGCCCTTTGTTTGTTGCAAATGCTACTCAGGTACAGGAAAGAAAGGGTGGAGCACGTGGGGAGTGATCACATTGAGTGCTAGCTGGCTTGGCGACATCTGCTATCGATAGGGAACCATCCCATCTTCATCTTCATCTACACACGACTCAATCGGAAGAACGCACACCTGCCATACCAGCAAGCTCCTCGCCCACTGTCTCGCCCGCAAGCTTCAGCGGCTTCGACTCCTGCAGAACAAACAACATGCGCGTCCAGTCGGTCTTGCTGTGGTTGATCCACTGATGCATCGTTCCGCGCTGAATCGCGACGTCGCCCCGCTTCATCAACCGCTTCTCGCCGCTGTCTAGCAGACATTCGACTTCGCCCTCGAGTACGCAACCGTAGTCCAAGCTCACAGTTCGGTGCATCGTGCACGCTGTGACTGGGGGAATGTCGACGTGACGGAGAACTGTGCCACCGGAGACGACAAGGCCTGGGGCGTCCTTGAGATAATTGCCGTACACATCGAGATCTTGGTCGTCGTTCATATCGACAGGGAAGCCTTTGGTGGTGAAGCTGAGAGCGAAGGCGATGCCGTCGTCGTTGGCCTTCATCTTGCTTTCCTCGTTGAAGGCTTTGCTGAAGACGGCTTTGCCTTTATCATCATGAGCCGTGATGTAGCGGTGGATCTTGGGCAGCGCGCCGATGTGTGCCATGTTGGAGGTCTTTTGGAGTATTGTGAAGTTTGCTTGCTCGTGATGATTGAGTGATGTAGAAGGTGAAGCCTGGCAAGCACAACACTTAACTGAATAGCGCCTTCTATCTCACCAGAATGGAAGTGACGATGTATTGACATGCCCCACGAAGAGTCTCAGATATAATGCTTCACTCTCTGTCTGCGTTACACGAGGTACGGGAGATGCGCGTGGAGCCGAAGGCCGGCTGCGGATCCACATATCCAACTTCCCGTACTCCGCCATCTACGGCTCCTGAGTAGGCGTCATTGCATCTACAATAGCCTGAGTTATAGAGTCTCGTCTCGCTGTAGTTCAGGGTTCGATATGTATAAGGTATGCTATATTGCCGCCACATTGTATATACGCAACAATCACCGGCAGCTGCAAAGCCAGCAAGCTGACCAAGTGGTGAAGATTAACGGCAGGGAAAGGATCGACCGGATTGAGTCGATGTACATGCACGTACCTTCTAACACTGTTCTGCTGGAGTTTCGTTACCTCTCAACCTAGGAATATGTCGCATCGACCATCTCGCAGTGCACGACGAAAGTCCACGTGACTTCTTCGCATTCAGCATCATCTCTTGATCGAAAGCCCTTGGTATGCATCTTGCCATGTGCATGTGTCCGTTTGTTCAGAGTAGAGATGCAACCCAAGCAAAAGCCGCTACACAGCGCCGAGGGTGATACCAGTGGGACATAATCTAGTGACAGGCAACACAAAGGTATTTACAATAAATGAAGTAAGCCTGGGCAAGACCATTTGCGCTGCGTTGATACAGGCCAGGCGTTTCGTCTTGGCTTCGTGCTGAGTTGGTGTTGCAGTATTCTCTAGACTATGAACTGGATGCGCGAGTACTGCCCCTTACACAGGGTGAGACTTTGCATGACCTGGTCAGCAATGTTTTGTTGAATGAAAGGATGAATGGCGTTGTAATGGCGGACAGACCGTGACGTTCATCTATCGGGTGAACCAAACTCTGGCTGCCGCGTGTACGGGAAGAGCGCACCAGTACACCGCGACTTCCTTCACATCACAAACGGCACAAAATTTCGTCGCTATCGCTACTTCTCTATTATTACCTCGCCACTCCTCCTTGTACTCACCACGGATTTCCATCGACCCCTGCTCTCATTCCACCTGTTTCTACTGCATGGCGCTACTTGCGTGGTCTTACATCCGCCACCACTTCCAGGGCTACTCTATCTTCACGAGATGGGGAAGCATGCATCCCACAAAGTACCCAAATGCCTCACCCAATTTCCTCAACTCTCGAGCTAGAAAGATCAACCGGTCACATCCCACATGAAGTGCGGGGATATTCCCCAACCTGTCGCCTCTTCCTCTCGTACTCTGCACAAGTCGCAAGTCAAACCCAGTCAATAGAAAGACGACGTTGCTCGCGTCATACGGAGACCCAACATGCGGCCGCCTCGCCTATGGGTACGCCCTGAGGATGTTGGACAAAGAAACGTCAGCAAGGCCGTACAGTAGCACAACGCTATCCACTCCCCATGACTTTGGATGATGGTGGCTTGCGTGGCTACTGACCTGTTAAATTGTGGGTGCGACACTGCAGAACCGCGCAGATCTCGCCGAAAACGTGGAAGCATCTCAAGACTTGAGAAGCATACAACTACGGTATACTTCAAACCAACGTAAAACGAAACAGATGGCAGAGATGATCACGAGCACATGACGAATCTCGGCATGCCACAGGAAGAGTGATACCAATGTAATACGCCCACCAGTAAGGACCAGGGGCGCTATCCTGTCAAGCTGTCGCTGCTCAAACGGCGATATGCGGGCAAAGCATGACAGGATGCACAATACTTGAAACGGCTGCCATGGACGAGAATCCGGATGCAAGACATGGTGCTCAGTAGTACGATCGGAAGCGATGTTACGCAGAAGGCGCTCGGCATGCCAGGGTAACGATGAGCGCTTGCCAACGCGAGGAACCGCCGGCGAGTGGGCACCGCGCGTGGAGGCAGGTATGGCGCTCAAGCTATGGATGGCCGAGGACTCTGGAATGTATGATGACGGCGGGACAAGTTGCGAGGCATCCTCGGACGTGTCGGTGAGTCTGGACGTCGACGGCGAAGTGCCGTTATAGAGTCGCAGGCCGGGCCATGCCAGTGAGGCAAATACGGACAGCCCTGGTCCATGGTAGTATCCGCGACTTTGTCAACCATTTGTCGCAGTCTATATTCTTAGATCCACCGACGGGCGCCAGTAGCGCAGGCCGGTTCGCCTGGCTGCATGTTGAACAGCTCGTTCGAGAGGTGAAGGTGGACGATCCAGCACGGGCATGAGGGGTGGGTATAGCCAGCCCACTGCGTCGAGTATAGGCTGTCTTTGCTTGTTGCGGCATCCCCAACGCTCCCCTCCACACCCTGATGCTACCTACCAGACCCCGAGTCTAACGCTTATCGGCACTATCGCAAGAGGGGTCATTCTGCTCGATAGGCGACAGCTGATCCGAGAGAAGAGCGATATTGCGACACACTGGCCTGCATCGCCGTCTCACTGGCTGCTGCAGGGTGAGGCGTCAGCTTGCGTGGGTTCAGTTAGCCAGACGACAGCCAGACCGAGAGGCGGAGCTGGCTAACCAGGACGCAGGTGGAGCGTCTCGGCGGGCGAACACAATTCGGTTCTGTCGTCGCTCAACGATCTGCTCACTAGAGGCGCCTCTCCACGATAGTTGAGCACCCTCTCGCTACCCGCACACCACCCAACGCGCCCGTCTAGGAACCCTCGTGCACGTCGGCGCTGGTCAGGGTTTTCTTTGACCTCGATTGCGAATCGCGCGGTCCGCTGCAGCGCTTCTGGCGCTATCCTAACCAAGTGTAGGACTAGACGAGCCATTGGTGTGTGGGGCTGGGACTTGCATACAAAAAGCGGTGTACGCGTCTTGGCATCATCCGCCTACACTCTGGTCGGCCCATCGCCCGCCCGCTTACCTTCACCGCTTACTATCAGCTCGAAGAGGCTGACAACACTCGAACCCCATTTTCACTCTCTGTGCAAACATGGAGAACCAACACATCGACTTTGACGGGGCCATCTACGGCGTGGACGGTGCCTTTGACCCTTCCTTCGACCCGAACCGACAAACCTACAACTTCTCCCAGACGTGGCCGCTCCCAATCTCACCCGGCAGCATGACACAGCAACAACAGCAGCACGATGGCAGCCAGCAGCAGCAGCAGCACTCGCACCACCAGCATCAGCACCCGCACCAGCAACGCCGCATCAACAACGCAGCCGCGTCTACCGCGCACAACTCGCACCCGAGCACGACGAGCATGGCTCCTCTCCACATGGGCCTCGGCTTTCCCGCGGCCATGCAACCGATGAACCCCATGTTGGCCACTTGGATGAACATCAACACGGATGGCTTTGGGCAGGATAGCTACGGACAGGGCTCAATGGGAATGGGCACGGAGTTCAGCACATACGGAGGGCCTCTGCAGACGTCGCCTGTCGAGTTCGGTATCAACCCGCACATGATGAACTCCATGTCCATGGCGCCCATGAACTTCATGACCACAACCAGCATGGACGGGCTACCCACCCTGACTACTGCGCCCTTTACAATGCAAACGATGAACGACTTCCAGCAAGAATTCACTCACCTCGGCAGCGCGCCCGCCGAATACACCGCTCACTCAAATCCCAGCGTTGGCACTGGCTCACCTGGTGAGAACTGGATGGAGATCCGTTCGCTCTCAAGTAGCGACAACGGCTGGGTCGACGTCGGCCTCGGCCACGGTCACCGCAACTCGTACGACTACTCAGATAGCTCTGCCATCATCTTCAACCCAGCCCAGTCACTTCACATCCGCACCGGCTCGAATTCGTCAAACTCGAACCACTCTGACGTGCCACCGTCAGCCCATTCCTTCAGCAGTTTCGAGGAGATACAGTTCCCCATGCACTCTCCTCAATCAGAGAACAACTTGGAGCTTGTACACTCGCATAGCCACTCCCACTCCCACTCTGACAGCTGTAACCACACTCACGGGCTCCCGATGAGCGATCACGACTTCGCCAACTACATCTCGCCTACCCAGTCCGTCAGCCCGCCCATGGCACGCGTCGAGCCCATTGTCATAAAACAATCCTCGTCAAATACCGCGTCGCCGACCTCGTCAGCCGTCAGCTCACCGCCGGCTCGTCGCAGGAAATCACCCGCGACCGCGACCGCGACAGGATCGAAGCCTGCCAAGACCATTGTCAAGAAGACACCCGCTCACACCACCAAGAAGGACGCCACGGGCGAGAAGCGCGTCGGCAGGAGAAGGGGACCTCTCAGGCCTGATCAGCGACAGCAAGCTCACGAGATCCGCAAGCTTCGCGCATGCCTGAGGTGTAAGTTCCTCAAGAAGACTTGCGACAAGGGCGACCCGTGCGCTGGTTGCCAGCCATCCCACGCGCGTCTCTGGCAGGTCCCGTGCACGCGTATCGACATCAAGGATATTGCCTACTTCATGAAGGACTGGAAGGCCGACTACGAGCGTCACGTCAGCCTTGGTTTCTCTATCGGCAACATCAAGGGCTTCTCGACATCGGAGCGTTTGATCTACGTTACCCACGGCTACGGCCACTACCTCCCCATTATGGCCCGCGACGTCTACGTCCGTGATGAGAAGTGCTTTGGTGTTGACTGGCACGAGACCCTCAACGGTCTCCACTTCGAGATCAACACCGCCAAGCTGTCCGCCGGCATGGAGGGCATCTCCCGCGCTATGCTCTCTGACTACCTTGACCGCCACATTGACGGTGGTTTCGAGCAGTTTGTTGATGAGTACTTTGAGGGCACCTACTTTGTCACCGAGTTGTTGAAGACTGCCTACCGCTTCTACACTCGCGAGAAGCTTCCCGTCATCCGTAAGGCGCTCAAGCTTGTCCTAGCCTACAACCTGACTCTCCACGTCACCATGATTGAGGGTCTCGGCGATGAGGACAACACGCCTGGTAAGGTCGAGGACCAACAGTCCAAGTTCTCTGGCAAGACCATCGCACCTGTCATGATCAACTTCCAGGTCAAGTGTGCTCTTGCCGACATGTGGCGTGAGCTGCAGAAGGATGTTCTTGAGGAGCTCTCTTCGCTCTACCAGTCGGTCTACAGTGGCGACAAGTTGAAGAACTGGCCCACCATCTTCATGCTCGCTGCTATCCTCCTCGCTGTCTGGGAGCTGATCCAGTTCGACTGCAACTACCGCGTCCCCGACGTCGGTGCCGTCAACAAGTTCTGTGGTGAGATGGAGGGCACTCCTGTTGGTGTCATTGTTGGTCTCTTCTCGGCCATCTCACAGAAGCTTCCTTCTTTCACCGAGTGGGATTCGAGGAAACACCACCACCTCCTCGCCTCTAACCCTGCGGTCTGCGATGCCATGACCGAGGTCCGCGCGCACGTCACTAAATATGGTAAGTCTGACGTCCTTTGCCACTGCCTCAACATGCTAACAAAGATTACAGAAACGTACCTCCGTTCAAGAAGTGACTGCAAGTTCGATCGTACCGACTTCGACTCATTGTCGAACAAGTTCCTCTCGAAACTTGTCATCAGGGCCAACTAAGCTCTACCATAATCTAATCACCAGGCTGCACACACTCTTCACGACCAATTGTTTACGCGCGACTCATCCACCGACAACCATCTCAGCAGCCTGCTTTCACGGCACAACCCATATACATAGAACGACCCACGACTCATGTGTCCGATGTTTGCACGCATAACGGCTGACGACCCGAACCTAAAATGATGAACGACCTGTCCTGCATTTCCTGCGATTCCCCGGTGTCCTATGGATGCCATGTTAGCCCGCGATTGTGAGAACGATCAACGATTACGGCTTATCCTAAACTCTCCCAACTACATCACGCTCACTACCCGGCGACACCGGAAACCAATATTCTTTCACCACAACAAATGAATTCATACGACTTTTATTGACCTTCTGAACGGAGACGGCTGCACGTATGATCTACGACAACGATCACGACTACTTGATTTTACAACACGAGCAAGCGAGGCAGAGCCGCGGACCGCTGGTCCTGTGTGTTCTTTGAAATGTTTATTTTTTCCTGTTTCCTTTTTAGTTGTTCCTTGCAACATTGTTGGAGGGGTCCCTGGTATGGTGTCGTACTCCAACACTCTCCCGTGTTGTTGACGTCCAACATCGTGTTACGAACCTCCTTTTCCAAGCAAGCAAGCAGAACAAAGTCACCTTTTCATCTTCTTGACGATTGTGTTACTGGCATAGCGAGCGAGCAGGCTTTCTTTCTTTCCTTGAGGCTTCGAACATACTCCTCCGGCCCTTTTGGCACCTGCGTGCTGAAAGCTGTGAGTGAGGCGGATTTCTTTTTTAACTACTGAAAACAGAGTATGTATCTATCCATCATTGTCTTTATTGGGTGTATTTTGCTAGGCTATAGCAAAATCAAAACATGGGAATTATCAATATCGGTATTATCACTATTTGCCTTTACTCTGCTCTTCATCGTGACTCGCAAGTGAAAATCTGAGCATGCTTGGTGTGTGAGTCAGGAATCGCACCGACTCCCCAGCCACTCTACACCGCAACGACAAAGTCTTTTACAAGACCAACCTCCAATCTCCGTGCCTGCATTACATCGCCAACCCCTCGCACCCCACTTGCCCAAAACAGCCAGAACTACAGGAACTCCCCTTCCTACTGCAACTTGCGTTTCACGTTCAATGCAGCCCATGGTATCGCCGGACTACATCTCCGGCAAAACTCCGGGTTATGGCTCGCGGGAAAAAGCTGCACCACACCGCCTTTCCCGCCCCTCGCTTCCGACACTACCCGTTCTGCGCGCCATCGTCTCTCTTTCAAACGTTTGCTTAGCTAGAATTAACAAAGCTGTTCGAGCCTGTTGCAATGGGCAGGAAACTGGAATGATCTACCCGGCCCCTTCCTTGTCGATCACGATCACACCCGCTGACTAGCCGATCCGTCCGTCAATGGGTCATGAGCGTGCTTAGGCGAGAGTTTGTAAGACGGGATGGGCCTGTCTTGTTAGTACCGTAAGTTGTACAGCGTTCAAGCGTGTGGTAGTGTAGAGACAGGCGTATGCTTGCGATCACTGTGTGTAAAGTAGAGTTTAGGCCTTGTACAGCTAGATTTTTTTGGTGGCTACCATCTTACTGCGGGGTTAGAGTGTGTGTGGCGTGTGTAAGTGTGTAAGGTGGGTTCCCACATTCACCGGAAAGGGAACGCATGGTGATCTCATTTTGGCTGGGGCGGTTTACACTTGGTTTCGAGTCTGAGGTCCGGGTCTCGTAGCCGATTATCTTGCATACGTGAGAACATACGGGAATAAGTTCAACGTTGGGATTGCCATACATACCAATATACGACGTGGTTAGCTACATCTCAACGTTTCATGCACGAATCTCGGTACACTATCATGAGCTTGATCGTCTCGCTACCTCTCTCTCTCTTCATGTAGTTGAATCGTCTAGATTCTAGAAGGGAGTTTTCCCTGCGCCATTCTACCCGCCCATACCATGTTTTCTCCCTACCTAGGTACCCAGCTACCGCAAACCCCCCGATCCCCAATTTCCCATACTTCCATCTAGCAGACACCAGCTCCGCCCTAGAACCAGCTAGAAACTCGCCACTTGTGGGGCTAGCCCTACAGCCCAGCTCGAGAAAAGCAACTTACTGATGCGTTGTACAATCAACGCCGCCAGACCGGCGTGGCGCATGCAAGGTAATGCATCATGTACGCACTCCGGATGTACATACATTGGTCTCAACGGTTTCGCTTGGGGCTCGTCTCGAGATGAGTTAGCGGTGGGAGATGATTGGTAAGTGTGTCTTGTGTTCGGTGTGGTGAACTAGTGGCGCGAACGCGGTGTGGTAGGTAGGGCGAGTAGGTCAGGTGCGGGCAGTGAGGTATGGGGTTTGTAATCCCGATGGGGATGGGGATGCAGATGGAGATGGAGAAGTGTTGGGGAAGTTTGGGTTGCTTTTCGCGTCGTTGACCGGGGGAGTTGAGACTGCTTTTTGCGTCGTTGAACGGGGGTTCTGACGGGCGGTGTGTCGGAGACGGACAAAGAGATGGAGATGAATTGTGATGTTCATTCTTGTTGTTCCTGAGTATTCGAGGTGAAGGTTGTTGTACAGGCTGTGGGCGAATGAGTGAGTGATGCTGATCAGTTGCGAGTGGAAGTTATTGTGTAGGCTGTGGGTAAGATGATGGTAGAAACATTGGGCGATACTGAGACATCGTTGCTCATCCTCTGGAGCAACTCTCACGTCCTGAAGAGCTACCTCCGCAAAGGAGAAACTGGACAGGTGCTTCCCAGGCTACATCGATGCAACAATAAACGTCGACGAAATTGTAAGGCTTTGTAGACTTCTAGGTGTCCATTGCTTTCCTTGAACGGAGTGATGCCGATGGACCCTTTGATGACGATTACATGGCGTTTCCCTCAAACCACGATATCTGAACAGTATCATCTAGAAGCCCTGCCTCGCCTTAGGGACATAAACCTCCTCCAGATACTTCGCATCCTCATCGCTCAGTTGAATGTTACTATTCTTGACAGTTTCGTCAATCCTTTCCTTGGAACTCAACCCAATAATCGGGCAAACCCCCTTCTTGATACACCACGCCGTCGCGACACCAGCCATGCTAACCCCATTCTTCTTCGCAACCTCTTCCACACGCTCGATAATCTTCTTGTCGATAGCGTCTTCACGCCCGTGCACAAGCATCTCAAGGAACTTGTCGGTCTCAGCGCGCTTGGAAGAGCGGTCGTTCCAAGGGCGAGTGAGAGCTCCTCTTGCGATCGGGCTCCACGGGATGAGACCGACTCCGGTATCCTGACAGTAAGGAATCATCTCGCGCTCCTCCTCGCGGTAGATGAGGTTGTAATAGTTCTGCATGGATATGAATTTGTGCCAGCCGTTCTAGAGGCAAAGTCAATACTTGTCTCGCATGCACTTCGTACAGTCAAAACTTACCTTATCCGCGATATTCTGCAGCGTCTGAAACTCCCAGGCTGCCATGGATGACGCACCGATGTAACGAACCCATCCGCGTTCGATCACGTCGTTGAGCGCTTTCATAATCTCCTCTCGTGGGGTATCGCGGTCCAACCGATGGATCTGCAGGACGTCGATGTAGGTGCCGAGGCGCTCGACGCTCTTCTCGACGGCGTCGAAGATGTGCTTGCGGCTGAGGCCGACTTGGTTGACCATATCGCCGTCGTTGGTTGATACGCTGGCGATGCCGAGGCTAGGATCGTCTTCGTTGACGCCGAAGTAGCATTTCGATAGGAGGACGACTTTGTTGCGGGGGATGTTGTACTGCTTCAACGCCTTCGCGATGATCTTCTCGGAGTAGCCGTGGGAGTAAATGTCGGCCTGTTGACTACATTAGCTCTGTACACTCCACGGGTTTATCGATAGCCCAGTATTATGCGGCAAGAGGTTCAGTTGGGTGGACTTACAGTATCCCAGGTGTTGATGCCGCTCTTGTACGCATGTTCGAGAAGAGGCAAGCTCTCAGCCTCGTCCAACACCCACGGCTGCCATTTGGAACTGCCAAAGCTCATGGCGCCCAGGATAACTTTGGAGACCTTGAGGCCAGACTTGCCCAAGCTGTACTTTCGTCAGCATTGTTGCTGCCATGGCTGGTTCGCTGCCCAGCGATTGAGGGATCCGTACTTTACGTATTGCATCTTCTGGTCAGCCATTGTTGCAATTGCTCGTGTCGTTGGAGACCGTGTCGTTTGTATGGCGTGGCTCTGAAGTTATCGATGAGTGTGGTGATAGCTATATAGTGGTGTCTGTCGCGGAGATGGCGGCGGAGATTGCTGGAAAGACCGCAGGCAACGCGAAGGTTTAGTCCGATCAGACTTTTGGAGCTTCTAAATGGATCCAAAGGTACTCTCTCCTCTTTGAAGATGTGGAGTTGCTGTGAGGTGCCACTATAGTTCATGGAGTTAGGTAGCGGAGATACGGTCAATGGCGTCAGTTGAAGTGGGGTCAACGGAAAGAAGCCGCGGTACATGAGCGTCGTGGCAGCAGCGCATGCTCTCGGCGGCGCAATGAAGCCGTTGGTGTTGCACTAAGTACCAAGATGGGGACACCGACAGCGATAGCGAGTGGGGGCGTGTCGCAACAACAAAAAGCTACAGGGGCATCACAAGAGACAAGTGTTGAGAAACTCTCAGCGCCCGTAGGCATGCTTGATGCATTGTTCAGGCTGTATCAGCCGTCGTGTAAACTATGAATAAGACCAGATCTCCCGCAGGCAGATCATCCCATCAACGCCATGTCCCAGATACCGTCGTAAACCGTCAGCAACCGTCAACCACCTACTGTCCGCCACGCAGACGAAGCACCAAGTGGAGAGTAGACTCCTTCTGGATGTTGTAGTCTGAGAGCGTCCGGCCGTCTTCCAGCTGCTTACCAGCGAAGATCAGACGCTGTTGGTCAGGAGGAATACCCTCCTTGTCCTGAATCTTAGACTTTACGTTGTCAATCGTATCGCTGGACTCGACTTCCAATGTGATGGTCTTTCCAGTGAGAGTCTTGACGAAGATCTGCATACCACCACGGAGACGAAGCACCAAGTGGAGCGTGGACTCCTTCTGGATGTTGTAATCGGAGAGAGTACGGCCGTCTTCCAACTGCTTTCCCGCGAAGATGAGACGCTGCTGATCCGGAGGAATACCTTCCTTGTCCTGAATCTTCGACTTGACGTTGTCAATAGTGTCGCTGGATTCCACCTCAAGGGTAATGGTCTTTCCGGTCAGGGTCTTAACGAAGATTTGCATACCACCGCGCAGGCGCAGGACGAGATGCAATGTGGACTCCTTCTGAATGTTGTAGTCGGACAGGGTGCGGCCATCCTCGAGTTGCTTTCCGGCGAAGATGAGGCGTTGTTGATCCGGAGGGATGCCCTCCTTGTCTTGGATCTTTGACTTGACGTTGTCAATGGTGTCGGAGGACTCAACCTCAAGGGTGATGGTCTTGCCGGTGACTGGAGAGAATTAGTAAGGGTCTTGGGTCAGGGACAGCAATGTGGCAACTTACGGGTCTTGACGAAGATCTGCATACCTCCACGAAGGCGGAGGACGAGATGCAGGGTCGATTCCTTCTGGATGTTGTAGTCGGACAGGGTGCGACCATCCTCAAGCTGCTTGCCGGCGAAGATCAAGCGCTGTTGGTCCGGGGGAATTCCCTCCTTGTCCTGGATCTTGCTCTTGACATTGTCGATAGTGTCGGAGCTCTCGACTTCGAGCGTGATGGTCTTGCCGGTGACTGTGAAGGTGTTAGCAGCTGAGGCGCAGAGGCATCGTGGTGGCGGTGACTACTTACGGGTCTTTACGAAGATCTGCATGTTTGCGGTGTGCTGTGTCTTGTGGTGTGTGTAGTGTTGGTTGGGTAGAACAGCTTATCAGTGGGCTGTAGGAGGGGTGTGAGAGTGGTGTGAGGAAGAAGGCAGAGAGGGGAGAGGCTGGTTTATATGCAGGCAGGCTGAGGCAGTGAGTGAGTAATGATGCGGCGAGAGCCCGTGCGCCAATCAGCAACTGCGCACGGGAACATTCCGGCTGCTTCCACGCACACCGCAGGCAACTGGCCATTACTTGACGTCGCTGTTTGCTATCACTTAGCTCGTGTCTTCACGGCGAGACTTTGTCCATTTTCTATTACCTCCTCACTGTGCTCCATCACCGTCGTGGCCGTCCTTCACTGCTACACCGCGCAGGTTCCCCGCTGGCCCACCGCCCGTTATCGCCTGGAGCCTGGACCAGCATGCGCCCGGTATGTGACGTAGACGCCACCAAGGCAACTGCGCCTTTGCCTCTGCGGTCCTCAACCGGCGCCTCTACGGCCGAAGACAGTCCATGACACTCGCCATCCAGACTTGGATCAAACTCTGCATTCCGAGTCTTCACCTATCGCATAGGCAGAGGCCGGCATGGTACACCGAAGTATGGATGCGCGATACGACGTTGCGATTACGGACCCGCTTACACGCAGCACCCCGCATACCCGGCATGGGTCCGCCGAGCGATTCACCTTCCTGGCTTCAAGTGGCGAGCATCGTAGTATCGTCTTGAAATCGTGTAGCAAAGATTTCGACGATGCAAGACCGTTGCGCGACTATCGCGTAGGCCCGTGGCGCGCAACCTTCCTCTTCATCAAAGGCGCGCTTGTGGCTGGTAGACTATATCAACTTTGAGATGCGACAGCGCATAGCCCGGAGTCGATTTCAGACAACTTCGCTTGATCTCAACAGGACAAGACCAGTATGTATCGAAAACGCCGCCCTGGCAGATATCGACAAGTAGAGATGTGATGTCACAATGGCGTCGCGGGGTAAGCCTCTGCCTTGAACGTGGCGCCATCATCTTGGCCGACTCACCATCGCAACACCGCAGTAACTCAGGAAACTGCGAACATCTCGCCCGAGACCAAAGTGATTCGTCGCGACATCCGAAATCACTATGTCGACGCCCACGCTCACGAACCCGTCGTTGACCGCTGCGATATGCTCGCTCGAACACAAAGCCTGGGCAGCCCTATGCAGTTCCGGCGCCGAACTCGTTCCGCTTCTCTCCAGCAATCCCGTCATGATCTTCCCGAGCGACCTCATCCTGACCTCCGTATCTTCCCCGACAGTCCACGACATGCTTCAAGGCCCCGACTTCAAGCCCTGGAAGTCATACAAACTCAGCCACGATGAAGTCGTTATACTGGGCAAGGACAGCGCGCTCATCTACTATCGTGTAGAAGCGACAAGGGACAGCGAGACGTTCAGGGCCATCTGCTCGAGCGCATGGGTGCTGCAAGGTGCTTCAGAAGGCGCGGCTGGCGATTGGAAGATGGCGCACCACCAGCAGACGTTGATCTAGATTCTTATGTCGCTGGGACGCAATAGTTCAGGCCATGGGGTTTGGGACTCTTGGATACGCCGAATGCATAGGCTGCAGACAGCTGGTTTCAGTAGAAGCGGGCACGGTGGGTCACATAATACGAACAAGCGTACATTGCGGTGGTTGAACATTCCGATCTGCTACATATACATAATTATATTGCGGTACAATGCTTCGAAGCCTACGACTCAATGGTATCTCCACCCTAAGTCACGAGGCTTGAAGTACTCCAAACCTATAAACCTAAGAGCGATAGCTTGAGGCATCTCCACATAGCGCGGGCGCATCGCTAGTGGCCGTCGAGTGACGTATGTGATCTTCCGAAGTTCCGTAAGTTCAAGGGGCAGCTGAACATGAAAGTACTCACATCACCAGCCACATTCCCGCTTTCGATGAGGATTGCTGTCCTCAGGCAGCTGGGTCAATCTTTGTCATCACTGTCTAACGGGATCACACCAGCAACGTCACCACGATTCAGCACAATGGCAGTCACCTACGCAGCCGCCGTCAGCACGCCAAACGGCGGGGTCCGGCAACCTCAGATCCAGGCCCGAGCCTGTTCAGACCCAGATCTACGCGCATCCTTTGAAGCAACGCAAGCACAGCAAAAAGAGCAGACCAAGAAACCCCAACGCCCCGGGGCAGGAATCCGTGCCAAAACGAGTTTCCGCGGCTGGTCAACCAAGAAGGAAGGCAAAACGAGTCCCAAGCAAGCCAACAATGAGCCATACGTCGTGGAGGAAAGTCGACCTTCAGGACATTATCCCCGACAAGAGCATAGACCGAATACCGCTTCCCAGGACGAACAAGTCTACGTCCTCACGCTCAAACTTACAGACTCCCTAGCCAAACCCATGGACGAGATGCGAAACCAGTATTTCCCCAAACACCTCAACCGCACGGGGGCGCATCTCACTCTCTTCCATGCACTCCCACATTCGCACATGGAAGCGCTGGAGCAAGGGCTCGCACAGGTATCTGGGAGCATCCAACCATTCGACGTCTCAACTGGCAAGCCCTTCCGTATGCGCAAAGGCGTAGGCATAAACGTCGACTCAGGCTACAAGGCGATGAAAGACGTCCACGCCGATTTACAAACCCGATGGTCTGAATTTCTAAGCGAGCAAGACGCAGGCGGCTTCCGCCCCCACTGGACCGTCATGAACAAAGTAGACGAAGAGACAAAAGTAGACAGCGCATTCGCGACGATACGCCAGGAGTTGAGCGAGAGGAACCAGGAGGGTCGTGCCGTGGGTTTGGATCTGTGGCGGTACGAGCGTGGGAATTGGATTTTCACCAAGGAGTTTGTGTTTGGTGAGGGTTTGGTTAAGACGCCGACCAAGACGGGGTCGCCGCGGAATCAAGGGCAGCGTTTGTCGCCCGAGCAGAGTCCTACGGATGGGCCGGGCAGGAGACCGGGCATGTTTAAGCGGGGGAGTAGTGTGGGGGATGCGTTGAGGTCGATGAGTTTTCGGAAGAGGAGTTGAGATAATATACGAGTCTGTAGGACGCGAGAGGGGTTGCGAAGTTGTGTATAGTACGTGTTTTGGGCGTTTGTACGGGGAGTGTGTATATTACAAGATTCGGAACCAGCGTTTAGCCAATGCATGCGGAGAGGACATGATCTGGTACCGAAGAACATCGTAGAGACTAGATCAGAATAACGGCAGAAGCGCAGTTCTATTTTATCTACCCGTATTCAAGACTGCGTAAGCGCATTGGACGCGTGATCGTGGCAATCTCGCCACCAACATACGACGCGCGTCGCATAAACGCTGATTGAAGCGGGGAGCGAACATCGTGAGTGTGGCTGTGAGGGGCCGAGTGGAGGTACCATGGATCTGCAAATTCAAAACGTCGTGCATTGATGATTGATCAGGTGCACCATCAGCGACGTGACAGATACATTGGCGTTTGTCAAAGGCTTGGTAGTGTTGACGGTCAGCCACAGCTAGCCACATGTCGGCGGTACCAGGGGCTCGGATAGCTTTCAGGGTCCCGACGTGGGGACCGAGGCGTGATCAGAAGATTCTGAATGCGCGACGCCGCCCAATTCACAGCTTCACAGGCACGTGGTGCAATTCGCTCTGGAAAAGGGAGAAGAGAGCGGTGACCAAAGTCACGTACCCAATGAGCAGAAAAGAGACGAGCTGATTGTTCCCTCGTGATGGAATACGAACTCAGCCTATCAGCAGTCACAACACGAAGCTATTCCCCGAATTAGAAGCGGATAGGGCGAGCGATCAGGAACGGGGGCCCATCTGGCCAGCGTACGATCACGATAGCGGTTAGGGAGTGGTTTAACGAGGAGTAGCGGCACTCGGTGGTTGCGCATGTGGTGGGTGAAAGAAAGGGGAACCGGCGCGGCCAGGAGCTAGAACATTTCCAGGGAAAGCATTAGCTCCGCTAATTGTGGACGCGGGTGCTTCGACGCATATAACCTACAGCTGGCCTCATCACCAAACTGCTCCCTTGCTCTTTGCCCTGCGCATTCACTCGACCGTGTGACTCTTTTCTCTTCTTCTATACCCGGCAATTACTGTCTGCTTGTGTTGTGTTGAAGACTTGACTGTTTTCTTCCGTTGTTCCCTGAGACAAGTTCCTAGTACCTACTTCTTTACGCAACTACAACACCGCCAATATGAAAGGTACGCCTGGCCAATTGCGACTCTCTTGTTCGTAGCTAACAGCCAATGCAGCCATCATTCTCGTCGGAGGGTTCGGTACCCGTCTGAGGCCTCTTGTATGCCTTACTCCCCGCGCAGCGCTCGCTCGAGAGCCCCGCGACGCCAAAAGCAACGGCCATGCTAACGCCAATTGCAGACCCTCACCTACCCCAAGCCGCTCGTCGAGTTCGCGAACAAGCCCATGATCCAGCATCAGATTGAGGCCCTGGCCGCTGCCGGTGTCACAGATGTTGTCCTCGCCGTCAACTACCGCCCGGAAATCATGGCCGAGGCGCTCAAGACAGTGAGTATACCCGCCCCACGGCAAACCAGAGCATACGAATAATCCGCTGCGCAGTACGAGAAACAATACAACGTGACCATCACATTCTCCGTCGAGACCGAGCCCCTCGGCACCGCCGGCCCCCTCAAGCTCGCCGAAAACGTCCTGGGCAAGGACGACTCGCCCTTCTTCGTGCTCAACGCTGATGTCACCTGCGACTACCCCTTCAAGCAGCTCGCCGAGTTCCACAAGCAACACGGCGACGAAGGCACCATCGTCGTCACAAAGGTCGAGGAGCCCTCCAAATACGGTGTCGTAGTCCACAAGCCGGGCCACGCCTCCAAAATCGACCGTTTCGTCGAGAAGCCAGTCGAATTCGTCGGCAACCGCATCAACGCCGGTATCTATATCATGAACACGAGCGTGCTCAAGCGCATCGAGCTCCGTCCTACATCCATCGAGCAAGAGACTTTCCCCGCCATCGTCAAGGACGGCCTCCTCCACTCCTTCGACCTCGAGGGCTTCTGGATGGACGTCGGTCAGCCCAAGGACTTCTTGTCGGGAACATGCCTCTACCTCTCGTCGCTCGCGCGCAAGAACTCCAAGCTGCTGACCCCCGCTTCGGAACCCTACGTCTACGGCGGCAACGTGCTCATCGACGAGTCTGCCAAGATAGGAAAGAACTGCCGTATCGGTCCCAATGTTACCATCGGCCCGAATGTTGTCATCGGCGACGGTGTGCGCCTCCAGCGCTGTGTGCTGCTCAAGAACAGCCGCGTCAAGGACCACGCTTGGGTCAAGAGCTCGATTGTCGGCTGGAACAGCACCGTGGGCAAGTGGGCGCGTCTCGAGAACGTGACTGTGCTTGGTGATGATGTTACGATTGGCGATGAGGTTTACGTTAACGGTGGTTCGGTTCTGCCTCACAAGTCTATCAAGCAGAACGTTGACAGTAAGTTTGCCCTTCATACCTCACTACGTGGAATACGGTTGCTGACTTGATTTAGCTCCTTCGATTATCATGTAAACGCACCCACGAGATACCCGGTCGAATAACACGTCGACGCAAATCTTCTCTACACACTTTTTTTTTAATAACGTGTATTCTTCTTGTATATTTCTGCATACACCCCGGCATATAGAATGCATTTTCCGCGGAGGCGTCTGTGACTTCTTCTCTCTCCTCTACTCGAGCACGAGAAGCTGCGTTCACGACATGAAAAGCGTCTGGGTTGGCTTGGCATCGATGGGATGCTTTGGTCCTGGGTTTAGCGATGGAATTGGATACTTGGGAGGGCTATACATGTGCTTCGGCATAGCGGAAGAAGAGGAAAGAAAGATGGACATGGAGATGAGCATGGCGCATGCATATACTGTATGTAGTCCAGGTATGAATGCGAAAATCACAAAACATCCACAATGAGTCATGCCTACTTGGAAATGCAGTTCAATTACACGTTCATGATCGATTCAATGACCTACCTAGGTCACTTCCTCACTCATTAGACTAATGCTTCCCACAATTATACGTTTGCCCCCTTCTCACTCTCTTCTTATTCCCACACGGCGTGCGCTTCTTCGTTCTCCCGCTACAATGTGCTATCTCAGTTTCCTCACCCTTATTCATCTTACCGCTTTTCATAGTGTTGGGCGGGCCTTTTGTGGTAGAAGGGGTTTTGTTTGCCTTGGTTTTGGTTAGTTGTTTACCCTTTGTCTTCGCTGTCTTCACTACTGCTGGGGATGAGAGGTTCGACGGCGGATCCGATAACCCAGAAGACTCGTCGTCGTCGTCCTCCTCCTCCTCCTCCTCCGGTGACGCCTGGCGTTGTTTCTTCCGCGGCGGAGGCTTGGGCTTAGACTTTTCGGTGCGTTTGCGCTTATTCACTAGGGCTGCTATCTCGGGGTCTGGACCGCCGTCTTCGTCCATGCCCGTTGCCGCATCTTGATGTCCTGGGCTCGGAGCAGTACCCTCTGGCATACCTCTCTTCTTCGGCTTGTTCGCAGGTGGGCCGGGAGAAGGTGGGGGAGGAGTGGGACTTCTTGGGCCTAGCGGCGATGAAGCTGCTGAAGGTATAGATGATAGCGAGTCCGCCCACGATGGCGTTGTGAGTATGCGTTCTACAGGATTCTCCGCAACGATGATGCTGTTCTGGGCTTCTATGGGGTTCTCATGCTCTTGTCCATCATTCTCCTCCTCCTTTCCATCGTTTTCATGTGATTCTCCCTCACTATCCCAATCTACGTGGTCGGATTCATCTTCATCAAGTTCAGGTTCGTCTGTATCGACCTCTGTGGGTGATCCTGGTGGGTAGATGTATTGAAGGACTCCTGGTTCCACATCTGCTTCTTGGGCTGACTCTACTTCTTGGGTTCGGCCTGCTCTTTCATTGAAGTTTGAGTTGTAGTCATCTGGTTTTGAGTCTGAGCTACTGGAGGAGGAGCCAGAGGATGAATACGTTGGTAGGCCTGGCAAGGATGGTGCTTGACGCTTTCTTTGTGACATAGCTCTTGTGCTGGAGTCCCAGCAAGTGCTTGTCCTGTGGTTGGAGGAGAATCGAAGGGGTTGTTATATGGGTGGTGCTGGTGCTGGTGCTGGTGCTGGTGTTGATATTTGTGGTGAAGAAGATTTTGTGCCCATGGGGTTGTTCAGTTTCGTCACCTAGGTATATAGTGATGGAGACGAGTTCAAGTATGGTCTCTAGAGCTGTATGAGATGACTACGGTAGGTCTTATGGTACACAGGTAGGTTTTGAACAATGGAGATGCCGTCTCTTTCTTTTGATCAAAGAAGCGAATCTAACGTGATTGTACATTGTGTCCCCAGTGTTGATGATTGCATATCAGCATGGAGTATTCATTGTGTAAACGTCTTTGTCCCTGGGCTGGGTCAGCGGCTCCATCAGATGTCTTACTCTTTTAATACTTGTTGTCAATAGTAGTCGGCGACGTTGCTCAAAGATCGTCTGAGATAAAGATCTGAGACTGTCATCTTGCCTGTAAGTTAAAACCATAGCTTGAGTCGAGACTTCAGGCGAGACGATAGAAGAGCTGAAGCTCGTACTGTTCGGTTTGCACGTAAACCAACGGAGTTGTCTTGGACAAAGATGTTGGACGAGACAAAGAAGGGCCGAGTGATGAGACAGCAGCTAGGTCTGATGCCATCAATACCGGTCATTACGTTCTTTGCTTTGTCAATACGTGTGTTTGGCCGAGCAAAACTCTCTTCTTTTCTCTACTTGGCTGGTGTCGTCGTGAAGGTATTGCATAAGCACATGCGCTTTCTTTCGTCATTTTCTGGCATCATCACAACGGGAAACAAAGTTTGACATGTGTTTTACTCTTTCGATTCCATGTATTTCGCTACAACGCTCAACAAACCACAACCCAGCCCCTCTATGACATATCCGAGTAGATGACGAGCGGCGGCTCGTTGACCTTCGGCTTAAAGTGCGCCTTGATCTTAGCATGTGCCTCATCCTGGTTGTCGTAGTAGTCCATGTCGTCCTTAGACTCGAATATGCAACGCGCCAGCATCGTATAGCCCTTGCTACGCGGGTCGTCATAGGTGGCATTGGCTTGTGCAAGCTGGATGTACGTCTTGCCGTCCTGCACAAAGACACAATGACGTTAGCATGCATCCTCTCGATAAGCAACAGCAAACAACAAACGGCGGACGACGATAGCCTCGGAAGTCAGTCGGTGCGGAGGCTGTCGGTATATCTCTAGCGCATGCGCATCCATCGTGAGGCTTCAATGGATCCAAGGTGGCCGATGTGTGCGTCGTGACTCGGAGTTGATTCCGCGTGCTCGCTGGTGTCGGCCGCTTGCTGCAGCCTCGTCACCCCCACCCCATTTCTCCTAGCCGCGGCAATATTTCCAGCGGTTACCCGCCAGGGACATTGCTCCGCGCGCGCGAAGAGGAGGGTTGACGCCATTATCCGCTCTTTTCTTATCGAGCGAGCAAGATGGAAATAGCCCGAGGGCGATTAGAATAAATCTGGGGTTCCGACGTGATGAGATGGTCCGTCGTGCAGGGGGCGGGCGGTATGCACTGCACGTTCGATGGATATGTGCTGGCCGTAACTCGGCTGAGAGAGCGGGTATGTATGGAGATCTCGAAGGGGAATGGGAGGGCTTGGAGGGGATGTTGGCGAGTCAAGAGAGGGCTTTGGCGTACCTTTTTCGCGTCTTGAGCGAGGGTGTTGTACATTTGGATGGCCTCTTTGACCGTGTCCTGGTCGGGGATCTTGAACATGGTGAGGCGGACGATCTTGGGCATCTTGACGGTTTTTGGATTGGGTGGTTTGATGGTAGTCGTAGTAGAGGATTGTGTGATTTAGCTTGTTATACGAGTCTGTGTATACTATATATGAGGTTGTCAAGTTGGTATATCTAGGTAATCTGTCGGATTCCGGAGTAGGCGGAGAGCCATTCGAAACGTCAACGTCAACGTCGGTTCCCCTACGCTTTGCACAGCGTATTGTTCAAGACGTAGTACATACTACATCTACGGTCTAATTACATTTGCTTTTTGCGGACGCCGTAGTCTGGCCGTTGACCCCGCGTACCGCGCCTCGTGCGACGGGTGGTCTGTTTGTGAGCTGACAGCAATTACGTAGCCCGGCTGCTACGAGACGGCGAGGCGTACAGTCTCGATGCGCAAGCCATGCCTGTCTCGATAGTCTGAAACCTGTCACTAGAGAGGGAATGTCGGGTTGAATCGTGGGGTAACTGATGCTACTGACACAGAACAACAGACACCGCTATCCGATGCCGGTGAAAGTTGGCAGTCGCCATGTTGTTAGACGTCACACATGAGCGTGGAAGGAGCCTGCCAGAGCCTTTACCGCATCCTCGAGTTGTGTAAGGGTGAATGGACCCTGAGGGGCTGCAATCTGCAATGTCGAGATTCGGAGGGTCGGGACGGTGCGTTGTGTCCCTCATGGAGCATCGGTAATGGACGCGAAACCCGGCCCCTCTAGATTACCCTGCACCACACCCGGCTGCAGCACCACCTCTCATCGTGCGAGGCTGAACAGGAGGGTGAGGGTGCTCTTGGTTGGAAAAGCGCTCGAACATGTGGGTCTTCAGTAGCCTATTGATGGAATCAGGCCGATTCGAAGACGACATTTCCACGACAGGACGCCTCCAGGGCCGACGACTCTGCGGTCCAAATGGCCGCCTTCTCACGCAGTCGAGTAAGTTGAAGAACAGCCTTCTTTGCTAATGCGTAGTGTCAAAGACTGATGCGCAGAAAGAGGGGCGCATGGTTGACAGCGCTGGCTTCTTCACCGCCTGTTTTGCAGCTTGGAGCGGGTGGCCGTGCTGGCGCGCTCGCGTCATCCACAGATCTCCCGCGCGTGCGACGTAGTTCTGAAGCTCGTTCTTCATCTCCGCGTCGATTCTGCTGGCCTTGGACGCGCTCGCCTGGACTTCAAACACTATTCTTTGTCCAATATATCAGTGGCTGTTCCTTGCGCTTCGTTGCCGCTATTCACAAGCGCCATCGTCCCGCTCCATGTATCAACCACCATCTTGGATCGGCGCCAGACAGAAGCGGTCCTTACTGGGACCTGGGACCTAGCCATGCACCGCTGCCTGTCGTGAACCGCGCCGGCCTATCGAATCGTCCGAATTTTGCTTCCGCTCCACGACGACTTGCTCTGTGCACCCTCAACCTTTGTACTGCTGCTATCCACTTCGCGGCAGGTCAATTGTCGAGTACGCTCTGCAGCCGCCCGATGCATGATCCCTTTGTGTCAATTCGAAAATTTCCTCCCAAAGCTCCAGACCCGTTCGTGCTGAGCTTAGCATCCTGCTATCTCCAATGTCTTGACTTCGGCAAAGTGGGGACTACTTGATGCCCTACCACCAGCCTTGAACATGGGGATCCCAGGGTCTGTGAACTCTTCATCTCTGTCTCTCTCGATTGACCGGGATCGCGTGCGCAAGAACGCCTGGCCCCTACCAGCTGCCCTCTACTCGTCAATCATCGCCTGTCAAACTGTACTCCACTACGTCTCGCGAACGTGCTGGAGCGCCATCAGACAGTCTCCGCAATGCCAATTTATGCCTGCATGCACACGGCTTACAGCTAACAGCCGTTGACCCTTTCCCTATTCGAGCTGCAGGCGCGTTTCCAAGTAGCGATATTCAGAGGACCGTGCTTTCTGCATGTATGCGTTGGCAGTGACGCTTGATGCTTTCTGGTAACACCAACCCCAGGTATCTCCTCGAACCCTCGAACGCATCAATCAACTCGTCTCGCTCGCCCCTGGGGCTGTCGGGTAGCTCCATGCTATGCCTGTTGTGACGCGTTCTCGCTTCGAACCACTATGCTTTGCATTGTCTTGCAGTCACACATTCGTGTCCAACTCCTCTCCAGTCGCGACTCTGGCGGTTGGTACCCTAGCCGATTAGCAGTCCCATTTTTTTTTTGCTGCACGTTTGGTCTGGTCTCTGATTCCTTTCAGACCCTGCCTCCCAAACCATACGCCGATATCACGCATTCTGTTGCCAAGATTTCAGGGTATCGGTACACTTGACAAAGGGTGCAGAGTCTGACGTATTTGCGTTCTCCCCTCACTTTGCATATTGCATTAGTGGGCCCAGTGCATCCGGGAGATACGAGCAAAGAGTGCTGTTAGGATGCACGTCTGCCACCTCGTTGTTTATGCGCCCATCCTAGGCGTCTAAACCTGCACAATGCCGATCGAGACATGTCCAGCCTTGGGAAAACGGGTTACAGCAATTGTGTCCGATCGCCAGCCGTTTTTTCACTGCGCTACTGCGCGCAGCACGGTGGCAAGAGCGAACCGGTCAGGCTGTACCTTTTGAGGTTTGAGTCTCTTACTAGCTAAAATTCTGGAACCTCTACCGTTGGCTACCTTCTCGCCAGCACATACTATGGGTCTCCCTCTTTCAGAGCCGCAACAAGACCCGCAGATTATCCATTTCCACAAGCCCAATTGCCCCACGGATTTTACTGGTGGGCGAGACGCGCTTGGATACATGCTACACTCGCCTGCTGCAATATATTCCTCCATCCCACAGTAGGCACATATGCTTCCCCCATCCCCGTCCGACTGACTGCAAGCCGCTCCCTCTACCTTGCTCTTCATACATCAACGCTTTTCATCTCTTTTGTACAGCTGTCAATGCTTTATTGGCAACCGTCACCCACACCCTAAAAACATTTACTGTCATACTACCACTACCACGGATACCTCTCTCGGCCTACTATCGTCGCCACCAACGAACGCTTGCCAGTTCAGCAATACTCCGCAGCAGTAGTCCTGCCCTCAGACTGACAGCTCACCATCGAAGCGCCATCAGTCGTTCCAATCGCTTCATTCCACGTCAATAATCCTTTCCAACCACCTCCAACATGTTCTACGTTATGTACTTGACAGGTTAGTGCTGGAACTGTTCCCTTTCTTTTTAGACAGTTAGTACCACATAGTTGGATCTAGTTGAGCCAAATGAGGTCTTGACGACATGGCAATTGGTGCAAGACTCATGGGTGATAGCCCTGTCTAGTGTAAGGGATCCACACAATGGGGTGGGAGACCATGCCTATGACTTTGCAGCACGATAGCAGACTCAATTTGCATACTGGTTGCTGACCCTCGGTTATAGGTCTTTGCCAAAGGCGCCACTGGCCTGACCCACTTTTCCAAACCTACCGAACACGCTACGGATACGGATCAACAGTCAGAGTAAACAACCGAGAGTACTCCACGGATGTTGAATACGAAAGCGAAGAGCTAGCCAAGAATGCCGCCGCCACCCGAGCCTACATGATCTGCCGCAACTTCTCGGTAAACGATGGAATGTACCCAGGACAGCGGCCCGGCCAGGGCGCACAAGGACTGCCAACACCGATAGGAGCGGGCCGACGCAATACTTCCTCATCCAACGACTACGACAGCTCCAGTACCACCAGTGGCGGCACCAGCCCAAGAAGCTCCGACTGTGGTCTTGATGCTGCCCAGGCAGCTGCGGCAGGAGGACGACGACCCAGTAAGGCTTCTGTAGCGCCATCAACTACCTCGGCATGCTACTGCGGTCGCGGATATGTCCGCGCTTACGAGAGATGCTCGGGATGTCTCCAAGAGGCGGGATACAGGGTGTAAGAATATACCGATAGACTTCGCTTCCCTAGAGGGGACCTACACAAAGCAACAACGACACCAAAACCTTACGACGACCGCATCGAACTAAAAGACTTGAAGAGCTCGAGCTCAGCGATACCACGATTCCTATGAAACTGCATCCTTTACGGCCTGGCTACAAGCCTATCCTTATCCAGTACTGCGGCGATGTCTTATCGGGCCCGGACGTCTTGTTCCTACCCCATCGAAACGAGCTGGGCTATGTAACGACTCCCATACCCACGCCCGTTTTCCTTCCCCTGATCTTGCTCTTCCTTCCCGGCGGGGCTGCATAGCGACGGTATTGAAGCGTTTTAGCGAAAAACCTATTCCTCTTATTGCTTTTCGGATCGGCAACCACCTTTCCCTTGATCCTGGGCTGGCTTCTTGTTTGGACACGCTTACGAAATTGCTCTTATATATTACGATGATGACGTTTTCCTTGCTGTGTTTTCCTTTGGTACTCGGCTGTTTTGTCTGATGATTGAACCAAAGATGAAAGATGTATGAAAGAAGATCACATGATGATGTTGGCCACGCGGCTATATAACGATGATGGTTATGATGGTTATGAAATTATATACCTTGTTCTGCTATATTGCATCGTTTCGCTTTCGTTGGCTCGGATGATTAGCATGACTTTCCGCCCCCAATCTCACGACCCATACACGTCCAGCACAGCCCCGCGAGGCCGCCTGGGTGATTGGCTCGCTTCTGTGCTCCCAGCTTATGGGATATCCAGATGCCATTTCAGCCAACAACACCAGGAAGTAGCAACAGTCCGTGCCACAGTTGACGTCACCTATAGGGGGAATTGAATGATAGGGATGCGACGCGCAATCTGCGAAGTTCAGCAGCCTCTCCAGGTAACGATGTTGAGCCTTCCACGCCATGCGAGCCGTCGCAAACCGCTAGCAAGCTCTGCACCTTAACATGTATTGCCAGCTCGACGCGTCCCGGAAAGAGATACGTCTACTCCATGTTCATCCAGGGGCCTGGAATGATGACATCGCATGCCACCTGGAGACCGTCTCGCTGAACGATAACCCAAAATTCCACGCCATCTCGTACGTTTGGGGTGACCCAACGGTAACGTTACCCATCAGGATCGATGGAGAGTCGCTGGAGATAACGCGGAATCTGCGCAATGGGCTGCAACGATTGCGGAGAACGGATAAGGCCTTGATCATCTACGCAGATGCAGCCTGCATCAACCAGTCGGACCTCAAAGAGCGTTCGGAACAAGTACAGCTTATGGGCGAAATATATAGTTTGGCGGAAGAAACCTTCATCTGGCTCGGCTACGGACGCAGCCCTCGAGCTCCCTTCAAACGACCAGCCACCGTCAACTGGACTGGAGATGAAAGAGACGCCACGACCGTGGATGACTACTTCAAGCAGAGCAAGATTCGAGATGGGAGAAGAGGAGAGCAAAAGGAGGCGGAGGACGTACTTGGCTTCTTTGTTTACATACGAATCTGTGGCATGGACAAGCACGTAGGCGAAATCCCCTTCTTCACTGTAGAGAACGGGCGGCTGCTTCGCAAGGAGAGCTGGTCAGCAGTCATTCGAGCTACGAAGACATGGATTGGAAATCCATGGTGGTATCGGATCTGGGTTGTACAAGAGACGGTGCTTGCTCGACGGGCCACAGTGGTTTACTGCAACAACACGATGCCATGGAATACACTCATAGAGGCAGTTCAGTCAATAACCAGACACTCCAAAGGCTGTTGTAGAAGCCTTAGCTTGTCACTGCCGACAAACGGCAGGTTGGCTTGGAGTCAATTATCATTCGCCGTGCACACCGGCGCGGTAGCCCTCCAGAAGCTCAGACAGCGAGGTAAAAGACTGTGTCTGAGTCAAGTCATGCGTCTAGTACACCTGCACGAAGCGACAAATATCAGGGACAATGTGTTCGGTGTACTAGGACTCGTAACAGACTGGCAAGGTACACCGCCCATTATCCCTGACTACAGTCTCTCTCCCAAAGAAGTCTTCGTTCAAGCGACCGTCAGGGATATACGCGGTACCCGCTCATTGGGTGCATTGATGGGTAGAACCATGGCCGGCGTATCAGGCATACCATCTTGGGTCGTGGAAATCAGCCCGAAAACACCAACACAGTACGCCGTCGCACAACTCAAACTACATCGCTCAGCACTTTATTCCGCAGCAGGCGCAACGGCAGCCCACATTGAGAGAAGGAAGGATATCCTCACGGTAGACGCTTTTGAGCCAAGCCAGACAATCTCTCAAGTCTCACACATACTACATACGGAGCGACTTACTTGGAAAAACATCATCGACACCCTCGATACATGCTACCGTATGATTGAAGCCGAGAAGGAAAGGGTCTTTTGCGCTTTAGGGAATCACACGCTAGAAGAGGCGCTTTGGAGGACCTTGACGACAGATAGCTGGGAGCCGCTTTCGTCCAATCAAGCTGCTTCGTCCAACGACTCTCCTAGGGGGAACAAATCTCGAAGATTCGGCAACGCAAACGTCACGCGTTTGGGAAGGAACTTGCAGTCTTGGTGTCAGGCTCGAGCGACTAATCCCAATGCCGCGGGGAGCTTGCATGGCGAAGATCTCAGTGATGATCGCTTCTTCTATGAGACGTGCTTTACGTCGGGGTTTGATCGGAGATTCTTCATCACGACAGACGGCCGTATGGGCGTTGGTCCACCGGAGATGCTTCCTGGTGACTCCATAGCTATCTTATTGGGAGGCAACGTACCATTCTGCATCCGAGCAGTCCCAGATGCGCCCAAAGGTCACTATACGCTCGTTGGAGAAACATATGTGCATGGTTTGATGGACCGAGAAGGCGTTCCAGCGGATTGGAAAGAGTATGTTGTCAAAATACATCTGCATTGAACGGATTTCGATAGAAAGAAGGGGAAAAGTACCTGCGGATGCGGTGGAAGGGCCAGCGGTCTGTTTTCATAGCCGACGAACGGGTTTGGCGGCGGCCGCGAGTGACTGAGCTGGCTGTTGCTATATGTATGACCACTAGCAACGCTGCTGCTAACGGCGATGCTGCTGCTGCATATATTTCTGCTATTAGTAGGGACGCCAAGTTGCTGCTGATGCCAGTTCTTCTTGTTGGTGAGCTTAGTAAGGCGAGTCTGCAGTTGAATGGTGGAGTCGCGCGACGCTTGCAGCTCGCTGTTTATACATTCCAATGATGTACCTGCGACAAGTACACTTGTCCCAGAGATATACACTGTACTTTACTTTGCGATATGTCGCGGTAAAGTGCGATGTATACTCCAGGGCACATTCCCTGGAATGAATAGAGGAGTGTACGTAGAAAGCAGCCCGAATAGGCACGAAGACGAGACAAGAACAATGAATTGCACACTCCCAATATAGCCTACTACCCCAGCAAAACTCCAAACGCAAAACAAATAAAATAACCGTTCTCACCAATTCAACCAAAACGCCAACTTCCCGAGCCCACGCTTCTGACTCATACCCGTAAACGTGTCAACAGCTGCCAAAGTCGACGTTGGAAATTCGCAACACCCAGCGCTTGCCGAACTCGCACTCTGGCGACTACGTCGCTGCTCACGCTTCGGCGCCTCAAATTTTTGATACGTTGTCTCCATCATGCGGTACGGTTTTCCATAGTTCCGGAATCGCATCTGGAATGCGATCAAGACCACAGGTAGGACGCTGATGAGCTCACCCAGGCCCGCCCACTGCGGTGTAATCCTTACGTTGGCCTGGAGCTTGACGAATGCGCCGGCAGCAAGGATGATGGCGAACAAATTGTAGAATGCCGACCAACTGAAGTTCCACCAGATACGTCGGTATGCAGCGTGCGAGATATCGAGTAGGATGAGAACGTCATGTAGTCGGGTCGTTATGAGGACGACATCAGCTGCGGACTTCGCAACGTCGGAGCCATCATTGAGGTGGACGCCTACGTGGGCTTGTTTGAGGGCTGCAGAGTCGTTTGTTCCGTCACCGAGGAACATGACGGTGGATTTTCTGCGGGAGTCCTGGAGATCACGGATGTATTGCATTTTTCCTTCGGGTGTGCAGCGAGCCTTTGTATTCGCCTCGTCGATGTATAGAGTTGTCGCCACGTCGCTGACAGTCCCATCGTTGTCGCCACTCAGCATGTGCACGTTGATTCCTCGAGCATGAAGTTCTCTAACCACCATTATCGCTTCAGGGCGGGGCTGATCCAGGAGTTCGAAACTGATGCGAAGGTCGCCGCCGTAGGTGACGTAGCATCCCGTATTCTTTGATTGTCCGATAACGTTGATATGAAGCCACTCTGCATTGCCTGCGCGAACCTCCACCCCAGTCTTCGCGCAATTGCCTTGGACGCCTTTACCGGGAATGCTGGTGATGTTGCTAACCTCAAGAAGTTTGAAGTCCTTGTGGACGAGCATGTGCTGTTCCAGATACTGGGTGATCGCGATGGACACGGGGTGCTTGATGCCCTTCAAGAGGCCTAATAAAAGCCCCTTCATGAGTGCCTGGTCTGTCTTGCGATACCTGGGAACTCCAATGACTTCAAGTTTTCCAGTGGTTATGGTACCGGTCTTGTCGAAGATGACGTCGGTAACGCTGCGTGCAACCTCAAGCTTCTGAGGGTCCCGAAAAATGATGCCGTGCCGTGCGGCCACACCACCTGCGATCATGACGACCATGGGTACGGCAAGACCGACGGCGCATGGACAAGATACGATGAGAGTGGCGATGGCGTAGGTAATGGCAGTGAGTACCGCGCTTCTGCTAATACGTCAGTACGCGACCTGCTTCCGCGGAGTAGAGTCTGGTTGACACATACTGGAAAATAGTTAGCTAGAAATTTTGAGAAGTATACGTGGCGGATACCGTACCCTCCAGGATTTTGTGTTGTGGTATCGCTCAACAAAGAGCCAGATGAGAAAAACTGTGAGCCCGATGGAAGCTATTGCAGGGACGAACCAACCAGCGATCCGATCGGCAAGTGCTTGTGCTCGCGGCTTGGTCAACTCAGCGTCTTCGACCAAGGCGGCAATCTGCTGCACTGAGTTCTCGTGCGGCAACTTCGTTAGGCTCACTATGAGCTGGCCATCTCCATTGTTCGTGCCTGCGAAGACTTCGGAGTCCAGTCCCTTCGCGTTCGGCTTGAACTCACCCGTCATCATCGATTCGTCGACGTCGGAGCCTCCGTACACTACCACGCCGTCCGTCACGATCCTGGCATGCGGTGGTGTGCAGAAGTAGTCACCGTATTGTAGTAGCCTGCTGTCAATCTTGCTCGTGATTGCGTTGGCCCATGACGTAGTTGTCTGCTGCACGAGGATTGCCTGGTCGGCTTGCAGCGATCTGAACGATACCGACTTCGCAGCTGCAAAAAAATTAAAACGTACCCCAAAGACCACATTGGTGAAAAAGCGCAAGATATAACATTCTGAAGGCAATATAGGTTCCTGGGTGATAAAACATTTTTTCACTTACCTCGATAACGGGCGTATTCGTTGATGAAGCGGCCCATCAAGAGAAGCGAGACCAACAGCGTAGACGTCTCGAAGAACGATCCAGTTTCCAGGGGCCTACCGTCAAGTTGGTACTTGTAGGATACGACGCTGAAAACGTACGCCATGGTGGTACCTACGGAAGTACGTAGTCAGCAAACGTATTTTGTGCACGCAGATTGTGGCTGGCATACTGAATGTAACCAAGAAGTCCATCTCCAATACGTGGGAATGGTAGAGGGATCTCAAGGCATTTGGGACGAATTGGTAGAAGGCGATGAGCTGTACGACGGTTGCCAGGGCCAATGACATGTGGGCAAAAGTGTGATTCTCGTGATTAAGTGGGGTCCATGCCAGGATGAGGACGGGAATCGTGAAGGCCAGTGTGGGAAGAAACCATTTCAAGGCTCTTCTGGTCTGCTTGGCTCCAAGATCAAGCCCTGGGTCTGCCACTAGAGGTGCTAGACTTAGATCGGGATCGTATTTGAGGTAGTGTTCGTAAACTTCTCGCGCGCCGATGACACTCGCGTTGTAGTATATCTTGGTCGGTGGTAGACGTAGCTTCGAGGTTCCGCGAGGGCTGTCCTCGGTATCTGCATCTCCGTTGACGTCGGCCGTCTTCTTCTGCGCTGTGCCCGTGCGCCCACTCAACAAGCCGAGAGGACGCCATGGTGCTCGTTCGGGGGCTTCGACACGTGTGACACCGCGCGGTTGGACGGCATGCTGCAAACGCCTAGGATCGGTGATGATGAACTCCAAAACCTGACCAGCAATCGCCACCTGCTCCTCAAACTTGTATCCGGTCCTGGTTTCCAGTAGCTCGATGATCTTGTCAACGGATAGCCGATTGGTGTCTAGCTCTAGCTCGACCCGAGCTAGGACAGTGTTCACTTGAAAGTCCCTAACAGCAGGGATGCGGCCAACGGCTCGTGAAAGCCCTGATTCGCAGCATCCGCACTTGAGACCATCGATTCGGAGAACGACTCGCTCAAAATTTGGAGGGCCAAGCTCAACGTCCTCTTGTTCGCCGGAGATCGCAATGTCACCTAGATGCTTTAGCGAAGAGTCCTCACTTGGGCGGGGAGACCCCGAGCAGCAAATACCCATGGCGTGAGATTGGGTATGTGGGCTATTTAAGGCTGGCACCTCTTCCTCGCCACGCGTATCGCCGTGTGCATGTACCGTTGCCGTCGCAGGGGGTGTACGAGGTCGACTCGTTGAGCAGCAACTGGACATCGCGCCAAGTAGACGGTGATGTGGCTTCGTCTTTGGGAGATGGGCCGAATCTGGCGCTGGAAGCTTCGTCTCTACCACTATCTGAGAATACTGAGAGCCAGTATACTCCGGTGCTCGCGGTGGGGAGGCAACTGGCTGTGGATCGACCGTAGGCAGTTTCGGAGAGCTTAGGTCAACCGTAAATGGAAGACCCAGAAGATGAGCGCGTGGAATGCCATTATCGGTGGGCTTCATAGACATTTCCATGATGAGTCGTTGTAGTAGTGATAGACGCTTTTGGTATTGCTACTGATATTGGTGATGCTGATGATGCTGATGATGTTGATGCGTTCGGGAGCTCGAGCAGACTGAGAGATAACAAGACATCCGATCACGTAGATGCAGTAGGCGCAACTCCTGTGAAGGGTAGCAACGATGTACTGTGTAGAGTAGGCACACCTCAAGAAGTATGTTGGCCTGGGAAGAGCGACAGTCTCCTGTGTTACCCGCGGTAGTAACATCCATGGTGTCCGGGTACCAGCCTCCAAAGCCCTGGAGGACGCCGGTTTGTACTACATGTCCCAGATAATAGGTTTAGCATGGGAAGGGCCATTTCATGGAGCCACCTCATTCAAGGAAAAAAGCTGAACACCCTGGAGCCTACGTTGACGTTAGATGACCTACTTTGCGTGTTTCTATCTTAATGTAGGCTGCAGATCTGATTCATTTTCTCCTTGTATGAGGTGGAGCATGGGATTGGCCTTGGTATACATGTTGTGGTGACTTTGGTCGAACGTGATGTGGAAGCAATCTTGAAATCGAGGCTAGATCGCCGAACACGTGATGGCGCGCTTTTGGACGATTGCGTCATCACGGTCAGTCTTCATTGATGCGCTCCAAGCAGGCCGCCGCAACACAGTACACTCACGAATCACGGCATCTGCACGCATTCTAATTTCTGCTTATTGCAGCCATGATGGTTGCTATTGCGCTGTGTAACTTTCAACCGCAAGCGTCACAATCGAATCCCCACACTTTGCGCCAACTCTACCGGTGACAGCAGACATGGCAGGCGCGCGAGGGAGAGCGCCTGAGGCGGCTGAGTCGGCTACCCCGAGACGATCAACGCGAAGGGCAAAGAAGGAGCAGGAGGATGGAGGCGTGCCGGCCGTCTTCCAGGAAATGCTGCGCGAAGAGCAGGCCATGAGCACAGACGAACCGCCGCTCAAGAAGAGAAAAACCGCGCCTCCACGACGACAACCAAGCCCGGAACACCATATTGAGCCAGTACGACAGCGGGGACCGCCTAGTGACGCTCCGAAATCGCCAGTACCCGCACCGTCTCAAACGAAAGATGCTGCACCACAATCTCAGATGCCGTCGCACACGCGATCGCAGCCCATCGCTCAAGCCTATTCCGTCACTGACGAGGAACCGCGCACGAACGAACGAGTCCGTCAGACCATCATCGACTCGGACGAGTCAGATGACAGCGATATGGAGTGGGAAGATGCGCTTGCCGACGGCGACGATACCGATGACCCCCACGAAGGCGTTGAGGCTGCACCCAAGATTGGCGACATCTCTATTACCATGGGAGCCAAAAAGATAGAGGAGACTGGGACAAGGAGGAAGATGCGTCGGCGGGCCATAACATCGGTGGACAAAAAGCGACGTTTGGATATCCACAAGATGCACATCCTCTGTCTGCTCTACCATGTCCATCGCAGAAATGCCTGGTGCAACGACAGGAGAGTACAAAACACGCTACGTAAGATTGTGCCCTCCAAGACCCTATCCAACCTGGTACCCAACCCCGACTTGTCGCAGTACTCGGCCTCGAAGCAATTTATAGATGGGTTGAACGAGCTCAAGGTACTGTGGTCAAAACGGTTCAGAATCACGGCTCAAGGCATGTACAAGCCCAGATGGGCTGAAGCTGAAGCTGCTATCCGACCTTTCTCAGACTTTGACGATCTAGATGACCCTATGGACAAAGATGAATTCCGCACCGCAGCGCATACTTTACAAGGGTCTCAGGATGTTGGAACGCAACTGTTTTGCGCTCTTCTTCGCGGAATCGGCATTGAGGTTAGGCTTGTTTGTTCTCTACAGCCATTACCTTTTGCTTCTGCAGCCGAACGTGCCACCCCGCAGAAGACCAGTGCTCAGAAAAACACGATAGTCATCGATCCGTACAACAAGCCGGCGGAGCCCAGTCCAACAAAACCCAAGTCACAGGGTCCGCGTAACAAGAAATTATCCAGACTCGAGCGTGTGATGGGAGAGCGACATGCCGTTCTTAACAAGACAGGTGTAACTCCCAAGAAACAGAAAGCCTACCACACGCCGTATCCAGTGTATTGGGTGGAGGTACTGAACCCGTCTTACCAGAAGTGGATACCAATCGATACACATTCTACATTTACTGTAAACTCGCCTGAGAAGCTAGAGCCACCGCTTAACTTCGCTCAGAATATTCTCTCCTACGCAATAGCGTTCGACGAAGACTATACTGCCAAAGACGTCACCCGAAGATATGCGAAAGCGTACAATGCCAAGACGCGCAAGTACCGTGTCGAAATTACCCCTGATGGTGATAAATGGTGGAGACGGGCGATGCAATTCTTCCAGCGTGAAACCACTCTCGACAGAGACCAGATGGAAGATGCTACTTTGGCACGCAAAGAAGCTGCCGAAGGTATTCCAAAGAATGTGCAGGACTTCAGAGGCCATCCAGTCTATGTTCTTGAGCGACACCTGCGGCATAACGAAGTGATACATCCCTTGAACCAGGTCGGCAAGGTCAACTGTGGCAGTGCCATGAATCCGAAGATGGAACCCATCTACCGTCGTACAAATGTCCATCTAGTCCGGACAGCCGACAAGTGGTATCGTATGGGACGGGACGTGAAAGTTGGCGAGCAGCCACTCAAGCGCGCCAAACCCAAGAAAGGAAGAAGGTCCTCAATCGGAGCAGACATGGATATTGATGAACAAGTCGACGAAGTTGGTGCGGGGCTTTTTGCAGAGTTCCAGACCGAGCTCTACATCCCTCCTCCCGTTGTCCGGGGGCGCGTGCCACGCAATGCCTATGGCAATCTTGACCTCTACGTCCCGTCCATGTGCCCACCCGGTGGTACGCATATCCGACATAAGCTCGCATCGAAAGCAGCGCGTATCGTTGGGGTAGACTATGCCGATGCTGTCACTGGCTTTTCCTTCAAGGGTCGCCATGGTACAGCAATCGTTCAGGGTGTCGTGGTTGCACAAGAGTACGCAGACGCTGTCCAGGCAGTCATTGATGGAATGGAGCACCAACAAGAAGAAGCCGAAGCCGAGGCGCGAAGGGTTGAGTCTCTGCGCCTATGGAGACGTTTCTTCCTTGGCCTTCGCATCGCACAACGTGTCAACGCTATCGAGATTGATGGCGAAAAGGGTCCAGCCATTGATGTGCAAGATGAGATTAGTAAAGAGGATAGAGAGCTAGTAGCACAGGAAATGGCAGGAGGCTTCTTCCCCGACGAGGGAGATGTTGCCGAATCGCGTGGTTACCAGCCACCTGAGCAAAATCACGGAGGTGGCGGGTTTCTACCTGACAATGACAACGAACACGATGGCGATGGAGGTGGCGGTTTCATTCCAGAAGAAACCGATCGTCCAGCACCCATCAGCCTAAACCGACATCAAAGCTTTGAAAGCTCGATCCTGGACTCGCAACAATTGCTTCCTCGGCGCAGGAGTAGCTATGGTCAAACCTACTCTTCCGAGGACGATGAAGAAGGCGGAGGCTTCCTCCGTGACGGCTCTGTAGACGAGGCAGGTCCCTCCACTGCTACTAAAGACACCAATAGCGAGCCTTCACAGCTTGATGCTCCTGTAGATACCGCCGGAGGTTTCATACCAGAAGAAGGCCATGCTGCGTCAGATGCAGAGAAGGGATCCATAATACAAAATGACGACCTCGAACCCGAAGACCCATTCAAACCCAATACGGACATCGAAATGCCCTCCTCACCCTCCTCATCTCCATCAGAGACCGGCTCTCTCATGATGGAAGACCCTGAAGATGAAGACGCTGATCCCGACTGGCTGGTCGATGCTACATAGTGACCACTATCCATGGACGTCTGTCGCTTCGGCAAAAAACTAGATAGCTCAGCATAATTTCAATTGATTTACCGTGCGACACTACACTGAATGAATGTGACGTGCGTATATACCACCTTCCACAGCTTTTGACACGTTGGACAAGACTGGCAAGGACCTGTAGTTACCCGCCGTCGGCCGCTTCGCGTGCTTAGGTACCCTGATGGTTTCTTTGTGGAACGGTGGTGCGGTGGTGCGGTGGTGCAATGTGATGACATGGGTTAAGTATGGGGTTGTAGAAGTGAGTACTATGACGCGGGATTTGGACGCCGTTGCCAGTCACCTATCTTCATCTATGGAACGAGAGACAGTTGGGTAGTAATACGGTGGTTGAGGAGACAAGATGAGCAGGAAAAACTTGATCATGTGTACATTAGCCGCGTGTTTGTTCTCGTAGCTTCAGGATAGGGACCGGCGATGCAGTAGTATTACATCCAAGCAGAGGTACTCTCTACTTCTCCCTCTTCCCCTCCAACAAATCATCCAAACCCTTCAATCCCCCCTCAAACCCATCAAGATCATACTCCTTCGGATACCTCACGAGCACATCCCTCAACTCTTTCACATGCTCCCTCTGCTCCATCGTCAATTCTTCCCAAACCCCCTCAAACGCATTCTGGATACTAGGTTTCTTCTCCTTCTCCGCCTGTTCGAACGCCCCCAACACCTCTTTCCTCGTTTTTGACCTCAACTCTTTCTCCTTGGCATCATCCCACAGTGACCGCCCTTCAAGCCACTTTCTAAGCCGGGTGATGGGGTTATCGCGGCGCTTCCAGTCTTCGACTTCGACGCGTTGGCGGTACGCGAAGGAGTCGTCGGAGGTGCTGTGGTGGCCTACGCGGTATGCCATCATTTCTATGAGGACGGGGCGCCCGCCATCGTGGAGAGCGAGGCGCCGCGCTTCGGCTGTGGCGCGCCGGACGGCGAAGATGTCGTTGCCGTCTACGCGGAGAGTAGCGATGCCGTAGCCTGCACCACGAGATGCGATGCCGTCCCCCCGGTATTGGTCTGATGTTGGGGTGGAGATGGCGTATCCGTTGTTGCGGCAGATGAAGATGCAAGGGACTTGTCTGGTCGCAGCGATATTGAGGGCAGCGTGGAAGTCTCCTTCGCTGGCTGCGCCTTCACCGAAGTAACATACCGCGACCCGTGGCTCTGTTTCAGGGTTCTGCACATTCTGCATCTTGAGGGCGTAGGCGGCGCCTGCTGCGTGGGGGATTTGCGTGGCGAGGGTTGAGCTGATGGTGTGGATGTTGAGCTCTTTGCTGCCGTAGTGGACGGGCATGTTGCGGCCTAGACCGTTGTCTTTTGCGTTGGCGAAGAGCTGGTTCATGAAGGAGGAGAGGGTGAAGCCGCGTTGCAGGTAGACGCCTGATTCACGGTATTGGCAGAAGATCACGTCGGCGGGAGAGAGGGCGCTGGCGGAGCCGATGGCTATGCCTTCTTCGCCGGCGGAGACCTTGTGCTATTAGTATAAAGCTGGAAGATGTGAGGTGTTTGACGTACCATGTAGAACGATAGTCTTCCTTGCCGTTGCGCTTCAAACATCAATAGATCCATTATGCTCACTGTAGCCTGTCAATGCAATGTCCACACACAGTAACAGCCTCACTGACGCTTGACCATATTCTTGTACAACGACAGAGCCTCCTCATCTGTAGTCTCTACGCCAATCTCCTTGTCTATGATCTCTCCATACTGGTTCATGACACGGTACGTGGATATCGCCGGGGCCTGAGCTGGTTGCATAAACTCCATGGTATTCGTGAACTCGCTGTTCAGCGCACCAGGAAACAACACCCTGGACACAATGTGAGCCTCTCGTTCCAAAGCAACCAGACACAAAACTCACCTCTCAGCCGTAGGCGTAGAAGCAACACTCCTACATGACTGCAATGGCGGACCGACAACGCTTCTTGACCCATCAAACCGTCCCTGCAAGCCCGAAAGCCTCTGTAACCGTAAAATCCGCGAAGTATACCTGAACGACATGACTGGCAATCTACATCTTCAGAACTAAACTGCGGGCGGGGGAACAGCGGTATATCAATAATTCTGGGGAAGCATGCGCCTGGGGTAGGCGGCAAGCGTCGGCGTAGTCGACTCAACCGCGGTCAAACAATGGCGAGCGGGCGCTAGCAAACTTCCGGTTGGCACGGCTGGCTGGGTTAGATGCGCGTGTCATGGCGCATGAATTCTAGAAAGTCGCCCGCCAAGCCTTGTCGAACAACAACCACGACCAGCGCAAACATGCAGGCTTCGCGACAGAGGATAGGACGGCAATTGCTAGGCGGGAGCAAGGTTAGGGTGGCTAGGGAGCCGTACAGATGTTTCTCGTGCTCCGTTCGACAAGCGCAGCAGAGCACGCCGCCACCAAAGTCGCCGCAGAACGGCGGCAGCAGCCAGCAAACGACGCATTTTGGGTTCGAGACGATATCTGAAGCGTTGAAGGAGCAGAGGGGTATGCCAATTAAATTCCATCACCCCCTACACGCCCAATACTGACGGTAACTTGCACAGTCGGCGCAGTATTCTCCTCGGTAGCCTCCTCCTACGACTCCATGAACGACTTCATGTCCCTGGGCATCCACCGCCTCTGGAAAGACCACTTCGTGCGAAACCTGAACCCGGGCCTCAATCCCCTCACCTCCCCCACCACCCAACAAGGCATGTCCATCCTCGACATCGCCGGCGGCACCGGCGACATCGCCTTCCGCATGCTCGACCACGCCTCTACCATAAACCACGACCCCCACACCAGCGTTGTAGTCGCGGACATAAACCCCGATATGCTAGCTGAAGGCCGGAAGCGGTCGCTGCAAACACCGTATGCGCGGTCTCCGCGATTGGATTTCGTAGAGGCGAATGCGGAGAAACTGGATATGATCCCGGATGCAAGCATAGACCTCTACACCGTCGCCTTTGGCATCCGCAACTTCACGCACAAAGAAATCGCCCTGAAAGAAGCTTTCCGCGTCTTGAAGCCCGGCGGCGTATTCGCGTGTCTCGAATTCAGCAAAGTCAACAACCCGGTCTTTGATGCCGTGTACCAGCGCTGGAGTTTCGGTGCGATTCCATTGATTGGACAGGTGGTTGCTGGGGATAGGGAGAGTTATCAGTATCTTGTGGAGAGTATAGCCAGGTTTCCGAGTCAAGAGGAATTTAGCAATATGATAAGGGAGGCCGGGTTTTTGGTTCCGGGGAAGGGGTGGGAGGATTTGACCATGGGGATTGCGGCTATTCACAAGGGGGTTAAGCCGAAGGTTTAGGGAGTGTCAGCATGGACAAGAGGGATAGTGTAGTGTTATGTTTTGTATGAATACACGAGTATGAAGAAGTACAAGATGAGCGGAGTGATCACATATTGATTCATAAGGTAGACGATCCAATCAAGACGTCTGCGCTACCCTGATGACCGTATCCATACCCATACCATGCCTGTCCTATCCCGTCCCAAGAACTCCGCGCCCACCGAGCATCAAACACTGATGACAATCATATGGAAAATCCACTCCTTACATGAGAGTTAGATGTCCTTCCCGGCCGTTTGCAAGAAAACAAACACCCATTTGTAACGCCGGGTCCATCCATCCGCCATGGTACTCAATCTGATAAGTGGGAAAACGAAAAGTTGGAAATGCGCAACAACGTATGTAACACGCTAAAGGGATGGTTGAAAACGGTATCCCAGACTCCATGCCCCAGAAACGCCATTGGGAAAGCAGGTGAATAAGTATCGAGAAGTGCATAAGCTTGACGTGGTTGTTTTGAAAGTAAAAGACTCAGCGGAAGTACGATCCACGCTTCCCGCCACTACCTGTGCTGGTGCCGCCTCGTGCTTCCTCAAGACTGCGTCGGGAGCCCCCGGCACCAATCTCGCTCATTTGGAAGAGCAGAGGTTCGTCGTCGTCGACGTTGGTCGCAGCGCGGCTGTTGAAGTTGTAACGACTTTGACGCTCAGTCGAGCTCGTACCGCCGGTGCTGAGGCTGGTAGAAGAGCTATGCGAGAAGAATCCGCCTCGGCCACGTGCACCAGCCTGGGTGCCGCGTTTGGCCATGTTGGAAGTGGACGACGGCCGGGGTAAGTCGTCGCGAGAATCGTTATCAGCAGTCTGGCTATCGCGATTGCCACTAGCTAGTAGCTCCGTTTGCGCGAAAAGTCCACTAGACGTAAGACCTGCGCTGGTCAGACGATGCAGATCGTTAGCGCGATCAACCTCCTCCGATGGAAGACTGGCCGATCGGACGCCGAACACGTCTGGCTCGTCGTCAGGCAGTGTCCGATTTTGCTGGGAAACTGAACTTGATCGGCGAGTGTAGTGCCACGGCCGTGGTGAAGTTGGAATGGCAATGGCGTTCATGTTTTGATCTTCGCTCTCGCTTTGCTCTTCGACATTGACTACATCGTGCTCGCGCGTCCTTCGACCAGGGCGGCTTCGACTGCGTGTAGGTTGGTCGTATTCAGCGATGCTGTTTGCGCTGAGACGAGATGGGATGGCTGGTGTGTGCGGAGTATGGGGTGAGATTGGCTTGCCCGGTGAAGACGCTGTCGATACTGATGTGCCGGCAATCATCGCAGGGACGCTAGATAGATGGCGGCTGGAGGATGACGGTGTGCGATGAAGCATGGTGGAAGAGGAAACAGATTCAGCAAGGCCCGTATGAGACTCTCGCATCCGCTGATACTTGGACAGCTGAGCTGTAGTCTTGTGCATGGTGGCTGCCTTCGCGGATTGGTCGCTCCGTGTAAAGCTCTTGAGGTCTTTCTTCGATTCGAGAAGCTTGAGGAAATCGGAAATGTTCTCATCGTCTGTCTTGACTTCACCGGAACTGCCCCCAGTACCCTCATTCATGGTATCAGACCCGCGTTGCATCGACGAAGAGAGGCTTCCCTTGCCACTACTGAGGTTGTCATCCTCTGTCTTGCTACCACCGCCTGTGGAAAACTTGCTCCTCCTATGACCGAAGCTACTGCTGTAGCGACTGATAGGTGCAGGCTTTGGCGAGCTTGATGCCGAAGAAGTGATGACATTGTCGTTAGGTAACGAAGGTGTCCGAAGAGCCGTTTGAGGGAGGGCAGTCAGTGACGTTCGATTACGTGGTTGAGTGAGTGGGTTGGGTGTAGCGGTCCGACCAAGAGAGCTGCCGGGTCTTCCTACTGAGCTGGTGGGAGATGGAGGCACCCCAAGGGCTGGCGAGGATGAGAGTGAGCCAGCTTTGAAGGGCTGGAAAGAGACCGAGGTTCGTCGCTGATATGATGGCGTATCCACAGAGCGTAAAGATGACTTGGAGCCTTGGGCGGTGCGATGGTTGGGTGGCAGCTTCTGTGGTGGTGACTCCATGGGTGATGATGACGGCATGTCTCGTGCTGCGCGAAGAGCTGAGATGGGGCTTGTTCCTGTTGGCGGACCAACTTGGTGGAACGTTGAAAGGCTGCCATATGCTTGCCCAACATCGGGACTCTCTTGCGCATTCATCTTGTTGACGGGGAGTGATCCAGGCAGTTGGCGTGTCTTTTGCTCGAAGTAAGTGTCGTCCAGGCCCATGAACTGCGAACTCAGAAGAGACTCCGAGTCTTCTACACTGAACTCGCAGTTGGTGCGGTACTCGACGGTCACACACAGAGGGCCTACAGGCGAGTTGGTGGGCTCGATGTTGTTTATGTCTGTGATCTTTTCGTTCTGGTCGGTCGGGTAGAGTGGCAGACTCAGAGTATCGACGCTGGGGCTGTTAAAGTCGCCATTCGAGACGCGGTAGTTGAGCTTCAGTGAGGGTGAGTTCGCAGGCTGCTTGGCGAGCACCTTGTTGTATCTGAACGCGGGCATGAAGCGGAGGTAAGCGAACAGGGATCGGAAAGTGACGACGGCCTTCTTGTAGACGTTGGGAAGCGGTTCGCTCAGCTCTGAAGGCTGCACCAAGCTCTTGTCTCCGACGTGCACCCTCCAGCGCTCGAGCACAATCTGTGTGGATTTGGCAGTGCGGCCTGACGATCGGGAGGTCGCATCTGCAGAGTTGAGAGCCGCAGCGACATCCCACTTCTTTCCATCATCATCGTGTATGACGAGCGACTGGTTGTGGCCGAGGCCTTGTATGTCCAGGTAGATGTCGATGCATAGTGACGGATGCTGGCCGTTCACGGCATCCATGAGTTTCCATTCGGTGAGTTGGCGTTGGAGTACATCGCTGTCGGGCAGGACGACATTGAACTATGACATGTCAGTGGGGAATGTGAAGGGACGGGATAGGCAGCACATACCCACTTGTTGTGCTTCATCTTGCCATCCTTGTTGTATGCTGGAGGCAGTGATACGCGAGAAGAGATCACGGCGAGGGCTGATTTAGTGAAGAAGTTCTGCTGGGAGTGAGTATGCGTTCAGCGACAGATGGGAGGAGAAGATAAGTACCTGGATGACTTGGTTGACCTTGTGGTATTGCCCCCTCGACTCGGAGGAGGGCTCTCCCCTCGACATCATCTCGCCTTCCGACTCTTCTGCGCCTCGGTCGCTGTAGGGCGGCGTGGTGGAGTAGGCCGTCATGTCCTGGCTATTATGCCGCTGGTTGTTGGTTCGTGTGGGGTTGGTCTGGAGGTTGCTGGCAGGCGAGGCTGTCCGCGGCGAGGGGCGCGAGTATGGGTGCATGGCGGCGGCCTCCTGCAGGTACGGGCGGGAAGAGGTCGTGTCGTGACTGGCAGCGAGGGACTCGGGCGAGTGAAGTAGGACGGTTATGGTTGCGGCGGAAACAGGCGAGGGTGAATGCGCGTAGCCATCACGAGTGCAGCCAGGGTCAGGTTCGCGTAGTAGCCGTCAGATATGTCTCTCAGAAGACTTGGGCACGCGGGGGATGGCTCAACAGGCGGGTAGGGCTCAGGCAGCAGCCATGATATGCAGGGTGCTGGTGCTGTGTTGAGTGCGTGCCTGGGGCAATGAGCGGAGTTAAGCTGAGCACCCGGCTGGAAGGTACAAGGGCGCAGTGAGGTTGGCTGCAGCTGTTGGGACGACAACTGATACGGCTGAGTCCTGGATAGAGGCAGACAATCAGGCAGGGCAGGCGGATGGCGGATGGCGTATGAAGAGT